TAGAGCATATGTTCCATTGTGGCAATTCTTGGAAAGCAATTAGAACCAGCAATATTTCTTGAATGTGATCATGAAACTGCAACAATATATTCATGTAGTCATCAAGTGTCAAACTTTAAAAAATGTAATTTTGAAAAATATGCAGAAACAAATTAAGTAATTTACAGTAATATAATAATTATCAAAAGAATACCAAAATAAATTCTAGAAAAATAAAACAAAACAATTTCACTAAGAATTAACATGTTAAGTTGATATAAATCATCCAAATATATCATATATTTATACCAGGAGTTAAAGGTGATTTGAAAGAGACCTTATTTTATTAATCGGAATTGCTTAGATCCATGGATATCCAATTTATGTGGTTTGGAGTGAGACTAGCTGATTGACTTTCCACCAGGCAGACCTCTTCATGGCACGATGTATAAGAGACCTCTATATCAGGACTGAAAATGAGGATTTTTAATTACAGAGAAGGTCATACAATGATGAACTGCCCTTCCTGCCCAAAATGTAGAAGTACTAACTTCTTTTAGATATGATCACCAGAACGACAATCCTAAACTATTCTGTAAATTAAGAAAGCTTTTTATGTGCCCCTCTTAATTATTTACCTCAATTAAATCAGTTGCAATCGTTGGTTTTATACTCTTCTAATAAAAACTTACTAAAGATTATTTATATTGCAATTTCTGTTTTTTTAAATTACTGTATGATGTCATATGCTCTCCAGCCCCAGACTGAAATGTATCCAGTTGTCTATATTTGTGAAACATTAAAAAAAAAGAACATGTGAGCTCCTTCTAGCGGCTAATCTATTACAAAGCATTTACTATACTTTTGAAAGCCAAATGTATTCATTTCTAGGGCTATGCTGCAATCCAGATTTAAAGGGACAAATGTGGTTAAGAACCTTTGAGGGGACACGCAAGCCCACACCCATTCTGAATCCTCTATCTTTTGGATCTGAATTGCACCACACTCCTTTTAGTTTTCAACATATTTCTCCATAAAACTAAAGAATGAAATACAATTTCTGCTTTGTTTTGATCTAGAGTATCAAGCTGTGTACCAAATATTATTTTACGAAATATTTAGCACAGGGTTCCCCATAGTGGTCAATATCAGCCCCCAAGAGTCCAAGAGATTATCATAATGGATGATCCATGGGTGGGGATCAAAACGGGGTCAGTAAATGTCTGGCAGTGAACAGGTGGTTGATAAATGATGGAAGGCCAATTGGGGTCTATTAATCTTTTGGGGTTCTGCAGAGCTCCATACTAGTCCTGAAAATGAGATGGCTACCAGTGAGATGGGGTTACCCAGTGTTGGATGGTCAGTCACCAGTGAGAATGGCCTCGAGTTGACTCTATTATTATTTTTAGTACTGTTACTTACAATGCTGCAATCTAAATTATTTTTGCATAATAAATTTGAATGAACAAGCTGAAACTTCATGAAGGGAATCAATGAATTGAACAGTGTGATGACTCCTGATTTACAAATAAAATCTTAGTAAATAAAAATGAATAAAATTCTCCTACATGAAAAAAGATAATTTGAGAACATTACTCTTAGATGATTTAGTGGTAAAAGGATTGGGTCTCTAGGATTCTCACTTATGGATATTCCAGAAACTCAGAAAAAGTTATTTTGAGACTGAGTAGAAGAAATATTAGCATTGTTCTTTCTTTGATGATCCTGGTTCTCAGCAAAAAGCCAGTTGTAATTTCCCTTTCAATTGCTTGGTATTTGTCATATCTGAGAAAAGTTATCAAACCATTGCTTCTTCATTACTATCTCCCTCTCAGTTTCCCTTTCCAATAGCCATCGATCACAATATTTCACCAATTCATTTGTTCTTACTCAAGCAAAGCTGGGGATTGGAAAAGTGGAAAGAATGGATGAGCAGATGGATGGATGAGGAAGTGAATGGAAGAGGGAGGTGGGATTCTTGCTTTAAGTCAAGGTTTGTGAAATAAGCCTCAATAACTGGGATCACAAAAGCATGAAGCAAAAAGCAAGCAACTGATATTATGGCATTATGTAATGCCTGGATCCTATGGAAGAGTTTGAGGCCATTTCTTCCCTAGTGATTCATAATCTGGTGGTCCCAGATTACCTCTACTGTACCAATGTAACATCATTAATTTATACTAAACAACCCATTTGTTGGGTCATTGTTTCATAGATATTTTTTTTACCATGGAGATAAAAAGATGAAAAATATAATTTACAAGCATTTATGACAATTTGGTATTTATATTAGAAGATCCCTTAGAGACAAGCCCTAAATTACTGACAAAGATTGAAGAATTTGGAGAAGTAGCAGGATTAAAAATAAACAGAGACAAAACTAAAGTGATAGTCAAAAACTTTACAGATAAACAAAGAAATCAATTGTCAGAAAAAAACAGATCTCCAGATAGTTAAGAAAGTTAAATACCTGAAGATACACCTAACAGCAAGGTATGTGACATTAAAAAAAAGATAATTATTTTAAACTATTAAAACAAATAAAATTAGATTTGGAAAGATGGAAAAATCTACAATTATCGATGTTGGGAAGAACAGCGACAGTGAAAATGAATATTTTACCAAAACTACTTTTTTATTTCAAACAATACCTATAAAATTGGAGAAAGATTTTTTGGGATGAGTTAAATGCATTGATTTTGAAATTTATCTGGCAAGGGAAAAAAGCCAAAATAAGATTGAAATTGCTACAAGAAGCAAAAGAAAATGAACTATATTATCAAGCAGCTGTATTAACATGGTTAAAAGAGTGGATAACCCTTAGACACAAAATATTACTATACTGGAAGGACATGACTTACAACTTGGATGGCATATTTTTCTATGATATGAGAAGAATAAAATCCATAAATATTTTCAAAATCACTATATAAGAAATGCCTTGCTTTTGACATGGGAAAAGATAAAAATGAAAATACCAGGATGGATTTTGACAATGGAAGCGTTTGTGCACCCAAATTTAATCAACTATGAGAAACTTGTGACATACAGAGACATTTTGAATACTGAATGGAAATTACAAACTAAACAAGAATTGGAAGAACAAGGCATTGAGCTATCATGATGGCCACACTTGCAGATGCAAATGAGATACAAAAAAGATGCTAAAACATATGGTTTTTATAAAGATCAACCAGTGTTTGACCAGATATTATTGTCATCAGATGAAAAACTGATTAAGAAACTATACATTTTTGTTAAACTTAAAGATGGAAGGTGAACAAGTCAAAGAAACAATGATAACTTGGGCAAAAAACTTTGGGCATAACTAGAACTAGAAAAATGGCAAAACTTGTGGGAAAGAAACTATAAAATAACAAGGGCAACTACTTATAAAGAAAGTTTATATAAAATGTTTTATAGAGGGAATTTACCACTTGCAAGATTAGCAAAAATGTTTAAAAACATGTCTAGTAATTGTTGGAAATGTAGGCAAAAGCCAGGCACATACTATCACCTCTGGTGGACATGCCCTAAAGCAAAACTATTTTGGTCAAAAATACACACGTGGTTAGAGAAAATGTTAAAAAAACATGCAGATCTTAAGCCAGAACTATTTCTTCTAGGTATAATTACAGAGAACTATGACAAGAAATGTATATATTTAATATTACATGTATTAACAGCAGCGAGAATTACATTTGCACAGTATTGGAAAAATAAAAAAAACCAATGGAAGTAGACATAATTAGAAAATTTTTGGACTGTGCGGAAATGGACAGGCTTACATTGAAAATGAAAGGGAAAGAAGATACAAAATATTTTCAAACGTGGGATAATTTTTACAACTTTGTGCAAAGAATTTTAGAGACTATTAAACAGTATATCTCTCTTTCCATATAGACACTCAGCATGTTTCCAGATCCCTAAAAAGATCTCCAGGGATTGGGACAAGAGGCATTTCATTCCACCAGTTTGACACATAGTAGCTCTAATAACTCTTGTTCTCTTCTTGATTTTCTCTATCATCAGTAATCCATGCCTTACAGTAATCCAGCATTCTTAATCCTTGGCTCCTATTCTGCCCCAAATGTCTTCTGTTATTCTGCATGTTGTTCTAGCTTTTTATCTATCCTTCCCTGCCTAGAATCGACTGTCCTATTCATATTAATGACAGTAACCACTCATTTCAGTCAACAAAACCTTAAAATCCAGAAATCCCAGAATTCCTTGTAGGTGGGGCAGAGATCGGGGGAGTTTCCTGTTAAGAAGATAGGATTGCCAAACATCAGAACTGTTTGAGTTCTGATGTTAACTGTTTGAGCAGTTAACTCACATCCCTTTTTGCTTTTTTTTTTAATTAAAAGTTTTTAAAATTTTACAATAAAAACCCCTTCCCAAATCCCTCCCAACCCTCCCCAAAACCCTCCCCCATTCTTCCCAGAGCTGAATACAGGCTTAACTAGAACATAAAAGAAAAAAAAAATTTTTTAAACCCAAATAAACCTTAAACCAATATCATTACATTCAATAAACAGATTATAACATACTTTAACTCCATTATATATAAAAAACAGAAAGGAAAATAAAAAAAATAAAAAGAAATAAAGAATTAAAAAATAATAATGATTACACTTCTAAGTAAATATCTTAAACTTTAAATATAAATTATTCAAAAGCTAGATGGTATTTTTTTATATCATACTTATATTGTATAAAATTTATCCATCTTTTCCACACCAAGAGATACTTCTCTTGCGATTGATCTTTCAAGAAAGCCGAAATTATCTTGTGAAATTTCCACCTTTTTTTCCATTCCTTCAAACTTTTCCTCCAAAACCTCCACCTTGTCTTGCAACTTCTTCAACTCGAGAATCCAATTTTTCAACCACAGAAGCAAGTCCTTTTAAAGCCAAAACTATATCTTGCCTCAAAATGCTATTATTCTCCACTAAAAGCTCTTTCATTTCACCTCTAATTTGAGATATAGCATTTCCCATTATATCTTGCATATCTTTTACCGTCATTGGTTGCAGGGGAGGAGAAGCTGGTGGTATGAGTTTAGGTTGTTGTGCTGGTAATATCGCAGAAGAAGCCACCTTAGGTACTGTAGAAGTTGCTTGACGCTTTGAAGCCATTTTCAAAAATTTTATTTCTTCTTTCCTCCTTCTTAAAAAAAAATACAAAAAATGCAAGAAAAATCCCTTTAAAAAGTTTAAAAAAAAGGTTAAACAGAAAGGGAAAATAGTCCTCTTAAAACCCAAATCCACCTTCAAAAAATCAATGTAAGTAATCAAATCCGTTCCGTTCCAGTCACTTAAAAAAAAAAAAACCCTGCCGATCGCCATTTTACTTTCCCTTTCAATAAAAGAAAAAAAGAGGGAATAAAAATAAATCTTTAAACTAAAAGCCCAAATAAAATAAAAAAAATAAAATCCTCTATTCAGCTCTGTCCGCTTTTAAGATAACTCACCAGATCACTTTATTCGCAGAGGTGGGAGTGGCGTCTTGCTTTGTCCCTAGAGACAAAGACAACTGAGAAGCGGAGGCAATCTGAACTCCGTGGGAGCACTCTTTTCACCCCCAAGAAAAAATTCTTTGGGGGATTTCAGAGGCTCTACCACTATTCACATGATACTCCCCTCCCTCCCTTTGCCCGGGAAGGAGGTTTTGAACCGCAGAACAGCTGATGCCTGCTGTTCTTAGCGGTTCTAACACTTTCTCAGGAGGACGGCTACAAAGTAGCCGCCATCACCAGCGCAAAACCACCAGAAGTCCTCATCCCTTTTTGTTTTATCATTCCTCACATTCCTTCCCATCTTACCATTCTCTGCAGCCAGCATCTGTTCTGAACTGCAGAGATCTTCATTTGCATTTGCTATGCTGTGAGTTCTTTAGCCTGTCCTTGTTATTAAAAAAAATTACACTGATTTTATGCTGCAAGAAAATACTGGAACCATACGAGTTAAAATGGGATATTTGTATTTTTATTTCATGAGACCAGATCATTCCACTTGATATCTGGAAATGACATTGTCCCTGATATGGCATTTCTTGTCACCTGCCCAGAAACTTACCTAACATGAGTTTTAAAAGCTTTTTAATTAAAAACCCAAAAATGAACATGAGACAAAGCATGCTGCAAAGCATCAACACCAAGCTTCCCAACAATCCTTGTAAGTGCCACATAAAACCCAGAAACTTTGGAAACTACAATGATGGGTGACTGCAGCTCAGTTCTTTGCTTCTAGCGTGGATGGGTTGGCCATCAAGACAATTGTTTGCTAAGAGTCCTCTCAAAACTGCAAATGGACCAGTAACTTCCCAAAGCAGGGAAACCCTGTTCTAACCGGGTTCTTACTTGGAAGGAGAAAACAACAAATGCACCTAAAATTATAGCACTACCATATTTAGATGTAGTTTTGAAAGAAAGTGGGGGGAGGATGGGGGAAATTCCAGTCTTCAGGGCACACAGCTTGTCTTACAGGAACCTAAGCAGCTGCATTGCATCTCTCACATCCCATTTCTGTCTGGCCTCTCTGTTGATGTCACTCCCTCTTCCTCCCAAATGACATACAGAACTCTCTTCTCAGGAGTTTAGTGATAAGTGGAAGTCATCTGTCACCATGTATGTCCTAGTCTTGAATCTACATAGACTCTCTCCATTTTGGATTTTTAATTTCCAAAATGGCTTAGAAAGTTTAGCTCAATGGAATCTGAGCCTAGCATTGCATCTTATCTGGCATTCCAGCATTTCCTGTTGGACACATATAATCTTACCCATCTTCATAAAAAAACCCCAAACCTATCACTTCCAGATCTGACGTGCAAAAATCCATGAGTGCTAAAAAGCAGCAAAGAGATATGAAAGTTATAGCCTCCTGCTCCTATCCAGTGGCTGTCCAGAGTTTTGCAGAACAAGCAAATTCCACTGATTTAACAAAATCTAGGGAGACTAAGGAGCAGAGTATCACAACTCTATAATGGTTTACCCCAGTGTTACTCAATCTCACCAACTTTAAGATGCGTGGACTTCAGCTCCCAGAATACTTCAGCCAGAAGACTTGCTGGGGAATTGTGGAAGTTGAAATCCGTATATCTTAAACTCGCTAAGCTTAGAAAACGCTACTTTTCCCAACAATCCTCTACAGACGTTGATAGCCGAGAAACGCTCCTAAAACCAGAGATGGGCGGCTCTATAGAATGAATTCAATAAATAAACAAAGTTGCAGCTCGCAGAATGCATTCCACCCATGCAGAAATCCTCCCACGGAGAAACTCCAACACGAAAGCGGACCACTCTCCGCTCCTAGAGTCAGCGCACATGCGCCTTGCTCTGCACCTCGGGAGTTGTAGTTGGCCGTTCCAATCTCCGCCCTTTGCCGTGCAGAGGAGAGGAGCAGGAAGCGAGGCTGAACTACAGCTACCAGAATGCACAGCAGCGCACTTCCCTCCCCCTCCACCTCCCATATGAATGACTAATACAACGTGTTGTCAGGCTAATCTGCCGCGAGTCCCAGGAGGACTCGTTTTCCCTTTGGGGACTTTTTCTTTTCTAAGTTTGGTCCCGGAACCGCTTTGAGTTTCAGCTGGTGGTTCGTACGCACAAGGTTTCTCCCTTGTCGGGGAGCGGCATAGCTTGGAAAGTAAGTAAGGGGCGAGGTAGTTAGTGTTTCCTGCTTAATTTTTGCTTGGAGCAGTACGGAGTTGGCCGAGTCTCTCCTGGTGTGTCTACGGCATGTCGTTGGCAAGGCTTTGACTGCAAAGGGACAATATCGGTTTAATTTTCAGGCACCCTCCCCACCGTCCTTTCTCCAAAATGGCCAAATGCCAAGTTGGGGGGTGGGAAGAGCAGGAGGTGTGAAATTAATATTTTTTTTTTATTCTGGTGGAAGTTTGTGAACAAGTGGGCTTGCTTTATATTGTGTATTATTTTTGATGGGATGTCTGCTTTGTTGTACCTTTAAACTTTTTTTCTCCTTCCTAGCATCTCCCAATTTATCTAGGTAAAAGTCTCTTCAGGGATTTTCCCACGAGGCAGCCTAATTGGAAAGTTGTGCAAAGGAATCCGGCAGTGGCATATGGCGGTGGGGAATTTTGATCGAATAAAACTTTTTCTTTTTTTAAGATAGAAAATGATAATATTATAATGTGTGACAGTGTAAAGGGACCTTATCTGTCTATTCTTAGCTCTTGCCAAATATGTGTTATTTTGTAGAAACTGGGAAAGCAATTTAGATTACTTGCTAATAATAGGTTGTAGCACACTTGTAGTTTTCGTTGGTGGAATGATCTGTGTAATTCCTTTTGCCCTGTAATAATAGCACTTTTAATGAAGAAAAATACCATTCAGCCAGAAATTGAATTGGAGCAAAATTCAAATTTTAAGAGAACAATATGCATTTAAATTCATATTGCTACTAATATGTTCCAAAAAATACAAGGTTTCATTCCCTTACTAAAATAACTTTTCTGTTGTAATAACAGAGGCTTGTTTTGGAATTATTTGAATAATTGAAGCAGTGGCATGATAATATATAAAATATCATTTTAATGTGGCATTTTAATGTGTGTATATAGTGTGTGTATATAGTGTGTGTGTGTATCAAATTGTCTATATGCCCATGTTCTATTTCATGAAAGTTATACTAAAAGTAAAATCCAACAGCTTAAAACAAGGTTAGATACAAGTCAACAGGACTAGAAAGCAGTCCCATGTGAATCTAATTTTGAGGTTTGACTTTCCTTTGTTATGCCCAAAACTTATATATTGCGACATTTCTGCACCAAGATGTTTGATATGCATTTGATATCCTGTGCCAGTTCCAGTAAATCTGATCTAGCTATGGTCTCACTTAAAAGACCGAAAACATATTTATCCCCTCATTGCAGGGATGTGAGTCAACTGTAACTACTGGAAATTTACTTGGAACTAGGTAGTTTGCAGGTTGGCCTGTTTAATCAAATAGTATATGAACTTTTGGAAAAGGTTTCAGATTTATAAAAGAGGTACCAAACTCTTTGGCTTAAGAATTGGGGAAAAGGGGTGTTTATTTTGTTAGTCTATTATCACCCCCTGGAAATTCATGTGTTTTGTATGGTGGGTACATTGCAATCCTTTTTCTCCAATCTTGTGCTCTCCAGATTTGTGGCCAGTAGTCATCACCAAGTTGGGGAAGATTGCTTTAACACATCAGATATACATGTTTTTCCCCTGCATTTAAGGAACCAGAGTTGACTCTTGTGACTATGCATTATCAAGATGAAGCATTTAGTTCCCTCTTGTACATTTGGTGAGCTTACTATATCTGTATTTTATGAAGTAACAATTCTTTCTTTAAGTAACTTAAAAGTTACTTAAGTTGAATTGTAGTCTAACAGGTTTCATGGGGACTGAACAATACATCAAATGATTGCTTAAACTCCTGAAAGATGAGCTAGTTTGACAGGGTACAAATTCCAGCATCCAATTATTTCTTGGTCCTGGAAGTGAACTTTGGGTTCTTGACTGTTCACTGTCTTGACTCCAGAATGAATGGTGCAGCAGTCAGGTCTTTTTATGTTTTGGGATCCATTGACCATATAGTAAAATAAAAGAAAGTTCAAAGCAGGTTAGTATTTTGCAGTCTATAATAACAAAAGAGTATACCATTATTGTTTTCATTGGTCAAAAATACCAGCAGCTGATCTGTTTCTGTTTTCTCTTATTTGATTTAACTTGATCAATTCCAAAGCAACGTGATAATTATTTTTCTGGAAAAGCTGAGAATAGACTACTACGTTTATTTAAAAAAATAATTATCTGGAATAATATTTTACTTCATTTGTTTTGAAAACCCTTGGAGTACAGTCATCTATTTCATGGGTGGTAAAAGAGAGTGAGTAGTACCTCAAGTACCAAACTGATTTCAAATTGATTGGGAATATGAGATCTTTATAGAAATATGCCAGTTATTATCATTTTTTATCACTGGGGATAGCATTTATTGACCCATTCATTTGTTAGACATATATTTCCACCTGGAGCTCAAAACAGTCTGCAAACACTATCTTCTTCTTTCTCTTCCCCCCCCCCCCCCAACAATAAGCGAGAGTGTGATTGTCCCAAAGTGAGTTTCAGTGTCTGAGGGTGGATTTGACTATGTTCCTAGCCAGTGCCTTTACCCCTATACAAGACTATTTCTTAAGGCAATTACATTTTTAACATCTGAAAATTTAAAACAAAATAATCCTTTTCTAAATGAATCAGTGAAGTGACTTAGAAAAAAATAGATGTTAAAAACTTGCAAATTCAGCTGAAATATGTTAAAACAAATTAGTTGTAATGAACTAGGCCAGAATCTGAAAAAGTAATAATAAAAGGAGTTTGTATAGATTGGTTTAAAAGAAAATTCAAATGTGAATAAATTAAAGTACTTTTAAGTAGATTCAGATATTTCTCTGGAGACAAGGGAAAATGAGATTTTCTCTGTTTCAATATATTAAAAAAAATAGAAGGTGATTCAGAACTTGGTCAGACATTAAAATTATAAATAAGATGAATGAGAAGTATTCTGCTTATTGTTGAAAATGTCAGTATAAAATAAGAAACTTTAATTTGCTGACAAAGAAATACTGGGAGATAATTAACAATTGGAAAGAGTCCAATTTCATACTGAACAAACATATGGTAACTGTAGCATGGATGTTTTATGCAAAGAGAAATGGTGCTAAAGCCAAACTTGCAGGTAGACAATTAGATCATGTGGAATTGTAGTGTTAAAATAAAAATAACATATGGTATTAGAATGGCATATATGCAAATGATAGGATGAATTCATGGAAATTGATCAAGTTTAACTGAATTTTGCAGTAGTTTTTGACTTTTTAGCAATATGATTTAATGATTTATAAAAAAAAAGTTATTGAAGAGGCATGAATTAAGTTTGATTTTTATGATACAGTTTATTAGAGACCATGTACAGTTAGGGAATTAGAGTATAAATAAACAGAACAGCAGATTGCTAGTTTCAAAGATGTCCAGCCTTAGAAAGCCAGAGGTGGATGATCACATATTGACTGATTCTCTATAGCTGTAAAGGTACAGTATAAGTGTGAATTGTTTCGCTAAAAATTATACTTCAGTCTGTCAGATTTGCAAGCCACAGTTAATGACTTAACTTCTTCCATCAAGTACTTATTAAATACCATTTTTTAGTTCCATAAAGGCCAAATAAAGAAAAGAGTGGGTGTGCCCAAACATGAATAAAGTAAAATTCAGAGGGCTGAAATTAGACAAATCTGTAGTGACAATTTAGGCTTCTTCCTCAGCAGGCTCCTAGTCACACTTAACTCCCATTTGCACATTATTATTTGCAATTTATTATTTACAATTTAAGGATTATTGGGTTTCTTTGTACAGATTTATTCAGTAAGTTCCGGGACATTAGAAATTAACATTTGGAATAGAGCAGATCTAAAAATAATATTATTCATAATGTTATGCCTTTCAGCACAGGGGCATTCAGTAACATTTCTGATTTAAGTATGAGTGAGTATACTGTAAATGTGAGTAATTAAATGAAAAAAAATTGTATCTCTAAGAAAAAGCTTTGTTTCTTCTGTATTGTTAATTTCTACTCTATGGCACATCATCTTACAAACGAGTTTGGACATATGATGTACTATCAGTGATATTGTTTAAATTTGTGTGCAACTAGTACTAAAGGTAAATTTGATACTTTTTTTAATCTTGGAAAAGGTTTCTTCCTAATGCAACTTTCAAACAGAATCTTTAAGGTATAATTATTTTTGAAGGATTCATTTTCCTTTTGAAGTCCATTTTAATGACTTTATATTGCAGCTATTTGTAATTCAATCAAATTCGAACTTTTCGGTCCATATGGCAAAAATACTAGAAGGAGTGTATATAACTTTAGTGTTTGCTATGCTATCTATCCTCAACTCCCAATGCACTGTTATATTAAGTCATCTGAACAAAGAAGCTGGAAGTAGCATTGTATTGAATACAATGGGAGTGGAAATCGTGGATTTGCTGTCATAGACGATTTCCATTCTTTTTCTTCCATTTATGAATGTTACTTCCCCACTACCACTACCACCATTCATAGGATAGCAGTAAGCTATCTGGTCTCCTGTGATGAATTGCTTGGCTTTAAAGGACTTGCTGAAATAATTACAAAGTTAATTTCTCTGAGTGCTGCAGCATCTGAAGGCTAACACATTTAAGGTGATATAGAATTTTGTGGACTATAGCCACTTCAGCAGATGCATTTTTAGTTTACGCTTTGCACATTTTTGTGAGAAAATACTGGGAGAAGATTTCATTGTTTAAACCTTGTGATTTTAACGTGAGAGTTTGATCTTGGGAAGAAAGCAGATGTCAGCCCCATTGGTTAGGCCAGACTATGAAACCAATTCCACAGGAAGGCTAAAATTACAAAAATAATGATGATAATCATAATATAGGTGGCCCTTGATTTACAACCACAATTGAGATCAGAATAAGTGGTTAAGCGAGATGCCCACATGATTGCTTTGTTCAATGACCACAATCCCAGCACTCCAGGTTATACTTGTTAAATGATCTCACAGCTCATTAAGTGGGCAAAAATCCCATATAAGGAGCCTTGGGGGGGGGGGATCCAGGGATTCCCAGGATCAGGAGCTGAAAATCTTCCCTGTCAAAATCCAGGCAGATTTTCTGAGTGAAGATTGAAGAGACGACGCTAATGTGCAGCCTTTACCAAGTCTCCCAGGGGTTTCTCTCACTCCTCTGAACACTTTGCACTCCTTACCATGTTGCTTTCTATTCGGGAGCTGAAAATCTTCCTTGCAGAAATCCAAACAGGATTTTCAGCCCGAGTGAAGAAAAATGTATTGGTCTGTGCTGGGCCTCCCCTACATGGCTGAGACACCCTGTGCTCTTTACCTTAATGTGCTGTCTCTCTGCTTTCTGCTTGGATTTGGGATCCTTCTCAACTCTGGGAGCTGGCTGAAAGAACTGCCTGCCAAAGGATTTCAGCTTTGGCAGTGTACTAGAGCAGAGCTGAAATCTTCACATTTCTGCATCCCATCAAAGAAGTTCAGTCCCCTTATCAGGCAGCTCTTTCAGCCAGCCTCCAGAGATGAATGGGAGTCCTCTCAATAGGTGGTAGCAGCTTGCAACCTTCCCTGGTGGCTTCCTCATTGATCCTCTGGGGAAGCTAGCAGAAATAATGGCAATCGCATGTGGGCACCTGGCAGCTGATTGTAAGGGTGAACAGGTTACCAAGCACCCAGATTATGATCATGTGACTGGGATGATGGTGTAACATTTTGGCAATGACTGGAAGTACTTTATGGCAATGGCTTTATGGGCTTTGTGGATTTCTCTGAGATCTTTATAATTGTTAGACAGTCATAAGTCAAGTCTACTTGTAAGAGTCTTGCAATTCTGCTCTGTACCTCCTTTCCTTATACTTCAGTGAGTTAGGGAGGTGATGCTTGAGAGACTTCCAAACCTTATCAGATTGTTCAGGACTTAAAACATGTTTCAGTCTTCTCTGAATAGGCAACAGTTTCTGCACTTGTCCATCAAGATCATCAACCTTACTCTCTACATGGGTGAGGAGAACAATTGCAGACTGGTTTATGTACATCTGACTAAGCTTAATATACCTTGCTAGGTAAATATTCAACCTCAGGCTGCCTTTTTTACCTTTTGTTTTCCTTTACATTTTGCATAAACTAATAAACATTGTCATTATTGAGATCTAGTTTGGTGTAGTGGTTAAGACACTGGGCTAGAAACTGAGAGATAGTGAGTTCTAGTCACCTCTTAGATACACAGCTAGCTGGGTGATCTTGGGCCAGGCATTCTCTCTCAATCCTAGCAAGCAGGCAATGGCAAACCACTTCTGAAATTTTGCTTAGAAAACTGCAGAGACCTGTCCAAGAAGTTGCCTGGAATCAACACTGATTCAACCCCCACCCCATATCTATGAGAGAAATCGAGCCAGTCTTTCATACTTCTTGAATATCTTTTGGGCAGGATTTATATACTCTTAGTTTAAGCAGACATTTATGATTAGCCCTAATTAGTGACTTGAGCTGGTACTTTTTGATTAGATACTTTAAACTTTGTCAAAACAATATCCTGAGAGCTTCTCTTTTCTTTTCTGTAGATCTTACTTGATTGGTAAGAATAAGGGACATTCCAGCGATGGAGGGGGATCAACAGCAAGAGGTAAATTTGCAAATTACAATACGGTATGTAGCTGGGAGAAGTTCTTCTGCTGGTATATTTAGCAGATATTTGTGGTGTGTGTAGTGTACAAGCAGAAGATGGAAGCTAACCTGATAAGCTGCAGATGTGTTGAATTTGAACTTTCACAACTCCCAGCAGGCAGAGTCAAAGGCACTAAATTGGGGAAGGCTAGGTGAGACTGATTGACTGATCTAAAGGTAAGGTTATCCATCTACTAGGCCTTGAAAATATGGTATCAGAGGCTACACTCTTGTGTATACTTGCCCTGCAACGCACTATAAATTACCAAAGTAACATTGTGACAGTGTAACCACCAATAGATCTTCCTTCCACCCTGAGAGCTGTAGCATCATATACTGCCACTCTGGATTTGTTATTAAACCTTGAGCATTCATTTGAATAAAAAGATGGATATAAATCTTATTTTTTAGCAGAGCTCCCTTAATACAGCTACTTTATTTATCATTGATTTGCCTTAAGGAAATAGGATTATATCCTTGCCTGTTGTTTTACATGGAGAGGGCAGGGTGTGCTTGAATTCCATCCAGCAAATCTTTTGTGGCAAATAGCCCAAAATGCATTTACATGAAAGATTGACAACCATCTCTTTAAAACCATTCATCTCTAAAAGGAAGAAAAAGCTCGCCTGCCTCCATTGCCATATGCTCAATACATTTATGGCTAATTATTAATTAATATGTTACAGTATTGTTGCTTTTAGGTAGGTGCTCTACAGGTAGCCCTCCACTTATGACCAGTCACTTAGGACTATTCAGATTTTCAGCTAACCTCCTTCATGCGATTTATGACTTATTTTCAAAGATCCAATGGCTGCCCCCCCATAGTCATGTGATTTCATTTATGTCACTTGGTCATCAACCCATATTTATAGCTGTTGGCAGAGTCCTGTGGCCACATGACCACGATTTACGACATTTCTTGCCAGAAACTGGCTTTACTTCTGGTTTCTGGCAAAAAATACCCACTGCACACAATGGGCTTGCGTAACAATCACTGCGTTCATTTAACCACGAGGAAAAAAGATGGCTTGTAAAATCGGGCGCAGTCACGCGACGATCCCTTAATGATCACCACATCCATAATTTGAGGTAACTTGTAAGGTCATTGTAACTATCCATGTACACTTGGAATTGCCTGTGTTTTTCAATTACAGCCTGTTTCCAAGCAGTAGAATAATTGAAGTTGTAAATTAACTTGTTTCTTAACCTACAACCAATATCAGTAGTGAATGAATTTGAGTGGTGTAAACTAGAATGTAAAAAATAATAATTAAAAAAAGTCTGCATTCTTTGTTTTTATTCCATATAGACTGTTGCAGAACCAGAACCCTTACCTAACGCAGAAGGCGATGGTCCAGAAGATGCTTCAGACATTGCATCAAATATTTGTATGTTTTATCCTATTGGAAAGCCAGTTTGCTTCATAGTTTTCTTTCAAAGCCATTAGCAGTTTTGATTAGAGTTAGGGCTTCTTAGAGAAAGTTAAGTCTTGTTTACAACTGCTGTAGCCTAAAGAGTCAGAGCTTGATGCATTAAAAGACTTCCACTTTGGATTAACCTACACATGTATCAGAATAGATGGCATATTAGACAAGGTAGAATGACCCACATCATTTTGTTCTTGTAGAACTGTGTTCTAGAGGCTTCCATGTGCACAACATATTTCTATTTTTATAACTGAGGGTGAAAGCTCATTCCCCACAAGCTCGGAGAACGAGCCTTCACCCTTATCCTATACCAGAGCTACAGATATTCACCATTTTTATAACTTTCTTTGGTTAAAAAAAAAATAAACCTGTTATTGCAGGATTGGCTGAGACCTTTGTAATATATTATTTGCTTAAAATAACTTAAAGGTAGAGACACTTAAAATAATGTGTTAGCAGGAAGCTATTAGAAAAATAGAATTTAATGAACGGTAGTTCCCATTACTTTTGCTTTGTCTTTAGAGCTGTTGCTTTCAGTAATCTGGCTTTTGGATCTGTTTTGATGAAATAGAATATTTCTATCTAAAAATACCCTAAATGACATGACAGTTTTATCAACAATGAATTCTTAAACTGGCTAATTTATATAGTAGTAACTGTAAGAATTCCAAAATTTTGTTAGAGTTAGAAATAGAGCAGTGGTTCTCAATCTTTTTAGACCGGCGACCCTGGTCATGAGCAGGCGGCGCGCATGCGCGGCGGCGCCCCCCTGCGCGGCACGCATGCGTGGCGGCACCCCCTGTGTGGCACGCATGCACGGCGGCGCCCCCTGTGCGGCACGCATGCACGGCGGCGCCCCCTACACGGCACGCATGCGCGGCGGCGCCCCATGCACCGCCCCCTGCGTGCCGGGCATGCGCGGCGGTGCCCCATGTGCCGCCCCCTGCGCGGTGTGCATGCACGGCGCCGACCCCTGCGCCGGCTGAGAAAAAAATAGTGGATTGCGTTGTTTGGCGACCTCCGTGAAATGGTCATTCGACCCCAAATGGGGTCGCGACCCACAGGTTGAGAACCGCTGCAATAGAGCATTGCTGATTCTGAGTATTTAAGAGCCAGGTAGCTCATAGGATGACAGACTAACAATTATTTGCAAAGTTTTTGCATTTAGAGGAAAGCTGATATAAATAGGATTTATAGTTATGATGTCCTCCTAAACAGAGATCTTATATTACAGATAACTATGGTATTATTCTTTCTGATTTAATGGCTAGACGAGTAAAACATGTTAATTCTTGTGGGCAAGCTGCTTAGCTTGTTTGATGATATTTAAATTGTGAGTGTTCTATGAAAGATTGCCTGTGCAAAAAAACAACTCTCTCCAATTTATGATTTGGAATAGAGTATGATAAATCTGAATCATTTTGTCTTTGGTACGACTTTTTATTGTTGACATGCAACAAAATTGGATTGTAAAGAACTGTATTACATCTGTGAACTGTTTATGCCTTCAAAGAATCAGCTGGAATCCCTTCACACAGCTTTTTTCCCCGAAAGGCACTGAAGCAATAGGGGAGGATCCTAAGGCTTTTGCAAACAGAACCAAAATGGGGCTCAAAAAGAGTGAATGGTGTAAAGAGGTTTTAGGTATACATTCTGAACCCTTCCTGTTTTTGACCCCAAAGTTCACAACCCAAAATGGAGGTTAGACTAGTAAACTTAGTCTAATAAACTTAGCCTAGTCTAGTCCTTCCATTGCATAGATCAGTGTTTCCCAAACTTGACAATTTTAAGGCATGTGGACTTCAACTCCCAGAATTCCACAGCCAGCGTTGCTGGCTGTGGAATTCTGGGAGTTGAAATCCTCATGCCTTAAAATTGTCAAGTTTGAGAAACACTGGCATAGATGATAGGCTTGTGAAAGGTCGCCACTGAATATTTGAATATTTGAAATGAATGTCACTGTTTTCATACGCAAAGCTGATGCAGATGCATTAAAAATACTTCTGGAGATGAAGATGAAGAAGAGACAGAAGATGCCCAGCCTTCCCAGCACTGTGACGGAATTTGCAACTGAAGAGGGCTCCAAAGTTTATGTCGTTGGCACTGCCCACTTCAGTGATAGCAGCAAAAAAGATGTGGTAAAGGTAATTATTGATATTTGCAGCGGGGGGGGGGTTAATAGATCATCTTCTATGTAATCTTGAAGAATTTTGTAAAATGGAAATTTTAAAAAGGAATTTCTTTATGATTGAAGAGAATGTACCTTTGTTTCAAGTTTCGATCAAATCATTTTTGTAATGTAAATACATAATCTCTTTTATTTTTTTTTTATTTTTTCTTTCTTTACTTTTCTTTTTTTTTTTATTAAAGAGTTTTATAAATTTTACAAAAAATAAAAAACAATACAAAAACAAAAAACAACATATACAAATAAAAAACAAACATTACCCAACAAAACCCCCCTTCCCCCGCCCCTACCCAAACCCCCCCCTTCCCCCCCCAGGACCTCCCAGAGCAGAATATAGGCTTAATTAAAGAAAAAGTTAAAAAAATTTATAAAAAAAGAATATAAAATAGAAATATATATATATATATAAAGTTAAAAATTATGAAAAAACTATATAATATTTTTTATATCAAATTTAAATTGTATGAATTTTATCCATTTATCCCAAACAGCAAGAAATTTCTCTTGCGTTTGTCCCTTTAAGAAAGCCGAAATCTTTGCCATTTCCGCCAAATGAGACACTTTAAGAAACCATTCCTGCAATGTAGGCAAAGATTCCTTCTTCCAATATTGTCCTACTAACAGCCTCGCAGCTGTTATCAAGTTTAACATCAATATAACCTCCTTTATGTCACAATCAGTAACTATACCTAACAAAAATAATTGTGGAGTAAATTTTACCCTCCTTTTAAAAATTCTCTGGATATTCCACCATATCTTAATCCAGAATGCTTTTATCTCTCTGCACGACCACCAAATATGATAATAAGTAGCATCCATACAACCACATCTCCAACATTTAGGTTGTAAGTCAGGGTACATAAAAGACATTTTTTGTGGATCAAGGTGCCATCTATAAAACATTTTATAAAAATTCTCCCTTAAGTTCTGTGCTTGTGTAAATTTGACATTTCTCACCCAAATAATTTCCCAGGTGTCCAATGGAACTGGCTCACCAAAATTCTGCGCCCATCTAATCATACAATCTTTAATTAGTTCCGTTTCTGAATCCAATTCAACTAAAACCCCATAGATCCTCTTAATGTGGGTTTGTCTTTGATCCTTCACTTGCTTAATAAGATTTTCATCTTCTCTGTAAAAACCCACCTTACAGTCCATCTTCCATCTATCTAATAATTGCCTATATTGGAACCAAGAATAAATAATATTTTCTTGTGCTAACTCTTCCCGTAATTTTAACTGCCAGTTTTGTCCATCCCATTTAAGTAACTGTCTATAGGACACCATATCCATTTTAACCCCTCTTTTTATTCCTTCTATTGCATGCCAAGGTACGGCCCATAATGGTACTTTGAAATCACTTTTGTAATATTTTCTCCAAACCCTAAGTAAAGAAATTCTTAAGATATGAGATTTAAAAGCCCAATCCATTTTTTTATTAAATATTAAATAGGCATGCCAGCCAAAAAGTAAATTCCATCCCTCTAAGTGAAGTATATCAGAATTTGTCAAATTTACCCAGTCACTAACTAATGTTAAAACCACCGCATCATAATATAATTTCAAATTCGGCACCTTGAGTCCTCCCCTCTCACGGAAATCTTGCATAATTTTAAACTTAACCCTTGGCTTTTTCCCTGCCCAAATAAATTTATTAAGGCCTTTCTGCCACTCAGTTAAATTGATCTCATTCTTCAAAATCGGTATCATTTGGAACAAAAAGAGAAACTTGGGTAGAATATTCATTTTTATCACTGCAATTCTTCCCATGAGGGATAATTGCAACTTTTCCCAATTCTTCAAGTCTCTCTGTACCCTAACCCACAACCTTTCATAATTATTTTTAAATAATTTTGCATTAGAAACAGATAGCATCACCCCCAAATATTTTACCTTATTAACAATTTCAAAACCCGTCAAGTTAACCAAAGTCTGCTTCTCCCGACTAGTCATATTTTTAGGTAAAATTTTTGTCTTATTAACATTAATCTTAAAACCCGAAACCAAACCATAATTATGAATCAGCTGTAATAATTTTACTACAGAATAAGTAGGTTGCGACAAAGTGATAACCAAGTCATCCGCAAAAGCTCTTAACTTATACTCTTTTTTATTAACTTCTATTCCTTTAATTTCCTGCGACTCTCGAATTTTGATCAACAGTATTTCCAGTGTTAAGACAAACAGCAACGGTGATAATGGGCACCCTGTCTAGTACCTTTCTCTATTGTAAAAACCTCTGACAAACCTCCATTAACGATAAGTTGTGCCGTTTGTTTTTGATATATTACCATAAGAGCTTGCAATATCTTTTCACCAAAATTCATCTCTTCCATTACTCTTAACATAAAATGCCAATTCAATTGATCAAAAGCTTTTTCAGCATCTAAAAATATCAGCCCTGCAGGAACTTGGTTGTTTTTATCTAAATATTCTAATAAATTAATAATTTGTCTGACATTATTTTTCATGTACCTTCCAGTTATGAACCCAGATTGATCTTTATGCACAAGGTGGTGCACAACCCTCATAAGCCTATTTACTAAGATTTTTACAAATATCTTGTAATCCACATTTAAAAGAGATATAGGCCTATAATTCTTAGGTAAAGTAAGATCTTGATCTTCCTTTGGAATCAATGATATAAAAGCAGTACGCCATGAGGGAGGAATCTCTTGACCCTGTAAAATGCCATTAAAAAGATCACCTAATGGTTGAGTCATCTCCTCCAGTAAGGCTTTATAATAAACAGCTGTTAACCCATCCGTACCCGGTGCTTTCCCTGGTTTCAATTGTTGAATTGCTAGCGAAATTTCCTCCTTAGTAATTAAACCATTAACTTCATGTTTCTGATCCTCTGTCAATTTAGGGAAACTAACCTCACTTAAGTATTTATTTATCTCTAAAATTTGCACATTAGTAGATTTATATAATTTTTGATAATAATCCAAAAAAGATTTCTTAATCAATTCCTTCTGAGAAACTAATTTACCCTTGTAATTTATTTTATCTATTGTTCTCTGTCTCTGTTTCTTTCTCAACTGATAAGCCAACCATCTCCCTGGCTTGTTAGCATTACAAAATGTGTTTTGTTTCATAAACAATAAATTGGTTGCAGCTTGATCTGCTAACAACATATTAAATTGTGTTCTTAACAACTTTAAGGATTCTTTAATACTTTCATCAGAAGGATTTAAAATCAAAGACTTTTCTTTTAATTTAATTTCATCTTCCAATTCTTTACGTTTCTGAATCTGTTTTTGCTTATGACAGTTATTCATTTTTATCAAAATCCCACGCATAAATGCTTTCCCTGCATCCCATACCATTGACATTGAAGTCCCCTTATACATATTCAAAACAAAGTAATCCTTTAAACACTCCTTTAGTTTCTGAACATTTTTTTCTTGTCTAAATAAATTCTCATTCACCCTCCAGGATCTTCTCTCCTCTTTTTCTTGAGTCAACTCCATCCAAACTGGACTATGATCCGTCAAAGACCTAGGGAAAATCTTGACATTCTTTACTCTATTATATAAGTCCGTTGTAATCAAAAAGAAGTCAATTCTTGAGAAGGATTGGTGTCTATCTGAAAAGAATGTAAATACATAATCTATGAGTATATAATTTGAGGATCTCTTTGCGGCTTTAATACAACTTTGAAGGTTTAAAGCAGTGGTTCTCAACCTTTTTAATGCCGCGACCCCCAACCGGTTGTAAATCGAGGACTACCCAACCGGTCGTAAGTTGAGGACTACTCAACTGGTGCAGCACCGTTTGCAGACTGGGACTTTTGGCGGGCTCAGCAGGGCAGAGACAGCCTGGACAATTCCTATTGGCTTTTGGAAGCCAATAGAATTAGACTCTATTCAAGAGAGTCTATTCTATTGGCTTTCAAAACACAATAGAATAAAAGGGAGTAGCACAGCTAAGGAAAAGGGGGGAAAAATGGCAGACTGCGTTGTTTGGCGACCCCCGTGAAATGGTCGTTCGACCCCAAATGGGGTCCCGACCCACAGGTTGAGAACCACTGGTTTAAAGGAAGAATGGAGTGTATGACAACCTTCTTAGGACAAAAGTCCTGATGTGAAAAAAATAAGAATTCTTTTCTTTACGTAAAAAGAAGCGTTGTCATCTTCTTTTGATGACTTCTATAAGAATACTAAAAAAAACTAGTATTTTTTAAAAAGTTCTTTTTAAAAAAGATTATTTAAATTATTTAAATCATTTGAATAATGTAATTATTTTAAACTTGTAAAATTTTGAAAACAGAACACAAGCCTTTATACTTCGTTGCATTTTTAAAGATGTCTCTGATGAGGCTATTCGGCACTCTAGTATAGAACGTTGCAGGTTGGTTCTTTTTAATTTTGTCCGTAGGTTTGAGCCTGAATCCATCTCTTGCAGACAATACAGGAGGTTCAACCTGATGTGGTCGTGGTCGAGCTGTGCCAATATAGAGTTTCTATGTTAAAAATGGATGAAAGAACTTTGCTAAAGGAAGCCAAAGAAATCAATCTGGAGAAGCTTCAGCAAGCTATAAAGCAGGTATGTGTTCCTCTGTGATAAAGTCCACTTGTTTTGGGCGTATGAGATAATTCATCACAAAGAGATTCAAACCATAACTTTTCAACTTTTATAATCGGCTGCAACTGAGTCTGGTGTTAAGTGTACAGCACGAAATCAACTGTATAATTCTTTTTGTAGCTTTTTCAAGAGGTGTCCTTTAAAATAAGTATGCACAGCATTAGCACACAGCTGTGAATAACAGCATAAACTTGTATAAGTTTAAATTTTCCAACATTTTCTGAAATTCCTACAGGAAAGGATTGTTTGAGCTTCCATTGCTTTTTCACACTCTGAGTCAGAACTGTTTCTTTTATCGAGGTCAGGGCTGTCCAACCATGGCAACTTTAAGACTTGTGGATTTCAACTCCCATATTCTGGGAGTTGAAGTCCACAGATCTTTTTTTTTTTTAATTGAAAATTTTTATTTTTTTAAAACATACAATCATTTATAAAAATACAATAAAATTTTAGAATAGAGAACCCCCCCTTACCCTCCCTCCCACCCCCACCCCCCCTCCCTTCACTTCCCAGAGCAGAATACAGGGTTAGAAAAAAAAAAGAAAATTATAATAATTAAGAAAAAAGAAAAAAAAAGAGAGAAAGAAAAAAAATATCATAATTAACCTTTAACTCCATAACCTATAAAACAATTCTCTATAATATTTGATATTCATTCATAAAATAAATAAAACTTTTTAATTCCATACTTTTTCTGAATATAATCTATCCACCTTCCCCATACAGTAATATATCTTTCTTGTGTATGATCCTTTAAATAAGCAGAAATTTTTGCCATTTCTGCAAAACTAGATACTTTAAATATCCATTCTTCTAAAGTAGGCAAAGAATCTTTCTTCCAATATAAACCTACTAGTAACCTTGCTGCAGTTAATAAATTCAACATCAAAGTAGTTTCTTTTTCATTTAAGTCAACAAAAATACCAAGTAAAAATAGTTGAGGAGTAAACTTTATCTTTTTTCTAAAAATCTTTTGAATGTTCCACCAAATCATAATCCAAAAAGCCTTTACTTTTTTACAATTCCACCAAATATGAAAGTATGTCGCATCATTATTGCCACATCTCCAACATTTGGGCTGTATGTTGGAATACATACAAGATAATTTTTTAGGATCTAAATGCCATCTATAAAACATTTTATAAAAATTTTCTCTCAAATTTTGAGCTTGTGTAAATTTAACATTTCTTATCCAAATTATCTCCCATAAATCCAATGAGATCGGCTCCTGTATATTCTGAGCCCATTTAATCATACAATCTTTAACCAATTCTGTTTCCGAATCTAACTCTAATAAAACATTATATATTCTTTTTATATGAGCCGGACCTTGGTTTTTAATCTGAATAACCAATTGTCTATCTTCTAGTGTTATTCCCTCTTTCTTGTCTACAGTCCATCTATCTATTATTTGTAAATATTGAAACCATGACTGTAGAATATTTTGCTGCCTTAATACATCTAGGGATTTCAAATGCCAATTCGAACCAGAACAAATTAACAATTCTTTGTATGAAATTTTATCAAAATTTGTCCCCTTAGAGGTTCCCTCAATTGCATGTCTGGGAATCCCCCAGATAGGTATTTTATAATTTAATCTATAATAATACTTCTTCCAAACACGAAGTAAGGCATTCCTCAAAATATGTGATTTAAAAGTCCGATCAACTTTCTTATTAAAAATTAAATATGCATGCCAACCGTATATTAAATCCCAACCTTCCAAAAAAAGAATATCCATATTTGTTAAGTTAAGCCAATCACTTAACCAAGTTAGGGCGGCTGCATCATAATATAATTTCAAATTAGGTGCCTTAAGTCCCCCTCTTTCTCGAGCATCCTGTAATATCTTAAATTTAACCCTTGGTTTCTTCCCGGCCCATATAAAATTATTGATACCCTTTTGCCATTCCTCCAAATTTGCCTCTTTTTTAAGAATAGGTATCATCTGAAACAAAAAAAGAAACTTTGGTAGAACATTCATTTTTACAGCTGAAATTCTCCCCAACAATGACAATTGCAATTTTTTCCAATCTCTTAAATCCTTTTGGACTTTTGCCCATAGTGGTTCGTAATTGTTCTTATACAATTTTCCATTTGAAGCAGTTAGATATACTCCCAAGTATTTAACCTTTTTTACCATCTGAAAACCTGTGGCTTTAATCAAACTTTCCCTTTCTTTAACTGACATATTCTTAGATAATATCTTAGTCTTATAATTATTAACTTTAAAACCAGAAACATTCCCATACTGTGTTATAAGTTCTAATAAACCATCAATCGCCTGATTCGGCTGTTCCAAAATTAAAACCAAATCATCCGCAAATGCCCGCAATTTATACTCATTCTTCCTTATCTTTACACCCTTAATTAACTTCGATTCCCGAATCTGAATCAATAAAATTTCCAATGTTAAAACAAATAACAATGGGGATAATGGACATCCTTGTCTTGTCCCTTTTTGAATATTAAAATTCTCAGTCAATCCCCCATTTACAACAATTTGTGCAGATTGCTGCTGATATATAGCTTTAAGTGCATGTAAAAAATTGTCCCCAAAATTCATTTTCTCTACCAAAGAAAATAAAAATTGCCAGTCCAATTGATCAAAAGCTTTTTCAGCGTCCAAAAAGATAAAAGCCACAGGAATCTGATTATTCTTATCCAAGTACTCAATTAAGTTAATAATTTGTCTAACATTATGTTTCATATATCTCCCTGTTATAAATCCTGCTTGATCACTATGAATCAAGTCTTTCATAACCTGCATTAATCTATTTGCCAAAATTTTTGTAAAGATCTTATAATCAACATTCAATAATGAAATTGGCCTATAATTCTTAGGCTCTAAGTCCACAGATCTTAAACGTTGCCAAGGTTGTATACCCCCCGACCTAGGTGTTTCTAACCTTAAGTCTGGGGTCAACAAAAGAGCTATCATGTAATAATCACTTCTTGCTCACTGCTTTTCAGAGGGGGTGGAGATGAATTGCAGTGTGGTGTGAAGAGCTAATATGACTTGGTCCCTTTTCCTCTGCTCAGCCATGCTCTGGACATTGTATCCACTTTTTATTGCTTAAAGTTTAAATGAGCCATTGCATATACGTTGGAAATAAACCAAGCAGAGAGAGAGAAGAGGAAAGACCAGTTTTTAGTGGCGGAGAAGGCGATTCTCCAAAGTATGCAGGGGTATAAACAAGGCTCCTCCAGAATTGCTCAGCAGCCATTTGATCCTGGGAGCAAAATGCTGCTGCACACAAGAGCTATGCTTGTACCCTCAAACCCTCCGAAGCACCTTTGACTCTTAACATTTTGCATAGCCTTAAAATACATAGCCTAAATAGTTTGAGAGAGAGAGCCCCAAATGCAACCCAAGAACATTTTAAAAATGATAATTTCAGTTATGTCAAATCTTTTTGGCAGGACAATCTAATCAACATTTTGAAATGTGATTATATGGTGCAACTTCCAACAATGTGCAGATAGAGAACCATGACATGTAATAAGCTTTAGATAATAGTCTCGGAAGACTGGACTTAATATTCTAAACATTTCTATTTGTTCCTGATTAGGTATGGGCAGAGAATGGGTGATCAGTAACCTGTGACTCACCCTAAAGAAATAGCTTCTGTTTCCTGTTACAGTTGTCAATATTGCAACATTTAGAAGTTACAACAAAATGGTTTTCTAATCTACATTTGAAAACAGGAAATGGGAGGTGGCTCAGAGACTTAATGACACTGGAAATGGTCTCAGCTCTCACATTTCAAGCCCTAGCACTGTGTGGCAGGGTAAGCTCCTGTCACTTGCTTCAGGGCTTGTCCACCTACAGCAGGGGTAGTCAACCTTGGCTCTTTTATGACTCGTGGACTTCAATTCCCAGAATTCCTGAGCCAGCTTAGCTGGCTCAGGTATTCTGAGAGTTGAAGTCCACGAGTCATAAAAGAGCCAAGGTTGACTACCCCTGACCTACAGTTTGAAAGCATGTTCTGTGCAAGTAGATAGATAGGTACCACTTTGGTGGAGCGATGAGTTGGTGCTCTGTGCAGGCAGTCAGATGACAGCTCTGAACCTTCCTGGTTATGGTGTCCATTTGCCAGGCAGCTCTGGGAAGGGAGGGGGCCTTGCGTGATGCTGTAGGAAGAGTCATTCATCTTTCTCTCTGGTGCAAAGCCAGCTTGCTGTCCTGTGGTGCATCTTGGGAAGCATGCAAGTGTCTTCCAACAATGCTGGTATCTAGGCAAGCCAAACTATTACTCGGCAATTGCCTTGTGATCTCCTGGCTCTTGTAACAATGCCCTATGCTAACAACAACTTGAATTGTTAAATTTTTACCAGTCCCAGATTATGAATCAAATTGAAAATTAACCATAACAACAACAACATGCACCAATGACATTTAGAAATTCTGTCTTAAAGTAAAAGTACAGTCTGATGGCAAAGGAAATCAACTAAGACCACAATATCATTAGCAAAGGAGGAGAACGCTATATTGTTTTTAAAGTAGAAAATCAGAATTTTAAAAAAAAAACAAATAAACCTGTTTTTGTTTTAAGTAGCAAGAAAATAAGCTGTATGTTGTGTTGGACCTTTTAATTACTGATTTACTTAGGGAATTATTTTTACTGTTCCTTGATAAGAAGGTTGAAACAATAAACATTACTATGCTAGAATGAGTCAGATAATTTTAGAACCATTTTCTTCCCTTTTGATTTTCCAGGAAGGAAATTAACAGATGACTACACGGTTTTTAGTTACTTTTGGATTATATGTACATAATTATCACTAGTCTGAATCAATCCACTCAAGGATGCAGACCTCTTCACTGAATGTTGTTGATCATACAGGAGGGCCTTTGCACACATTAGAATGATGTGTCAGTTGAAGCTTTCTTGGATTGGGAGGCTTGGTTCATAGTCATTCATGGTCTCATTAGCTCTTGTATTGACTACTGCAATGTGCTGTACATGGGGCTGCCCATGAAGAACATTCAGAAGCTACACAGGAAGTAGGAAGTAAAGGGTATTGGATATTTGACACATTGTAACACAATTGCTTCATGAACTGCAATGGTTACCAGTGTGTTTCCAGATGCAATTCGGGGTGCTATTATCTATATATTACTAACAATCTCATTGTCATGACCTTTAACTGGGTGAAATGGTGAATCATAAGGCAACAACTTTTTAATCAATACCTCAAATGGACTAACTTATAGAATGTGTCCAAAATCCATGACCCGGGACTTTCAAGAGAATGAAATTTGGGGAAATAGTTTCAGTACTACTGGATGATGCTACATTGTTGCTGCAGTCATAGTCTTCATTTTCAATGTTTCATGACAGTTTCTCAGCCAGTCTCTCAACCCCTGCCTGCTGTGAAGGGGAGGGGAAGGGGAAGGAAAGAAGGTTTATGCCTGAGTTCCACAAGCAAAATCAATGGGGAAGCTGGCAGGAAGTTAGAAGTCGCTACTGCTCCCACTGGTTTTTTTTCCCACCCATGGTCATTCTGTTTAGCTAAAAAAATATTTCTGAAAGGATGACCCCCATAGGGCGCGGATTGTCCTAGTCACTTTGAAAGCCTTCATGGCTTGGGGTTGTGTTATCTTAGGGCAGTGCTTCTCAACGTTTGTGTGACGGCGACCCCGGTCACACAAACGTGCCGCGCATGCGCGGCGGCGCCCCCATGCGCGCCTCATGCATGCGTGGTGCGGCGCCACACCCATGCGTGGTGCCACACCCATGCGTGGCGCACATGCGCGGCGGCACCCCCATGCGCGGCATGCATGCGCGGCGGCGCCCCCCGAGGGGGAAAAATGGCGGATCGCCTTGTTTGGCAACCCCTGAGAAATGGTCGATCGACCCCAAATGGGGTCGCGTCCCATAGGTTGAGAACCGCTGTCTTAGGGACTGTCTCTTCTCAGTTGTTTCTACCCATCCAATTCAGTCAAGTAGGTTGGACATGTTACAGGTCCTGTTAGCAAAGGAATGTTGGGTAGCAACTTGCATTCTTTGCCATGGCCCCTCTCCTCTAGAATATTCTCTCTTCAAATATCAGGATGACCCCGATCCCTGCTGCCCTTTTGTAAGACCATGAAGATTTGGTTGTGTGCATGGACCTAGGCCCTGTATGTATTAAGGCAGCGGCCCCCAACCTTTTGGGCACGAGGGACTGGTTCTGTGGAGAGAGGTTTTTCCATGGACCAGAAGGGGTGTGTCTTTGGTGTGCTGCCCGCATTCCGTGGACGAGGCTTTGCTTGTTTGCATGGCCCGGTTTCTAGCATGCTACAGCCCGGTGCCAATCCTGTGTTAAGGGGCCCATTTCCTGCTTGTATGACCATGCACAGTAACAGTTTACTTGGTGCCATATGTATTTATTTTGTACTGTTTTAATTGTTTTTAACTGTTTTTATGTTTTATGACGGATGTCGCCCAGAGTCACTTGATGAGATGGGCAGCTATAGAAATCAAATAAATAACATAAACAATCATTTTAATCCAGTGCTGGCTGGTAGATAGATGGTTTTTGACTTCTGTTAAGGGTTGAAAGAGCCAACTTCTATACCTAAGGGAGGACTAGAACCTGTCGCTGTACTCCTCGCTCACCATCATCACCACCACAATGGCTCTGTGTGTACACCCCCCACACACACACACTTTATATAGTTTGTAGGAAATTTGGTGCTAAGCCAGCTCCAAGTGGTAGAATAACTGTTTTTTTCCTTTCACAAGACTGTTAATGGAATTATATTTGTCTTTTCTTCTATTCAATTCAAGATTAACAGATTTATTTTAATGATGTCTCTTTCTCCCTCATGTTAGAATGGGCTCATGTCTGGATTGATGCAAATGCTGCTGCTGAAAGTCTCTGCACATATCACGGAACAATTAGGAATGGCTCCCGGAGGTGAATTCAGGGAAGCTTTCAAAGAGGTGAATTTAAAATAAAAATGACGATACTTTTTTCCTTGAGGCAATATTATAAATTGCAAAAGACTGGCAGCTAAAAAAAAAAATGGAGATATCCATTTATTTCATCAGATTCTCCTGGGCCAATTTCTGCCTTTTAAAAATGAAAAGAAATTCTTAAAAATAACAACTTTTTTTTTAAAGTATCCATTGAACAGAATGGGACAACTCATTGCATCCAACTCACTGTGGAACAACTCAGCACAGGACAATTCAACAAATACAAAAGTTAATTTTGACCGAACTGTGCCCAGTAATAAAATAAAGTCAATCCAGAAATACAGGAGTTACAATAATTTCAATTTATTATGGTCATCAATGATAAAAGTAAGTGAATGAAATGATTAATACAGTGTTGAATAGTCCTGCAGCCAGTTGTGCTGTGGTGAGTTGGCTGTAGCGAGTTGTCCTAGACCCCATCAGAGTCTGTGCTTCTCTACTATAGGTTTCAATCTCAGTGCTAATGTCAAGTATCTGTAAGGATGGTGGTTTGGGTATATAGCCAAGGAATTTGAAAGAGATTTCAAAATATTCTGGCATACATTAGCATATAACTGTGATGCTCAGTGTTTCTCAATGTTAGCAAAGCCCTACATCTAGATGTAGGACTTCAAGTGCCCAAATTCCCCAGCCATTATGGTTTGCTGGGGAATTCTGGGAATTGAAATCCCTATAGATAGTCCTTGATTTACAACCAAAATTGGGATTGGAACTTCCATCATAAATTGATGGGGTAACAAAGTGAGTCGTCACATGTTTGGACCTAATTTTTTGATCATTTTTAACACAGTCATTAAGCAAAACACTGCAGTTGTTAAGTGAATCACACAGTCGTTAAATGAATTAGGCTTCCCCAATTTATTTTGCTTGTCAAAAGCCAACTCGGAAAGTCACAAATCACAAGCACATAATCCCAAAATGCTGCAGCTACTGTAAATGTGAGCCAGTTACAAGCACCCTGACATTGACCACACTTTGACCTGTAAGTGGTGTAATGGTCATAACTTTGAAGATGGATCATAAGTTATTTTTTTATCATTTGAACCGTCATTAAACAAATAGTTGTAAATTGAGAACTATCCATCTTAAAGTTGCTGAGATTGAGAAGCACTGTTGTTAGATCACAACTCGGTCCAAAGCTATCATCTTTGTTTGCTCTGAAGACATGTTTCTCTTCATGCTAGTATTACTTCAGTGTATTTATTTATTTATTTATTTATTTATTTATGAGACTTATATACCGCTTTAAGTGCAAGCACTCTCTAAGCGGTGTACACCAGTAAGCAATGTATATATATATATATATATATATATATATATATATATATATATATATATATATATATATTTACATTGCCCCCAACAATCTGGGTCCTCATTTTACCTACCCCGGAAGGATGGAAGGCTGAGTCAACCTTGAGTCGGTGAGATTTGAACCTTTGAACCTATCTGATGGATGATAACTAAAATGAAAGAGATAAATATAGGCAACATTCAGTTTGTTTAATTTGAACAGTGATGTTGCCTTACTATATTCTCAGGGATTATATTGGCATCCAGAATCTAAAGAGTGTTCTAGATTCCCTGGATTGATAAACTGAATCCTCCCAGTGTGGTTGATCCCATATATTTAAGTTCCCAGTCTAGTTGCTCTTTCAGATTGTGTGATATAAAAACATTTAGTCACCTTCTGCTGACTCAAATCTAAAACTCTTTAGCAATTTGAAAAGTCAGAAATGATTTTACTTGCAAAAAGGAATTTTTAATGGCAACCCTTCCCCCCCCCCATTCCCCACAAGACCCATTCAGTCTTTTCATTTGCCCTGGGGCTTAAACCCCTAGAAGTTTATTTTCATTTATATCACATAAAATCTGGTTGTTATGTTTACTGCCAGGAAGCCACATATATCAAAAGCTTTCTCTTGAACCTGGGTTGTGGTTAGTTTGGGTATTCTGTAGAAACAAAAGTACAAACTTTATTATTATTATGGATCATCGCACAGTCAGCCAGATGTTCAGACTGGATTTGGCATTTTGTCTACCTATCGAGTCCTTACCCCGGACCTGGGATAGGCAGATCTGGATGTTTGATGGTATTACAGATATCGTCGCAGGATGGAAGCAGTTCCTAATAAGGCTGCCTTTTGCAATTGACTAATAGCGAATTTGTCAATGCCAATGGTGTTCAAGTGGTGCTCCAGTTGTTTTGGGATTGCACCCAAGGAGCCTATGACTATTGGTACTACCCTTGCTTGCTTTTGCCACAGTCTTTCTATTTCTATTTGTAGGTCTTTGTATTTTGTTATCTTCTCCAGTTCTTTCTCTTCTATTCTGCTGTCTCCAGGCACTGCCACATCCACTATCCAGACTTTTTTGTCTTTCTTATCGACAATTGTTAAATCTGGGGTGTTATGTTGCAGGTGCTTGTCTATTACTATTATTATTATTATTATTATTATTATTATTATTATTATTATTATTATTATTATTATTATTATACCATGACAATATCTTCCAATGGGTGGCTTATCTTTACTGATAAACGAAGATTAAAAATGAACCAAGACATTCATGTCAATATTATTGTATATCCTTGCTGTTAGAAACTTATGCAGCGCTAATCTGACTCCTGTTTTAGGCGAGCAAAGTGCCTTTCTGCAAGTTTCACCTTGGAGATAGACCCATTCCAGTCACATTCAAGAGAGCCATTGCTGCACTTTCTCTCTGGCAAAAAATAAAGCTTGCTTGGGGCCTCTGTTTCCTGTCTGACCCGATCAGGTAGGCATAAGTGTGGCAATTAGTAAACAGATTGCATGGTTCTCAAGGGATACTAGATGCTTGTGCAAACATTTGTAAACACAGTGAAAAGAGTGGCTGAGGACAGCACGTCTTTAGTGCCAGTTCTGTGGCAAAATCAGGGTAGGGTAAGATTTGCTAAACAGCTCCCTAGTAGGATATAAATCTGTAGTTTAGTATACAGTATTTATATAACAACTCACAGGAAAAATATAACAATTTAGAAGGTAGAACATACAGTGCATGAAAAAGGACATATAACAAAATCTTTATTCCAACATGAAAGGCAAAGTTCACCCAGTAAGCAGAACTTCAGAGTATAAATACAGAATTACTATGCTGGATGATAGCATTGTTAAGAAATCAGCATGTGAGAGAATGTTGTATTCAGAGAAATTTTTTTAAGAGAGACTGTCTGAAAATTACTCTTCAACCACAATTTTAAGGAAAGTTGAAGTAGTAGAATGCTGCTAGACAAACAGAAACTACTGTATGTCTGAATTATCTTTTAATTATGGAGAACATTGTAGAGATTAACAAGTTGCCTTTCTTGTTTTTACTTCCAGAAAAAAAAAATCTGCATTTAAAATTTAACTTAAAGCAGTACAATATATTTAAGCATTTAAAAACATTTTGCAGTAAAAGGCACAAATAGCCACTTTCTGTGATCTAATTATATAAAATATATTTTAGAAAGCCAGTAATTTTAGCCAAAATTTCAGATTTAGAATAGTTTATTTTATTCATTTTGTGTATTTCCTTGAAATCAAAAGGGTAGATTGAACTTGAAAGGGGAATGCAATACATAGAAGTTAAATTAAAATTAGGGTCTCATAAAAATTGTTACCGGTAGTCTTCAAATCTTTTCAGAATAACAACTATCATGTCATTGACTAGATGGAGTTTTATTTCCCTGTGAACAGGGCGCTTTCATGGAATTCTAGTGCTTTTAAAAATATATTTGCTTTTAAATTTTGCAACCAGTGATCTGTTTTTGTATTTATGTCTTATTAGCTGCTTGTTCAAGAGTGTTATCTAGGCTGTTTGATCTAGTTAAAGTATCAGATGGCAAATGGTTGCACACATTAAAACTGAACCCCAAATTCCTATTTTTTCTGCTGGCATCTCAGGCAGTGTGAAGGAAAAAGGCCAGGATATACCTGAGATGGATGAGACATTGTATGAATTGGGATACTCCAGAGCTTCCAGATAGCCAGCATGTCAAGGCAGAGTAGAAAAAAATGGCAAGTTTTGGCTTAGTTGCTCAGTTTTATAAAATATATTAGACATTGGCATCTAATGAATAATTTAACTTCAGTCAATTATTTTTTAGAACATGAAAGGGACTGTAGTTTATGGATGAAAATATCTCCCAATTTTTTAATATGCTTTTGTCTATTTAGTTGAATAGGGCATTGGGCTATTTTAAATCTGAACTATATCAGTCCATCCCAAACATCAGAATGGGTAGGGTTTAGGATTGAGGCTCGTACCTTTTAACCAATAATGCCTTTACAATAATTTTAATTATCTGTGGACAGTATCAGCCATGTTAAAAAGGAAATGGTGTTAAATGATGAAATTAAAAAAGGGTAAACACCTCTAATGTCACCAGTCATGCTCATTGAGCAATATCTTCTTATTGCTCTTTGAATAAAGCAACCAGAATCAAATGTTTTAATCTGGATACAGAGTTGAGGTAAGATTTGACATGATGCTTCAGAGGAGTTTAAAAACTGCTTTGAAGGCTAACTGAGCAGCCTCTTGCAGCAAACTCAGAAGGATGATAGGGACACCCTTGCATACTTGTGTGCTGAAATCTGATGCAATTCTCTAAATTGCAGTATTTAACTCACAGCACATGTTTTTTCTATTACTGCTCTGTAAATGCCTCTGACTCTGTAACTCTGAATCAGACAGTAATGAAATTCTTCTGTCACATTTAGCATAAACAGCAAACCAGACCCATTTGGATACTATCATGGCCGTGGTGATACGAGAATAATGTAAAACAAGGTCTAATGACTGAGGAGTTGTGTCTAGTGGGCTTTTTGGTATCTCAGCTGTACCAAATCTTCTGTTGTATCACATGCAACATAAATGTAACAGCCAAGCAAAGCTAAACATCTCCAAAGAAATGACATCTTATAATTAGAATGTGTTTTGTGTACTTTTAGTCATCCACACCTCCCACTCACTCTGTGAGCATAGTAAGGTAACAGCTGTTTTGTTAAGTTTCTATTGCCCGTTCTTGGTAATAGAAATGCCTACTAAGTTTGTTTACAAATATGTTGTTGCCAACAGTTCTTGGTCCTGAGCCAGATTTCCACTGCATGCAAAGAATACACACAATGATTATTCAAAGGGTTACTTCGCTTGCAAGAAGGTATTACATAAGTTTAGGTTATATTTACTGCCGCCATAGTTAAAGAACCTTTTTCTACAATTGTGATGTCCAGATTGTATTGGACACTAGTTGAAAGAGGAGTCTTGCAAGATCAAGCCTTCAAAAGCAAATGACAAAATGTTCAATGTTTCTTTCATAATCTCATCATTGCATTGCCCTTAATTACTACAAGTAGTCCTGCACTTACAATCATTCATTTATGACCATTCCAAAGTTACAACGAAAGTGACGTAAGATCATTTTTCAAACTTACAACAATTTCAGCATGCCCTTGGTCACTTGCTTAAAATTTGGATGGTTGACTACTGGTTCATATTTATGACAGCTGCACTGTCTCGGGGTCATGTGATCACCTTTTGCAATCTTCTCAGAAGCAAAGTCATAGGCAAGCCAGATTCACTTTACAACCATGTTGCTAATTTAAAAGCTGCAATGCTTCACTTAACAACTGTGGCAAGAAACGTTGTAAAATGGGGCAGAATTCACCCAACTATCTTGCTTAGCAACAGAAATTTTGGGCTCAGTTGTGGTTGTAAGTTGAGGATTACCTGTACTTAATGTGACAGATCAGTTTTTTAAAGACATTTGACATTTCTAAATCCTTTTTTTAAAAAGTAATGCTGTTAATAAGTATCACCAGAAAAATAAACAACATAAATCCACAATTCCCAAATAAGGAGAATATTTAAAAGTGGGCTGTGTAGAAAAACTATATACATAATTTATAGCAATCTTTCCAGTCAGTAAAATGAGCCAGATAGTTGAGGGCAATATGCTCACATTTGTAAACCACTCAGAATGCTCTAAAGCACTGTGGAGTGGTATATAAGTCTAAGTGCTAATAATTTTGATCTATCTATCAAATTTCTACACCATCCATTTCACATAAGTGACTAGGCAGTTTACAATTTTGCTTGAGTTGAGTGTTATAGAAGTCATTTGTTATCTTTTACATCCTGTGGTAGATGATGAGTCCTTTAAAAAAGGTGTACAGTTGGAATATTTTGGGATTCAAGTTGATATTGTACTAACTATAGTTAGAACACCAGATCTTTTCCCCAATATTTTATAAAACAGAACACCAGACCTTTTCCTCAATACTTTATAAAACAGTACTTTGTAAATAATACTTTATAAGTAGGAAGTGAACTCTGAACTCCTTTTTTCAGAAAAATAAATAGCTTAGTTGCATCAGTGAAAAACCAGTTATTGGTGCAAAATAGTATAATTTTTATACCATTTTAGATAGAATTTAATATATATAACATTGTAGAAACCTATTTGTCAAGGTATTTAAGGTTTGTACCTAAAATAATTTTTAATGATTAATAAGCAAAAATGTCATATTTCTGACCTCAGATATGTTCATCAGTAATTTTTCATTTGATATAAGTTATAATCCATAGATTTTTTTCTCACAGAAGTCTCTCTCTCTAGGTAACATCCAAAGCACTTACTCATTTCTTTTTAACATTAGTTATGCAGATTTTTTTTTTAAACTGCTTTATAGTAAAGGGAAAAGACTGTCATGTGTTCTACTCCAGGTGGTTACTTATTACTTATTAAATGAATATCTCCTATTGTTTAAGGAAAGTGAATTTGCAGTGTACCAACAATCCTTTAAAAAGGAAAGACTACTACATCATTTCTACATGTTCTGATTTCTGTGATTGATTCCTACTTGTGCACTTGTCATTAATTTCTCAGCTAGCTATCATTTATTGTAAATGTTTTAGTTTTCAATTTCCATTATCTTTTTTTCCTCTGAGAACATAATGAAGACATTGAGACATTTTTGTTTCAGTAAAGATGATGTGGAGAAATGCAAACAAAAGGATTTACTAGAGCAAATGATGGCAGAAATGATTGGAGAATTTCCAGATCTTCACCGAACAATTGTTTCAGAAAGAGATATTTATTTGACCTACATGCTGAAGCAAGCTGCAAAAAGAACAGAACTACCTCGTGCTTCTGAAGGTATGAAGTTCATGAGCCAAAAATATACATTATATATACATGGGTAGTAGCTCTTATCGTGTGTTTTTTCTCAGGAAATCTAACCAATCTGCATTGATAACAGTTGAGTCAGCTTAATCAAAAAGGTTAAATTATGGAGTGCTTAAAAAACTTTCTTAGCTAGCAATTTTGGTCTTTATCAAGATTGTCAGAGTTGATTAAATCAAAATGTAACTTAAGTTTACATTCTTGAGCTTAGCCAAAAAGGCCAAGAAGCAATTAGCTTAAGTTTAAATTTAAAATAATTATATGATTATTCATGTATTTAATAACTTATGTTAAGAATCATAATTGGACAGTCAGATTTGAAGCAATTCTGAGAGCATACCCATGTCTATGACCTAGGAAACTCAAGGCTGCATTTCTTTTCATGGATGTGCCAATGAATGGTTTTGTGCATCATGCTAAACTATGATTTCCAAACCATATGTCATGGAATAAAACACATGTGCTAAACCATGAACATGTTTCCTGTGGTTGAATTCATACATAATACTATATACAAATAATGCACATTCTAGCTTAGTCTAGTGAATCAACCCAGTTATTATGGTCTTCATATCATGTTTGAGCATAATGTTATCTATATCTAGCTTATTTAAGACACCTTGATTGAACAAACCATGACTTAGGACAGTAAATTAGCCCAGTGATCCAAATATTTGCTACCCATTTACACCTTACCTCTTTAAGCAATATCATAATCAGATGCATTAATGGGTGACAACCGTATTCCTCCATTTCCTCTTCCTCATCTTTTTTCCTTCTATTTTGGAATGTTTATAGCAATAGCACTTAGACTTATATACTGCTTCAAAGTGCTTTACAGCTCTCTCTAAGTAGTTTACAGAGTCACCATATTGGCCCCCAACAATCTGGGTCCTCATTTTCCGACCTCAGAAGGATGGAAGGCTGAGTCAACCTTAAGCCAGTGATACTTGAACGGCCAAACCTCCACAGCTCATGTTTATCCTGTGACATCTATCATAGATAGAAGAAAAAGTAGAGGCTAAATGCTACAGTTTGTGTTTGAAGGCAGGTGATCTGTGCTTCAAAACTAGTATCAGGGAGACTTGCTTTCATTTTCTGTAAACTAAGGATGAAGAACCTCTGGCTCTCCTGATGCTTAATTACAACTCTCACTATCCTTTGCTATTGTCCTGTTGACTTGTGCTAAATAATGCATTCCTTTGAATCCCTAAAATAATACTGTAGTTAATTAACATTGATATTACCAATTATTGTTTCTTTTGCTCTCCATCCTAGCTGAACCTAGAAGATGCGTCCCTTCTGTTGTAGTTGGGGTGGTCGGCATGGGTCATGTACCGGGGATTGAAAAAAACTGGAACACCGATTTGAATATCCAGGAAATAATGAGGTAATTCTTTTTCGGGTAGGTTTAGTTATTTTTCTTATAAGTTACAATGGCTGCAGTTACTTTGAGGCAAGAATAAAAATAAAAAACTAGAGGAATAGACATAGGTGCAAACTGTAATATTACAGATGCAGTAATTACCTTACCTTGTGCTCAAATGGCTTTGATTAGATAGAAAATATCTCAAAAATCAGTATTTGGTAGACTGCCTATTAAGTAATTTCATACCTGGAACAAATGGTGCAAACAGCAATAGAAATGAGACATCAACATTGAAACAAAAAAGCTCCTCATTAGCAAATATGTGTGACCTGTAGATATCGATATGTAAATATATTCAAATAGTCCTTGATTTACAACAATTTCTTAAGTGACCTTTCAGAGTTGCAACGGCATTGAAAAAAAAGTGATTTATGAACATTTTTCATACTTACAACTGTTGCAGCCTCCCTGTGGTCACATGATCAAAATTTGGGTGCTTGGCAACTGGCTTGTATTTATGACGGTTGCACTGTTCTAGGGTCATGTGATCACTTTTTGCAACCTTATGACAAGCAATATCAATGGGGAAGTCAGATTCACTTCACAACCTTGTTATTAACTTACAGTAACAACTGCAGTGATTTATTTAACAACTGTGGCAAGGAACGTCACAAAATGAGGCAACACTGGCTGTGGAATTCTGGGAGTTGAAGTCCACATGCCTTAAAATTGTCAAGGTTGAGAAACACTGTCCCTAGACCCAATGGCACAGTAAAGAAGATTGATCTCCTGGGATCTGCCAAATGTTAATCCCTGGCACATGGTCTCTGCAGCATGCTCTCTCTGCCAGATCACATGGGCCAGGCTGATATAAATGAGGAGAAGTGGTCCCTGAAATGCCCCAGCTGCAGGGATTTAAAGTTTAAAATCATCACCTTGAACTGCTTTGAACTTGGGAACCGGTTGCAGAGCAGAGGTGTAATATGACCCTCCTAAAAGTACACATAAACGCCACTGCACTTTGCACCAGCTGGAGCTTTGAAATACGTTTGATGATCTGTGCCAGTTTTGGCACTGTTATAGATTAATTCCTCCCCATTGCAGTCAATGGGAGTAGATTAAGGGAATCCACAAAAAGAATGTATAATGTGGCCTCCTGCTCTGAACTTCAGACAGCTGTGGTTTCTCTTTTTTCCTCCCTCCACAATTTCAAATTTGCTGTGGTAGAGAAAGACAAAGTGGAAAAAAATCCTTAATAAAATTAAAATTCAACTGAAAGCATACTTATTGCTCCTTTAAACATGAAGAATCATTGGAAAGCTGAAAATGGCATCAGAAATCAAACCACTGCAAATAAGCTGCAGATACTGGATTACTATCCTTATTTTTCCCTTACTACTAGGTATTGGACTCAGATTGATGCAAGTTGATGCCTGCATGGTTTTTTTATTGTTTAGCTCTGGGGGGATGATGAACACTATTGTTCACGGTCTAATCTGTACAGGATGATTTTCACCTGAAACTAAGGCTGCAAATTATCTTAAACTCAAGGGCACTTCTTAGTAGAGATACATGGAAGAGTTTGAAGTTCATTTTATCTGCTGCTATTGAGAATACTTTAAAAATGGGCAAAATAACCTTTTCTGCTGTAATCTGATTAGCTGTTTGGTGGGTAGCTTTGAGATAATTGCATATCTATTGACTGAATTAAAAAGGCAATACATAGAGCAGTGGTTCTCAACCTGTGGCTTGCGGCCGGGGGGAGGTGTGTGCGAACTCGGCACAGGGTCCATGAAGGCTTGAAAAAATGTTATGATTTAATTTTCAGTTAAGTCTTGGGAGTCCATGGCCACAAAAGGTATTTAAAGGATTCCGTGGTGAAGAAAAGGCTGAGAACCACTGACGTAGAAGATTCAATATATGGCAATAATGGCAGCTATGATAATATTTGGTGTAAATAATGATTGGTGATTTTTCTGATTTCTCCCTGTTTCCTTGTTTCAGTGTGCCTCCTCCATCCACGTCCAGTAAAATCCTAAAGTTTGTTACAAAGGCTACAGTATTTGGACTGGTGGGCTATGGCTGCTATCGGATGGGACACAGGACAGTTCGGTTTATTCTTTCTGTGCCCATTGCACAGAAGTATCTTCAGAAACTGATAAACATAAAATCTCAGCATTGATTTGGGAGACTCTGCATCTGGTTGGGACAAAATGGAATGCACATAAAACTGGAAAACGAGGCAAGAGAGTTTTTGTCCCAAAGTCTGTTCTGATGCTGAGTTACTGCACAATCACTGGATTGGCATTAAGTGCTACACCAGCTGTGATCTATATAATTAAATATTTTCCTATCAATCTAATAAATTGTGTGGCATAAACATATATGCCAATATAAGGTACTTAGAATATGTACACATATATTATATTAATATGTGTATGTAGCATATTTATAATGATGAAATAAGACAACAGTTTGCCCAATACGATCCACTGGTAACTACCAACAAGCACCCTAAAAATGAATGAATCTTTTGCAAGAATCTGTACAGTTCTTCTCATCACTGTAGCTTGCACAGGAAAAATGCTGTGACCTTTGATTTGTCTGTCAAAGGAACAGAAAAACAATTATGCGAATTGTGTTCTAATTAGAAAGCACAGTGGCCCATATGGTGTGTGTGTTTTCATTATCAGTAATATTGAGTTATATTTCCTAGAGTCAAGCAATTCAATCTTTAGAAGGATCCCTTCTTACTGGAAATCTTTTATACATAGTGGGTTTTTTAAAAGAAAAAAAAAACCTGAACAAAACTTTTGGAATATCACAAATATGCTGGCTATTATTGATAAAATCATTATCTTTTGAAAGCCTTATTCACTTTAAAAGTTGCCTTTAGCATTACTAAGCAGACGTGATCCAGCCAAAATTAAGCACTTTAAAATTCAAATTGTATAAGGCAGGAGTGCAGAACTTTGACTGGAACATGCTTTTGCTTTTAGGCCTCTACAACAATTTTTTTTTTCCTTAAATGAAAAGTTTAGCTGCAGTCTGCTTCCCCCCCCCCCTTTATTACAGTTTCTGTTAGAAAACCTATGTTTATAAGACTCTCAGTTCCTGTTGGCGTGAATGTCAGTGTTTAAAACTTACTGAGAAAATTATACATTTATACTGTAGACTTTTTCATTCCTTTCATTCCTCCTTTTTGGAAAAAAAAATCTGGAACAGCTGTGTATGTAGAATTTATCTTTCATTTCTTGAATACCATGTGAGCTATTATCACAATTCCATGTGAATGTAATAAAATACTGATTAAAAGACTAAATGGAATGTTATTTTAACAGATACTAGTGTTTTTAAATTGTCTGGATTTTGCTAACATTACATTATGGGTACTTTTCAACTAATTGAACTTTTTAACATCACATTTTTTAAAAAACTGTCATGTATATTTATATGCCATTAGAATTAGGACTGTGTATTTTTTTCCTCCCTACAGATCATAATAAGGTAATAATCAGCCCACTGGAAACATTGTTAGGATTACAACTTTGTTGAATTGGCAAAAAAAAAAAAAGAACCTTGTTCCTTCTCTCCTCATTTTTTGGGAGGATGGATAAAAGTGCACAATTAGTGATTGAAATTAACAAGTGGATCTCATTTAGTGATTGCCTTGTTTAGTGATAGTAATTACAATGGTGATGCAAAAGTACTTACTCTTGCATTTATGATTGTAAAGAGCTAAAGTAAGATCATAAGCACAGTTGTAATTTCACTTAGCAACTGCTTTCCTTAACAAACAAGTTGCTGGTCCCAATTGTGGTGGCTAAACAAGGAAGGACTACCTGTAACATCTATGCTTTTGATTGTCTTTTTAGCACAGCAAACACGGGAATCAAAACCTTCAACTGAGGGCTATTAGAAACCTGCTTTTGAAAGGTTCTGGGGTCCACCTCTATTTCCTTAGCATAATCTGGAACAGAGAAGTGTGCTTAGGTCCCACTAAAAAAACTAAGGCTTAAGCACTATTGACTATAAGGGGCATGTCTATGCTTAATGCTTGCCTTTGGGGTAATGGCCTTCGTTTTCTTGCAGCTGATCTTGAAGTAGAGAAATGTCATCATAGGGCAGGATGGACTTCAAGACAGTTTGAAATCAATAGGAGTGGTAACAGTCTAACGGGCTGTGTTCCCCAGCAGCAGGGGGAACAAATATTGCTGATTGAAGTTTATTTTTTAATGGCACTATGCATTGCTATTATATCTGCAAAAACAACAACCTGATCTTGCTAGTTAATTGCATTAGAAACAATTTGTTCTAAGATTGTGCCAATCAGTTGTAATCAGTTTTCTGAACTATTAGATTTCTACTCCTAACATTCCCAGCCAATCAGATTGAAGAATATGGATCCATAATATGGTACCTCAATTCAAAAATCAAAGTTGTACGCTGGCGGAGGGGGGAAGAGAGGGAGAAACAGCTGTAACTCTATATATTCCCCTCAAGATAAACTTGTCAGAATAAGCATAGAGTCTGATACATGAAATGATGGATTTGTTTTTAAAGGTACAAAATCAACATGCGTGCAAAGATTGTATCACTATTCATACTACTTTTTGATCACGGCTAGAAAGAAATTCCACTTAAAAGGTATCATGTACAAGCAGTGTTTAATAAACCAGAGTATAGTAATTGTTAATTCTTACAGTTTCCTTTAATTTTTAACACTTAAGTTGAATCAAATGTTTACAAGAAAATTATGTGAAAATTATTCTACTTGGGGAGGAATTAGAAAACTGAATGGAGGAACTATAGAGTATTACATTTACATCTTAGTTCACTGAACAGTTTATGGTATTTTCAATTTTCAAGCACAGTTCTCTATTTACTGGGAAATAACTCCCACTGAATTTAGTGAGAATTAGTTCACAATAAACATGGATAGGACTTTTAATCTATGTTTTCTTTATCTGATAAATTAAATATGTTCCTCTGAAGTATTTGTAATTGGATAATTATTACATAAGATTTTTAAAAGATACATGGCAAACACAAGCCTTAACTTGAATGGATTAATGCTTAATGATGGATTTGAGGCACACTGTGCTGTATGTATTTCCACTTGCCAAAAATAAATAAAAAGTACCTGTATGCAGGTATCTTATCTTTACCAATAAATTGTATGTGTTTTATTTAAAAAATGTATTGGCTATTTGTTGATGTATATCCCAGAATTCTACTGCATGCATGAATAGATATAGTGGGATAGTCTTTATCTTGAATGCCTCATTCATCCCAGGCTGTTTCAGTATTGATTAAATATATTTTAGGTATCCAGCATAAAGGAAATTTATAGAAATATTGGGTCTGTACATTGTAAAATAATGTAAAAGAAATATGTAACAAAATAAGGCAGCGGGGAAATAACTGATATATAAAAGCAATATATTTTTCCAGTTTATCATTGTGTGTAAACAAATAAATGTTAAAAGAGAGACACCATAAGTCATTAAGTCAGGGTTCTTCAGCTTTGTGTTGCAGCATTTAATTCTCCTTTTGGACAGAATTGCTGTTACATAAGAAGTTTTGGAAGCAACAGATTTTCTGTGTCTGCATGAATCAAAGTTTTTTTTCCCCAAAACCTCCTTTCAGAGTTGGCTTTAATGATTTTGGCATCCCACAAAACATTAAAATGGCTATTCTGAATTTGAGAGTGTAGCTTCCACAAATCCCATGTTTCTGCAACGGCATAATTACTGGAGAGAGTAATTGTTCTTAGGCACTCACAACAGCTTCTCCTTTTGCTGGTACCCATGTTTTCCCCAAAATAAGGTCCGGACTTGCTTTTTTTTTTTGCCTCCAAAAGAGGCACCAGATCTTATTTTGGGGGGATGTCTTTTGCACAGTCTCACCTCGTGGTGGCACTGAAAGCCCCGCCCAGACAGCCCACTTCTGCAGCCACTCATGCGCATCACCCCCAGCTTCCATTTCACCATTGGGGGCTTTCAGGAAAGGCCTCTGCAGCCGAGAAATGAGCTCCAGATTGATGCATGCAGCGTCCCGTGGAAGCTAGGGGGCGATGCACACATAATGCCAGAGTTCCATTCTCAGCTGCAGAGGCATTTCCTAAAAGCCTCTGACAGCAAAATGGAGGCTGGGAGTGATGCACGTGAGCAGCCGCAGAAGTAGGTCAGAAGGGCAAGGAGGTGTTGGGGCAAGGGAGGCTTGGCTGCACCGATAAGCAGTTGCGGGGTGTGTGGGATGGCTCCACTCTCCCACTCCCACCACAGCTTGAGTTTTAGGCATGCACCTTGCCCCAAAACTAGGGTTTATTTTTGGGGTAGGTCTTATTTTCGGGGAAACGTGGCATTTACTAGAATAGAGGTATCTGTAGGAACAAGGTTGCTAGTAATCTGGAATTCTTGCAGCTCAATATGAAAATTAATCCTTTTCAGTGGACTGATTTTCCGGAGATTCTTATTATCCTTTAGGCCAGTGGTTCTCAACCTTTCTAATGCCGCGGCCCCATAATACAGTTCCCCATGTTGTGGTGACCCCCAACCACTTATACATCACCGGGTGCCAGGGGCGTGGCCAAAGAAAAGGGGGAAAAATGGCGGACAGCCTTGTTTGGCGACCCCCCGTGAAATGGTTGTTCGACCCCAAATGGGGTCCCGACCCACAGGTTGAGAACCACTGCTTTAGGCATATTTCAGAACTGAGTCACAGTCATATTATTGTAAAATACAATAGACTACAGAGATCATCCATACCAGTGACTATAGCATGGTGATATCACAAATGCGAATAGGTTTTATATAACACTGCTGATGGTTGGATTAGGCTAGCAATCACTAATATGGGTAATTCTAAATAAGCAATAGACCTATTGTAACTTAGATTACAATTAGTGAGAGGTTGTTTCTAGTTAGATCTAGTTAGAAGTTGGATTAAACTTGTACAAAAAACAAGAAAGCGCAGTGCATTCTTAAGGTATCAACAAATTTTATTGTTTTTTGCAGATCCTCTTAGTTATTTGCATAACAGCCAATGTGAATTTTGATCTGCTTTTACGATAGCAGTATCTCTGTTAAAATTCATAGAAAATAGAAAAAGAAAGAAAAATATTACTGTTACTGTAGGAAGATAAAGGCTGGCTTAGGAAGAAAACACTGGGAACAGATTTTTCTAATGCAAAACTAAGCAAGCAGCAGCAGCTTCCACAGAATCCAATTCTTCTATAAAAATGACAAAAACAGTGTTGCACCATTATGAACAAGCTCTGCCTCTTTCCTATATGCATGCAATGTCATGATAATCACAAAAGGGTCTGACAGTGCAATTCTGCCTTCATTTGATCCCCACCTGCAGATCCTGTGGAATGCAGTTGCCTTTGATATTCTGAACTATCATTCCATGCTTTCTTATTGCTGACAAGCAACGATGCTAATATGAGGGGGCTGAGGAGAGCTGAAACTGAAAAGCCACAAAGGTACCTCATTGTCTATCTTTGCAATAGTTTCTGTGGGTTGCTCCTAAGCCACAACTAAAATAATGGTTGATAAAGGCATAACTGGATGGTCACATTGAAATGCTATATCATCAGTATATGAATTGAAGGAAAAAGTATTCCAGCAGGGTTAAAGCCTCAAGCTAGAAAGTGGGAAACAGTTCTAATCCTACCTTAGTCAAAAAAGCCAGCTAGGTGACCTTGACCCAGTCTTTCTCTCTCTCAGCCCAAATTAGCCTCAAAGGATTGTTGTGGGGAAAATAAGAGAAGGAAGGTGTTTTGGATGTCTGCCTTCTTATTTCTAAAAATAATAAACATAGTAGGAGATGATAGATAGATAGATAGATAGATAGATAGATAGATAGATAGATAGATAGATAGATAGATAGATAGATAGATAGATAGATAGATAGATGTGACAGGCAAGTTCTTTCTGGCCTCAGTAATAAGGCTGGTAAAGGGATCCAATATAGGTAATCCTTGACTTAACAATAGTTCATTTAATGACCGCTTGAAGTTACAACGGCACTGAAAAAATTGACTTATGACCATTTTTCACACTTATCATCATTGCAGCATCATGGTCATGTGATTTACATTTGGATGCTTGACAACTGACTCACATTTTTGACAGTTGCAGTGTTCTGGGGTCACATGATCCCCTTTTGCGACTTTCTGACAAGCAAAGTCAATGTGGAAACCAGATTCACTTAACAATTGTGTTACTAATTTAAGAACTGCAGTGATTCACTTAACAAATGTAGCAAGAAAAGTCCTAAGATGGGGCAAAACTCAACAAATTTCTCACTTAGCAACATATTTTGGGCTCAATTATAGTTGTAAGTTGAGGCCTACAGTACATACACTGCTATGTATTTTAAGTTTTGTATTTATGATGAAAATTTGTTTTAAATTTATTTTTACATCCAGTGTCACTTGCTGAGATGGGCGGTCATACAAATAAATAACTACCCCTGGTTTCATTTCCCCTCACATTTTCCATTACCCCATTTAGATGCAGGATCAAGTGACTGTAAGTGGCAGGGCTCCACACAGAAGATGGCAGGTACAACTCTATCCCTTTGTCTGTGAGTGAAACTCTATACACGACCAAAGTATTGAGTTTTGATCACAAGTTATACTGTACCTCCCATAACATGATTTTTTTGCCCTGCCCTGCAGATACCCATAGTGGGTGGATGCTTTGAAAACTGCATTTAGCCATCTTCCCACTTTCCAGACTAGAAAAAAACTCTTTAGAGCCCTTTTTTTTAAAAAAGATCTAGCACTCTTTCAAAAGAGCATCCAGTTGTCTATGTTTTCAATAGTTTGTATCGATTGCCTATTTCTAAGAGTCTATAGAAAGCCTCATCAATACTTCGGAAAGCTGCAATCCAACATTATGCAAGGAGATGCCTCTGGGGATGCCTGGGGTCCAGCCTCTCCTGCAGCCTAAGCAAAACTGGGCGTAGGCGGCCTTTCTTGGGGAAGCATCTTCTGCAACAGTCAACGGGAGCTGCACAGGCTCCAATATCTGATTGCTTCTGTATCCACAACACTCAGAATCATCCTAGTTTGCATCCAGGACACCACTGGAGTTAGGAGAAGGGGATAAAGCATTACTTTAAGATTGCACGCTGTGGACATATCAGATTTTTAAAAGAGTGCAAAACATGTTTATGCTGCATTTAGCAGGCCAAGGCAAATTATAAGAGGAAGATTGAAGACCATTTTCATAACAATGACGTGAGGCATGTGTGGCAGGGAATCCAACAAATCACCAAATATAGACCCAATAACATCACTCCTGTTGACAGAGATGCTTCATTGGCAGAGGAGTTGAATTATTTCTTTGTCTGCTTTGAAGTGAAGCCATCAGAGGCAGCTGTACCACAGTCATTAGTCCATCACAGCTCTCCCCTCACCGTGGAGGAGCATGAGGTGAGGAGTACCTTGAGAACTGCGGACTCAAGGAAGGCTCTGGACATGATGGCATTTCTGGCTGGGTGTTCAAAGACTGCACAGACCAGTTGGCTGGGGTCTTTACTAAGATTTTTAATGGGTCTCTTTCCCAGTCCACTATTCCATCCTGTCTGAAGGCCTCCATCATTGTTCCACTGCCAAAGAAGTCCTTTATTAACAGTCTCAGTGATTATAAACCAGTGGCACTCACCCCTATTATCATGAAGTGTTTTGAAAAACTGGTCTGCAGGCACATTGTGTCCTGCCTCCCATATACACTCAACAGTCACCAGTTTGCACTCTACTCTACTCTACTCTACTCTATTAATTTGTGATCAGGAGCCCATATTTTACCCCATATTTTATTGAGGAATTTTAGGAGTTGAAGTCTACACATCTTAAAGTTGCCAAGATTGACAAACACTGGGTTACCACTATTGCAGAGCTATTAAGCCTCTCTGCCTTACTGGCATCTTGGCGTAGCCTGGCGGGTTGACGGCAGGACTCGCAAACGGAGGAACCGGAAAACTCCTAAACCAACAGGACTGGCACGTTTTGTATGTTGCTCCTCTCCACGTCCTCAGATTGGCTAAGTCTCTCCGTGCCGTGATAGGGTGAACGCCGGAGGCGCGTTTCGGTGAACACATTTGGATAGGCTGCATGGAGAAGCTGCGGGCGGGATTAAGAGCTGCGTGACAGGCGATCTGTCAGACGGTAGCCGAGACGGGAAAAACAATGGATGGCCGCCGCTCTGCGCTGTAAACGTCGCTGCTTCGGTCGCTTAGGGTCACTGCCCGGCTGGTTCGTGGCGGCCACGAACGTGAGTCCCGCTGTTAGCATGGAGGCGGCCGCCTCGTCCGGGGCCCCGCGGTGGTTCAACGCTTTGCGTTTCGACAACCGGGCTCTGAGAGCTCTGCCGCTGGATCCGAGCGAGGAGAACGTCCCTCGGTCCGTGCCGGGTGCCTGCTTTTCTCGGGTGCGGCCCACGCCAGTGCAGTCCCCGCGGCTGGTGGCCGCCTCCGCGCCGGCGCTGGCTCTGCTGGGCCTGAGGGAACCGCAGACGCCGGAGGAGGAAGAGGAGGCCGCGCTCTACTTCAGCGGGAACCAGCTGCTGCCGGGAGCCGAGCCGGCCGCCCACTGCTACTGCGGCCACCAGTTCGGCAGCTTTGCGGGGCAGCTGGGCGACGGCGCGGCCATGTACCTGGGGGAGGTGCTGAACCCGCGTGGGGAGCGCTGGGAGATCCAGCTCAAGGGTGCCGGACTCACCCCTTTCTCCAGGTAAAGAGAGGCGGAGGAGGGGGACGGGTAGCCGAACTTGCCAGCTGCTGAGTGCGATAAGCTCCCGGGGTTTGGTGAATGGCAGCGACACGTGCATCATGCAGGGGGGTTGGGCTTGATGGCCTCTGAGATCTCTTCCAGCTCTACTATTCTGTATAGGAGGACTTGGTTCCTTTTCTCAGCCAGGCCCTTTGTCGTGTACAGTTATCTCGACTCTGAATAAAAAGGCATGGAAGATGATTATGGGCTGAAGCAATTATCTCTCAGGGCTATTTTAATTTAGATTACTGAACAAAACAAAAGTCTGGACTTAGATGGCTATGTGTCTCTATGGAGGTAGATCCATTTCTGGATTTATTCCCAATTCCCCAACAGGTTTGTGATCTTCGTTTACATTCAGACTTAAGAATTCATTTCCCAAAGAGGGCAAGATCTAATTTGCATGCATTTGTTTTCCTTCCTTCTCCCCCCTCCTCCCCCACTGCAAGTCCCTGTTTGTTTTCTTGGCAAGATTTTAGAAATGGCTGGCTTTTGCCTCCTTCCTAGGGCTAAGTGAGAGAGATTGGCTCACTCCTTTTTCTCCCATTTTCTAATCTATTTTCAATGATGTTTCTAAAATGTCAGAAATGATCATGTTATAGCTGCACTCTACTATTGTTTCAAGCTGGCATTACTAAAGCCATTCAGTCATGCTTATTAGATTGGAAATACTTGAGCTGGAAAATATTTAAAGTAAGAAATTCATTTTGGTTATTTGAGCCTTAAAAGATTCTTTAACATATAAGATGACTTCTGGCCCTATGTGCTCCGTTTAATTTTGAGTTTTGAAGTTACATCTTATTTACACCTCTTATTTCATTATTTTCAGACAAGCAGATGGTCGTAAAGTTCTGAGATCAAGCATAAGAGAATTCCTTTGCAGTGAAGCTATGTTTCACCTAGGAATACCAACCACCAGAGCAGGGACATGTGTAACATCGGATTCAGAAGTTATTCGGGATATATTTTATGATGGAAATCCCAAAAAAGAAAAGTGTACAATTGTACTAAGAATAGCACCAACATTTATTAGGTAATTGTTCTGGTTGGATGTAATATTAAAAGTGGTGTTCTTTATAACAGAATGTGGATAAATTCTTATTACGATAGGACAGCAGTTAGTCAGGTCCAGAAGATTTTTGCATATTGCCATGATATATTGTAAATATTCAGCTGCAGTGTTTTCTGGGATCACAAAGCTAGGATGACTAGCATTTGTTAGACTATCTGAAAGATGCATTTTGGCAACTTAATGACTAGTTTCATTTCTGAATTATTATTTAGCTATTTTTATATATGTATGGCTATAGATTTAGAGATGAATATGCTTGGTCACACAGTCAGCCAGATATATAGACTGGATCTGGCATTTTATCCACCTATCAAGTCCTTTCCAAGGTCCTGGGATAGACATATATTAATATTAGTTTATTATTAATAATTATATCAGAAATCAGTTTATTTTCATTTTATGGTTAAATGTGCTTTTTAAAAAAATAGTTACAGAGAAAAAAGATCTTACTGAAATGTTGAAATACCTTATGAATGGATAGGAATAATTGGCAATTTCTGTTTTAAACAGGTTTGGATCATTTGAAATTTTTAAATCTGCTGATGAATTTACAGGACGTAAAGGTCCCAGTGTTAATAGAAATGATATTAGAGTTCAAATGCTTGATTATGTGATTAGCACTTTCTATCCAGATATTCTGCAAACACACCCTGACAATAATATTCAGAGGAATGCTGCTTTCTTTCGAGAGGTAAGGTGACAGCTGACAATTTACAGTATTAAATTAATCTACACTTTTCCTCCAAAGGCATTCAGGATGGCCTTTTAACATTCAATTATTAATGCCATAGTTAATTTAGGCTAATTTATCTCATTTGCTTATCACTGAGTAGGAATTTGAATGGAAAATTCATATTCACAAGCTTGTTTAAATAGTTTCATGCAATCTCTCAATCTCTAAATTTATGTATTGTGTTATTTTATGAAAATATCAGTTTATTGTATTTCTTTTATTACAGAAGATTCCTGAGACTCACATTTATTCTAAGTCTATTTTGTTCTAATTGTATAATTTCAGACTTTCTGAAGTACTTTTGAAGTACTTGTTAATCTGCAAAAAGAATAAAAAATTATTTAGGGCCAGTGAATTTAAACTTCCATATGTAGGAAAAATTAAGATCCCACTGCCCCAATTTCTACCCTGATGCTTATGTGAAGAATATCTTCCAAATTAAAAGCTGTTTTAGATATTGAAGTCTAAAACTGTATGAATGCTAGAATGGAAAACTTTCAACATACACATTTGTTTACCATGTTATTACAACACAGCTCTTTTAAAATATAATTTGTAGGTGAAAACAGCTTGACAACTAATTGGTATATGTTTTAAGGTATCAAGACGGACAGCCAGGATGGTTGCTGAATGGCAGTGTGTTGGATTTTGTCATGGTGTGCTCAACACAGATAATATGAGTGTACTTGGACTTACAATTGACTATGGACCTTTTGGATTTATGGACAGGTTAGTGTAGCTCAGGTTCTTACAATGTATTGATACTCTCTTGCAATTTTGGTCAATAATTTAATTTCAGTACTTTTTCTTTAATAGTAATATTTACTGGAGACAGTGGAAAAAACTGAAGCACATTGAATTATTATTTCAGATAAATTGTCTTGCCATGCAGTATGTTTAAGTATTTGTAGAGTTAGTACAAAATGATTAATTTTGCATGTAGAAGTCCCATTCAGAAAAGATGGAGAGGTGAGACTACCTTCCTACAAGCAGAATGGGACAAATTGCCACAGCCAGCTCACCGTGGCCAACTCACCATGGCCAACTCATTGCAGAACAACTCCCTACAGGACAATTCAACAATTCAATTATTTAAAATAATTTAAAAATAATTTAATTTTTGTCATTCACAGTTCATTTGTCCCTCCTTTAGCATCCTTTTTTTTAATGATTCTACTCCACCATTTCTTCAATATTAGTGTAACTTTTGTCCTGCGGCGGATTGTCCTACAGTGAGTTGTCCTAGATGGACAGTTCAAGATGGAGAGAGATGAGCTACAAAAAGATCTTGTCTCTAATGATAGACCATACTAAAAGACTATATGGCATATGGCATATAAGCATTGTTAAAATTGTTATTTCAAATAGCAATGCTATCTGCGTGAATATGATGATACAATGTTTAAAATGAATGTGATGGCAGTTTATATACTCTGATTTCCCCCCCCCCCATCTTTACCTGTTGTTTGTAACTTTGTTTTTGTACCTGTATTAGATTTGATTAACTCATCTTAGAAAGTGATGCATACTGTCTTCAAATATATAAGTGCTTCCTGCAGTATTTAAGGATTCTGTGCCATGTATCCATGTCAGTTAAATATTGCCTTGTATCATTTTATATTTTGTATTTTTTCTAGATACGATCCTGAACATATTTGCAATGGATCTGATAACATAGGACGATATGCTTATAATAAGCAACCAGAGATTTGTAAGTGGAATCTAACTAAATTTGCTGAAGCCTTAGTCCCAGAACTTCCACTGGAAATCAGCACGCCCATCCTGGAAGAGGAATATGATGCAGAATTTGAAAAGCATTATTTGCAAATGATGAGAAGGAAACTAGGTTTAATTCAGCTCCAGCTAGATGAAGATAATAAGCTGGTCCTTGATCTCTTGGAGACTATGCACATCACAGGTGAGTATGAATTATATTCATTTTAAGAATACTAAAAAACAAAATCAATTTGACCACAATATTACAATTGTAAAAACACTTGGAACTCAGTTATAGAAAGTTGAAATAAAAAGTGGAAACTTTCTTATAGTTCACAACCTACTACTTGACAAGATAGTTCACAACCTACTACTTGACAAGATAGAAAAATGTGGGGTAGACAGCATCACCACCAGATGGATCCGTAGCTGGCTGACGGCCGTACTCAGCGTGTGGCCCTCAATGGAACAGCATCTACATGGAGGGAAGTGTGTAGTGGGGTGCCCCAGGGCTCTGTTCTGGGCCCAGTGCTCGATTTGGACGAGGGGATAGATGGGGAACTCATCAAATTTGCAGACGACACCAAGCTGGCAGGAATAGCCAACACTCCAGAAGACAGACTTAAGATACAGAAGGATCTGGACAGACTTGAACACTGGGCACTATCTAACAAAATGAAATTCAATGGTGAAAAAAGCAAGGTTCTACATTTAGGCAAGAAAAACCAAATGCATTGGTATAGTATATGGGGTATCTTGCTCAGTAGCAGTAACTGTGAGAGGGACCTCGGAGTCCTAGTGGACAATCACCTAAATATGAGCCAGCAGTGTGCTGCAGCTGCCAAAAAGGCCAACACAGTGCTAGGCTGCATTAACAGAGGGATAGAATCAAAATCACGTGAAGTGTTAATACCACTTTACAATGCCTTGGTAAGGCCACACTTGGAATACTGTATCCAGTTTTGGTCACCGCGATGCAAAAAAGATGCTGAGACTCTAGAAAGAGTATAGAAAAGAGCAACTACGATGATTAGGGGACTGGAGGCTACAGTATATAAAGAATGGCTGCTGGAATTGGGTATGTCTAGTTTAGTGAAGAGAAGGACGGGGGGGGGGGGACATGATAGCAGTGTTCCAATATCTCAGGGGCTGCCACAAAGAAGAGGGAGTCAAGCTATTTTCCAAAGTGCCTGAAGGCAGGACAAGAAGCAACGGGTGGAAACTAATCAAGGAGAGAAGCAACCTAGAACTAAGGAGAAACTTCCTGACAGCTAGAACAATTAACCAGTGGAACAACCTGCCTCCAGAAGCAGTGAATGCTCCAACACTGGAAGTTTTCAAGAAGAGACTGGACAGCCATTTGTCTGAAATGGTATATAGCAGGGACTAGATGACCTCCAAGGTCCCTTCCAACCTTACTATTATTATTATATGGCTGAAATTAACATTCTTGTCTAATCTTCTCTGTAGGTGCAGATTTTACAAATACTTTCCGCTTGCTGAACTCATTCCCTGTGGATTTTGATCCTTTAAACCTAGAAGAGTTTCTGGATCAGATCTCAAAGCAATGTGCATCTTTGGAGGAACTGAAAGTTGCTTATAAGCCTCAGATGGATCCTAGGTATATTGAGTCATGAGACTGTGAGAGCACCAGGGCTGTGACAGTTTTTGTGAGAGAATAATTTAATAATTGCTGACTAATTTTATATATTAAAATATCGCTATGAAATAGATAAATATGTAAATTGACTGCTAAAGTTCAACATTGCTGTTATAATGTTCTTATACCTCTGGCAAGGCAGCTGAAATAACATTTTCTTCTATATTTAAATTAAACTAAAGATTTTAAGCTATTAGGTGAGTTGAAATGAGAGGACACTGCAGTTAGCCTACTAACCATCCATCTTATAGAAATAAGGCTCAACATACCATTTAACTCCAAGGATTCTTGGACCTAAGAATTACACATAATATTATAAATGATAAAATATTATAAGATTACAAATTTATAATGGAACATGCCCTTTTCATAAGCGTGTACAGGGGTGTGGTGCAGTAGCTCTGCCACTAGTTCTCCATTTTTTGTTACACATACTAGAATTAAGAAATTGCTGTAAGTGAAAGACCAAAAGAGAAGGGAGGACAAAAAAATGAATTAGGCAACTAATTCAAAGATGCCCTCTGGAACAGTATCTTTTCAGTGATACAGCTCCTCTCCAGTGGTATTTTGGAAATTGTTGAAAGCTGATGGATCTGACCCCTTCGATGTGTTCAGCATGCTTTTTCTGCCTATATATGACCCTTTTCTCAATTATAATAGTTCTTTACTTTTTAAAGTGTAAGCTACCCTGGAATAATTGGAAATCGGGCAGCCTGTAAATTTCAGCCCAACCCCCTTTTGGGCTGAAATATACATGTAGATCAGTGGTTCTCAACCTTTTTAATGCCGCGACCCCCCAACCGGTCATAAGTCGAGGACTACTCAACCGGTCGTAAGTCGAGGACTACTCAACTGGTGCAGCACCATTTGCAGAATGGGACTTTTGGCAGGCTCAGCAGGGCAGAGACAGCCTGGACAATTCCTATTGGCTTTTGAAAGCCAATAGAATTAGACTCTATTCAAGAGAGTTTATTCTATTGGCTTTCAAAAGCCAATAGAATAAAAGGAAGTAGCACAATAAGGAAAAGGGGAAAAAAATGGCGGACTGCATTGTTTGGCGACCCCCGTGAAATGGTCATTCGACCCCAAATGGGGTCCCGACCCACAGGTTGAGAACCACTGATGTAGATCAAGGGGAGAAGGGAATAGAATAATCAATACAAGAATGAGCAAGCAAAACCTGCTTTGTGGTTCCATTCATGGTGGAAATTGCCTGTTGAATTTTAAGGAACTTTGGGAGGAAAGCCTGAAATGACACAGCCTGTTATGTTACAGAGTTTAAAGCATAGGTAATATATGAAAAGCCAAGTCTGCCCACTTTTATTTAAACATGCCTTTAAAACGATGTTTTTCAAGCTTTTAAGACGTATGGACTTCATTCTGTCTGGGGAATTCTGGGATTTAAGTTCACATGTCTTAAAGTTATCAAGTTTGAGAAGCACTGCTTTAGAAGGATAAAAAAGAACTCTTGACAAGTATAATGCCTAATGATAGGCATTATCATATGGAATTGGTGTGCTTTTTTCTAGGCAACTTTCCATGATGTTAATGTTAGCACAGTCTAACCCACAACTCTTTGCCTTGATTGGAACAAAGTCGAATATCAATAAGGAATTGGAACGAATAGAACAGTTCTCTAAGCTGCAGCAATTAACAACCTCCGATTTAGTCAATAGAAATAAAAAAAACTGGAAAAACTGGTTGCAGAATTACAGGTGAGTTTATTTACATTCTCTTTGCTTAGTGGCTTTTTCCCCCTTTTGTTGAGATATATTTATAAATCAGATAATAAAAATTTAGTCATTGCCCTGTGAAATGCCGATGAATATTTGTGTCTAATGCTATTATATAACTTCTAATTTTTCATTTGTTAATATTACATACTTAGCTAAGCACTATGAGATTTATTCTGAAGTACATACTTTTAGAATATATTCAAATTAATGTCTTTTATTTAACAGTCTCTTTTAAATGAATCATTTCAGATATTTAACCAACTGTGTTGATCTAAGCACTTGCTTTTATCTGCTTCCAGAGATAGGCTACAAAAAGAAATGGAACACATTAGTAATACTGATGCATGGAATGATGAGCGCCTGAAAATTATGAATGCCAGCAATCCAAAATATATATTGAGGAACTATATTGCTCAAAAGGCTATTGAAGCAGCAGAAAATGATGACTTTCTAGAGGTAAACAGTTTTTTTTTCTCATATTTATGTTATTTTTTTTTGCCCACCCATCTCATAGCAGGAATTCTGGGTGGCGTATCAGTAGTTAAAACTGAGCAACAATAAAATTGAACAATCTCTTACACCCAAATCCAGGGTCAAGAAAAATCATTCTAGATTTACCATAAAAAGGAATAAAACCAACCAATCAAATTCTTGTGAGATGTGCAGGAATGGGGTGGGGGCTCCAAATCCAAAGATGTCCTCCATATTAAGAACAAATCCAGTGTCCTCTCCATATTAAGAGCATTCCTGTGTTGCTGTCTTGTGTCCTTTCCTTTCTCTACAGGTGAGAAGAGTCTTGAAACTCCTAGAAAGGCCATATGAAGATTCAGAATGCTTCCTAGAGCTATCTGAGGAGAGAGAGGAGGAAGAAAGTGTGATGGCAGCTGCTTCTGCTGTTGCTACCTGCAGCTCAGGAACCCAGGAAAGAATTCCATATAGCAGTAAACCTCCGCTTTGGGCATCTGAGCTCTGTGTGACATGATCCTCGTAACTGCCTTGCTAAAATTTTCCACAAAGAGGTTATGAAGCTCCCAGGAGTGGAAAGGGTAGCAAGGTGCTGTAGAAGTGCTATTAGGTCTGAACAGACCATTTGGATGTTTTCTTGCATCACCTGAGCCATGTTTATTTTATCAAATGTGACAATCAATTGTTTGGGCACCTTCTTCATATGCCAGGAGACTCGGTAGGTTGATGTTTATCTTCTCTCTTGAGCAGGAAGTGCTATTATATTTTTATGCATATTGGCTGGTGAACATCCAAATGAAATCTGTGTTTTTGAAGACAAAAATATGAAACCAGATGCTGGATATATTTTTGTCTGAAAATGAGCTACTAGTACTTCAGAGCTACTGTATGTTTTTAATTTTTACTTTTGAAGGGATATTTTAGAATGGAATAGAATATAGAATAGAATAGAATAGAATAGAATAATAATTTTATTGTCACTTTGAAGGTACACTAATCGGCATACATTAAAATGAAATTTCGTTGCATTCAGCTCTCAAAGGGTCACCACCTCTGATTTACACTACTTAAAATATCAAAAATAAATAAATACAGAATTATGCATATACCCACATATATTATATGACAGAGAGAAACAACAGTTTAGTTCGGGTTATGTATACATTTGCATGGCAAGTTTACCAGACAGAGGGCATAGGGAACAAAGCTATTATAGAATCGGGTAGTCCTGCTAGAAATACTTTGAAACCTCCTCCCAGAGGGGAGCAACAGAAATAGACCGTAAAGTGGCTATGTGGGGTCCCTGACAGTGCTTTGAGCTCTAAGCACACAGCGCTTATAAGCAGCATCCTGAATACCAGGGAACGAGCTTCCTATGATCTTGGCTGTCCTTACCATTTTCTGTATGGACTTTCTATCTGAGGCACTGCTGCCACCAAACCAGACAGTGATGCAGTTTATTAAAATGCTTTGAATTGTGCCTCTATAAAAAGCGGCCAGGACAAAAAGAGAAAGACGTGCTCTCCTCATCCGATGCAGGAAATGCAGATGCTGGTTTGCATGCTTCACTAAGGATGACGTGTGGAGAAACCAATTCAGATTGTTAGTTATCTGCACCCCCAGATTCCCTCTCATTGGGTAGCGAGTTGCTTTTATTTTGAAGATGTGTTTCACTTAAGCAGATTGTTCATATATTGTAACCTCTATGACTCAATCATGAAAATATCATCACTGGGCTTTAGGGAAATAGCAGATCTGCACGCTATAAAAAAGCAAACAATTCAGACAAATATTTTCAACAACTGCATTACATGAAGTTGATGATCTAGATACACATGGATATGCATCCAGAAACCTGAGTCACTGTCTCCACTTCCTTGTGAATTAGGAAGCATACAGCAATTTTTTTTCTTTTTGGTTCAAGGCTGTATCCTGCTTTCTGGGTCTCTGCATTCAGTTCACTGAATGAGGAATATTTAACACTTTATTCCCCCAAAATACATTTTCAAAGTTAATGGCACCAATTACTTGTTGAATAGATGAATAAACTGAGTTTAGCTTTGCTACTCCTAATCTTGTTCATTAGCCCTCTAACTTAAGAAATATAGCCTCAGAGTATGTATGTGTGTATTTTTGTGTTTCAAATTTACTACCTCAGGAGAGTCTTCCATTTTTGTCTACGTATATTTCATATATTTCAGTTAAAGATCATTCAACAAAGTAACTGGATAAAAACATATCTTCTCTTTCTGAAGAATATGTGTCTCAGATGGTGGGTGGCAATGGCTAGAGTTAGAATACATTTTTTCATGTTTTCATGGATTGGCGCTGGGATGTGATGAACATCAAATATATGCTCTTTTTGCATTAATAATGAATTCTTGCTTTTGTTGATAAGTTGACATACAGTAGATAAATTCTGAAAAATAAAAATCCAGATTACAGGTAATTGTGTTATGACCATAATGGAACCTATTATGGTTGTAAGTTGTGATGGTTGTAAAATGGATCAGTCACAGGACCAACCTGATTTTACTATCTTTTCTGCTGCAGTCATTAAGCAAACACAGTTGATAAGCAAATGCTGTGGTTGTTAAGCAAACCCATTGTTCACTGGCAAAACTGTCATAAAATGCAGTCAAGTGATTGGAGGGCATTGCAAGCGGCTGTAAGTGCACCAGTGTTGAGTGCTCAAAGTGAGGTCATATGACAGCAAGGTTGGGGCAACCATCAGAACTTCAGATCCAGGTTGTACGTCTCCTTTTGTGGATCCGTATTAATTTTGAATTGGTCACTAACCAAGTGGTCTATGCTTGGTTAGTCATACTATTAAAAGGTCTTATGTTTTGGGGTCTTTTTGGTACTTTTTAAAATAAAACAACAGGACAAATGATGTGAATAAAATTAAGTAATTTTATTGGGTCTGGATTTCAGGGTTTTTGGCAATAAAAATACACCATGTGAATTTTGTTACATGAATTTATTTTAAATGAGTGTTATGATTTTCATCATAGTGCATAAAATCTACAAGCTGTTACCATGAGCTGTGCTAATTGAAAATAAATGAATTTGATCATGTTTATAGCAAATATTGTCTCTTTATTTTTTAGGGTAAGGAAATTAGATGAAATAAATGTTTTAAATTATTGTATGCAACTAATTTATAGTTTTTGGAATGGCACTGAAGTAAATTGATCCCATGTTGAGGTCTGAATGGATGGAATTCATCTTATTTCCCAAGAGAAAAGGTTGCTGTTAGGACTGCACTCTTTGAAGACTACTTGTGTAAATATGGCAGTAAATGTGAAATGATGTTGCAGATCATGATTTGGGAAACCTGCTAAACGATGGGTTTTACTGGTTATTGGAGCTCCATTGCTCTGAGCAGGACTGGGAATAATGGCTAGAGAATTCTGAGAGATGAAATCTGCACATTTTTAAAAGTTGTTGAAATTGAAAAGTACTACCCTATAGAACATCTTCAATAACCCTGTCACCTTCCTTTATTTACCCATTACTCCACAGAAGAGAGAACAAGGCGAAATATTTAAATAAGGGAAGAACACATAGTTTAGAAACAAGGTACTGCAGTACTATAATGGTTTTCTGTTGACTGTTTTGATTATTAGAGTCCCATAATAGTGTACAAAATCTCAAATTTCTCAAGGTTGGGCAGTCAAAGTCAACTTGTTTTACTAACACATCCAAGAAGCCTCTTGGTAACAATACAGAGGTGATTTATCATTGTTTTCTTCTGCTTTTGTTTTGGCTTTTGATTTTCCATTCTAATCTGTAGGCCTGAAGACAGGTGTGACCCATCTTTCAAGTATTAATCAGGGCTAATTCTGCTTAGTGTTAAGGTCAGCCAAATGCTGCCATTTCCTCAGTTTGTATTTTTGATCTGTCTGTTTTCATCTGGGCAATAATGCAAATTCATGTTGCCAAGCTGATCCTCCACCCAAATTTATTACTAGAAACACTCTCATGGTCTATTACTACATAATATAATTTGTTCATGAAAATACCAACCATAAATGGGACAATCTCAGAAGAGCTGAGATGCCACTTACAATCTATCGGGTTTCTATTAGATTTTGCACAATGCATTTTACTCTATTACTCTAAGCCTTAGATCCAAAGTTTATAAATTATGATTATAATGTAAAAATGTTCTGAGAAATGTAAAATTGGATTTGCAGTTATTTAATTAGAACATTACAATTCTATATGTACAATTTATTAGGCGTTACAATTCCAGTCACCATGTCCACTGAAAACAAGGAAGAACTAGATTTAGTATAGTCCAGGGATGTCAAACTACTGACCCGCGGACCGGATGCGTCACGAGGAAACTGCCCCCCCCCATTGCTGGCAATGAGGAAAAAGTTCCGATATGTCGCGCAACATGTGACGTTGCGAGTTTGACATGTCTGGTATCTGATATATTAAACAGCTGGCTAAAGTACATTAATTTATTGCATTAGTTTGACTGATTTGGGGCTGTTTAGTGCTAAAATAAACAGTAACGATCAAGTAGTCACATGGATAAAACAGATTAACTATATTTTATGTTAGTTATTATATCCTAACTCCAACTCTCCAACCCTAAAAAAAGTTTGCAAGATTATGTTTAGTAATCGGGAACAGAGAATCAGTTCTGTTTTTTCTTGTTTTGATGTTGCATTAATTATGCACATTCATAGAAGTCAAATTTGTATCATTATGGATAGCACATTATGTTAAAACAGAGTTTGGGAGATTTTTGTTTTTAGTGCTGTTCTAGGAACTGAGATATTTTTGACTTAAAGACATACTTGCGAGGGAGTAAAGACGGAATTGCTGTCCACACTTTGGAAAAGGAGCTGCATTTAGGCAGAAATGCATCCCAGCTCCACTTCCCTTACACATTCATACAGTTATTCATAAGCATCCAAGATGGCGCTGCAGCTGTGATGAGTCACACCTTTAGCTTTTTCAAGGATGTTTAGTAGTCCAGACGGCAGCCTCACCTCACCCAGGCCCTTAGCTTACAAAGCAAATACTAAGACAAAGGGGTGGGGGGTATAGGAGGAAAGGTGATAAGGAAACTAGGGAACCAGAGGCTATGTCTGGAGACTGGTAGCTATTATAAGCAGATAAAAGGACTTCCAGTCAACTGCCAGGACCATAAACTATGGTGAGCAGCATATCCTGGTGAGAGTCCTGCCTGGACCTTAGAGCTTTGCCTGGAGCTTGGAAGCAACTAAAAAAGGAGCAACTACAGTGAAATAACACCACATCTCAACTAGCGCAAGAATTTTTGGAAAAAGGCAAAAGTTGTCTTTGGAAATCAAAGAACCTTCACAATGCTTAAACAAGTATTTCTACATTCTTGGTGCCCATTAGCACATTCAGAAATGTCCTGTAACACCACAAAGCTTGCAAAAAATCTGAATGCAACACAGAACCTACATACTTGAGCCTATAAAGCGCAATAGAATAAGGTAAACTTAAAAGCTTTGGTAATATGCTAGTCATGGACTAAAGCAGTGATAGCGAACCTTTTAGAGACCGAGTGCCCGAACTGAAACCCAAAACCCACTTATGTATCGTCAGGTGCCAGGTGGGCATGGCCCACTGGCTGGGTGTGGCTGCGGTGGTTACAGCAGACTGGGTGGGACTAAAAAGTTTAATCAATCAATTCCAACTTTGTGTGATTTTTTTTCCCCGTGAGAAGTTGAAATTGAATGAACCTTTTTTTCCCTCACACGGACTAAAGTGAAAAGGTTTTATAAAACCCAGCTGAAGGCCTAGGACTGGGGTGATGGCACGTGTGCCCACAGAGAGCACGCTTGCCAGAGGTTCGCCACCACAGGACTAAAGCAATATAACAGACTTTCACATCCAGCACCTCTCTGCCATCTTGCTTCTATCCCTCACATTTCCTTCCTTCCTTTTTCCTTCCCTCCCTCCCTCCCATTGCAAAGCAATAAATAGTAAAATTTATATGCTTGCCCAAATCCCAATGATTGGTTCTCTTCTGGTGTGCCTTGATGCTAATTAAAAAATAATAAAGGGTACAATAAGAGGGAAATGAGGGGTATGTAGATGTATTGGGAAATGATTAATTAGATCTATTAAAAAATCTTCACAGCATCTATAATTATAGGCCGTTACAGCGTAATTAAATAAACAGATTCTGGATTGTGTACGTATTAAATTTATCGACAAAGAGGTAATTTTCAGGAATATAAGTTTTTTTTTACTTTGAACATCTGCATATTGATTACAAAATAATAAATTTATGCTTTGCTCTTTATTACACATTTACATGAGAAGCTTTGACAATGCTAAAGGAAGAATTTACACATTAACAAATTTACATCTATGCACACTTTGATATATCAGACCAACATGGGAAACATGCTTCTGTGAACTGAGAAGACAGTATGAACCAGTGCCATGCATGTGAGGAAAATGGAGCATCTTGTTGTATCAGTGGAACCATTCTTTGCCATGTTTTCAGTGCAAACTCTTCAAAGTTTCTGAGGTCAGCAGCTTTCAAATGGCCTAGGTTCCTTGTAGAAGAAGACCAGTAGTCTATTGTAAAAGCTCAATTATCTTTGTAATAGTTGTTAAAGTTAATTCGTAGTAAGAAATCTTCCAGGTGAGGCTGGTAACCTCTGTTGACAAGCTTTGTTACTACTGCAAGGAAACGGGGGGGGGGTGGGGGTGGGGAAGAGGGAAAACTTAGAAAAGTCAATCTGTCAATTGAATCTGCATCTTCAGTCGGTCTGAAACAGCTTATGGCAAGAGAAATGTTACTGAGTGTCTTCCAAATGTTCTTATTGGAAAAAGCAAAGTGGCCCTTGAATGACAGTGTGCATTAATTGGATGATGCACATCAAATCCTAAACTATTATTTCTCCCAGCAAAGTTTCATTTAATTGCAGAGAACCTTGTCCAGCATCCTGCCCCACTAAGAATGTTTTAGATATCCTGTAGTGATGCTACCAAGTGCATTGGTAACCATAGCAGTCATCAGTTGGCTTTCCTTTTAACAGTTGTAAACAATGGGACTTAAATTCTGAATAAAAAGGGAAAGGAAATAAGGCTCAAAATTAGGGGGTAAAAGTAGGCCTAAAGGAAAAAATACATGCTTTGCAAAAAGAGGATCCTTAATTTGGGGGTGATGGCAAGGTGAACGTGATGTGTATTTACTGTAAGGAACCAAAGAATTACAAAGAGGATTGCAGAGAGACAGTGTTGTTGCCATCTGCCTTCCTTTATGCAAACTGCTGCAACCTGAGGGGTTACGTAGCAAACTAAGGTGCAGACTGCAGTAGCACAGCTGAATCTGCCCAATTTCACCGTTTCACCATCTTAATACTAAATTATGCTTTAATATGAAATAAAGTGCAAGTGTAGACCAAAGTTTTTCCTCTACCCCAGGAATCCCCAACTTGTGGGCCATGGCCAACTACTCAGCTATGGCCTATTGGCCACTGAGCTGTGTGAGTGGCTGGTCGGTGGTTGCGCATGCACACAGCCACACTTGTGCAAGTGTCGCTGCATTGTGGGTATTTGGAGCCCCACTCGCGTGAGTGTCACAAACATCGTAGGCGTTTGTGGCCCCACTCGCACAAGCATCGTCAAGAGAGTTATGGGCATTCGTGGCCCCACTCTTTTCAGGGTTGGCGTCCTGGAGTGGAGGAAGGGGGAAAGAAGGGATGATTTTGTGGGAGGGGTAAATGTGTGTGCATGAACATTGTTGCTTTGAGTGGGGCTGTGAATGCCCACAACAACGCTCGCATGAGTGGGGCCATGAACATGGCAATGCTCGCGCAAGTGGAGCCAAGCGCAAATCAGCCACTCATGTGGCCTAGTGGCCAATAGGCCATGGCCTGGTAGTAGGCAGTGGCCCATAAGCTGGGGACCCCTACCTTAAAATACAGAATGTTAATTATCATTTCCCTGAAGGTTTGCTCTAAGAAAACGGATAAACTAATTAGTCTTAATTTCAAAGAAACAGTAATGTAATCTTAAGATTAGTCAACTATGCTGTGCTTGAGTTTCATTTTGATTTTCAGAGTAACAGAGAAAAATTGCATGGCAAGCCTTACCGTTGAACAGAAAATGAGAGTAATATTTGAATGTATTATAGGACTGCTGCATTAATCCAAAGTTAGGGTGAACAGCCACTTGTTTGCTGCTATCAAAATTCCACGACTGAGAGATTAACTGGTTACGGAACTTTAAAATGAGGCTAAAGATGCTGTGAATTATATTCATCACAGGGGCTGCCTTTTCAGTCAATAATCCCCTGTCAAGGAAAAAGCAAAGATATATTTTAAACAGATACCAGTGTGAAATTAACTGACAGGTAGCAATGCAATTCCTCTAACTTTGTAGTAGATTTTAAAGCTATGTATCAACAGTTACAAAAATATTATTTAAATCTGGAAACAAAGAAAATGTTAAAAAAGAAGTCAGACTAGCTCATTGTTTCTTCAACATCTTGCTTTCAGAACCCTTTCCCACTTTTAAAAATTAGAGAACTCAAAATCAGCTTTTGTATATATTTATCATTTACCATATTCAGAATTAAAATTGATTGATTCACAGAGTATTTATTATTGAATCATGTAAAATGTACTAATCCCATTAGATACTAATCCATTGTTCATGAAAAACCCCACATTTTTAACAAATAAAAAATAGTAAGAGTGTAACTGATTTACATTTTGCGAATATCTTCAACAACTCGAAAATAATTTTGCTTTTGAGAACCAGAGAAGGCCTGGGTGATCCCCAGCGGTCCTAGGACACTGCTATAACCTTTCTTAATAAACTATAGTTCCAGTCAAACCTGTGGATTCTGTTCTGACCCTGGATTAGCTTAAAGGGTTGACATAAATCTCAACTCTTCCCTGCTCTGCATAAAGTCATTGTTACCATAAGGAGCCAATTACAAAGAGGATTGGGGAAAGAAACCACTTGTGCAAAGGATCCTAACTATATTTATTTGATTTTTATTTATCATTTACTATTAGCCATTTGGGGAGACCTATTATCCTAAAAGGATACAAATTATTGTAATCAATCAATCGTCTGACAGGCTCTAGGACAATGGTGGCGAACCTATGGCACGCATGCCAGAGGCGGCACTCAGAGCCCTCTCTGTGGGCATGTGCACTGTCGCTCCAGCCTTGCCTCCCCCTGCGACCCCCTCCTCCTCAGCCCCTCTGGAGGAGAGTCACCCCCGGGTGCAGAGCAGTGCAGCCAAGCACATGGCAGCTGGGCAGCAGGGACAAGGCTCTGCCCTCGCGCCCCATCGCGCACAGATGATGCGAGGCATGGGTGGAGGGTGTGGCCACCATAGTGCTGCAGGGCCGCCTGAATGATCTTCGGCGGGCTGTGGAGGTGGTGGGTGGCCCGTCAGGTGGGGGCGGGGCAGGGGTGGAGCGAACGATGGGGGTTTTTGGGCACTCAGTCTCTAAAAGGTTCGCCATCACTGCTCTAGGATTTAAACAAAGTAATAATACTAAACTAGTGGTTAATTTCCTTTTCTTAAAACCAGTAATGTACACTATTTACAAAACTTCCAAGAGAACCACAAGTGGTTCTGCACTAGGGTGGCTACAGTTCAGATTTCTCCTCAGAACATACATAGACTGACTTTTTAACAATTTTAAAGGAATTTTTCTGGTAGTTGAAGTACTCTATAAACTTCTCTTCATTCCTGCAATGCAATGCAAGGAACTATTTCTGTGGTCCATCAATGCACAATGCATTCGTTCTGCTACATTATAGTAGCAATAAACCTAAACCAGGTCAGTATAATGGAAACCCATGTTTATCCAGCCTTTATGAAATATGAAAACTATTGATCAAGATAAGCAAACAAGTAAGTTGTACCAGGGGCCCCCAACCTCCAGGCCACTACCAGGCAGTGGTCTATTCAGACCTGAGCCGTGCGAGTGGCGGACCTGCATGTCTGCAGCTTGATTTGTGTGAGCGGAGGGCTTGCACATGTGCATACGCGCTGCAGCTTAACTTGTGCAAGTCCAAGCTGCAAAGATTGGGGACCACTGAATTTATATCAGCTTTCTTACCGGAAAATTGCTTTGTTGAGATATTCTGCATGGGTTCTGTAAATTTCCTCCAAATTCCCCACAGAAGACAATTTATTTCCAAATTCACACCAAGTGACATGCAAAATCTGATTGGCAATATAACCTTGAATAACTTTAACAAAATGCTGCATTTCATGCTTATAAAGCTGGAGTTGTCGAAACTGGACTGAGTTCGATGCATGTTTTACTAATGCTGCAAAACAAATATATTTAATCAATCAATCAATCACAGGGTTTGAAAACACATGGTTATTATTTAAAAATGAGAATATTTTAGAAGCCAAATTTAAAAGAAAAAAAAAGATAAATATAATGTAAGGTTTATGAATTACTGGTAAATGTAATAATGTTCGATAAAATATTACATGAGGTGGCGCAGCAGTTAGGGTGCAGTACTGCAGGCCACTTTAGCTGACTGTGTTCAGCAGGTCAGCGGTTCAAATCTCACCGGCTCAAGGCTGACTCAGCCTTCCATCCTTCCGGGGTAGGTAAAATGAGGACCCAGAAAATATATATATATGTAGGTCTTTGGTTGTTCGGGTTTTACGCGGGAGAAAACCCGAACAACCAAAGACCTACATACAAATACCCGCGAAAACCTCAGAAAACACACATGCACACACACACACACATATACACACACACACACACACACATACATACATACATAAACACACACACACACACTGCTTACTGGTATACACCACTTAGAGAGTGCTTGCACTTAAAAGCAGTATGTAAGTCTCATAAATAAATAAATAAATAAAATCAATAAAAAAGATGCAAAAATACTTCAATTAAAAAAAAAAGAAATATTTGGCAGAAGTACGCAAATCAGTCTTACCAGTTCGCTTTAAGTGGAACCAGACATCTTTAAGAGTCCATACCATATGTTTCAGCTGTAGCAGGAAGGAGAATATCTTGTTATATTTATTCATACAGTTCTCAGTAATTACAATATTTAAGGGCCAGTCAACCTAAAAGAAAAAGAAAATAATTCTCACTGCATATGAATCTATATTTTGCAACCTTTTGAGACAAGTTTAAAAACAACACAAAGATGCATTTATAAATAGCTTCAGAAAACATTCAGGATCAATTATTCTAATAAATCAGTCATGGTTTTAGAAAACAAGTCAAAAAGTTCCGTGGGCATCTCACCTTGTATCGTAGATCCAAGCAGGTTAGGGCATCAGGAGCATTGGGTTTGAACATGTCTGGGAGGTATTTCAGTGCAAAAGAGAGGTTAGAAGCCAAGTGACTGTCTCCATGAAGGCTATACTGAAGTGCCTTATTCAAGATGGAATTGAGGACTAATGGATTCAGAAGTTCACCAGGTGTCTGTCCTGATCCCAGCTTGAATTAGAAAATAGCATATTAGAGACTGAGAGTTCACTGACCATGATATCTCTTGTAAGCAGAAGTTAAGCATGTTGTTTATTATCAGAAAATCTCCTTGTGCCAGAGTTTCCTATAATGTAAAGTTCCAAGAGTGGCTGTTTGCTCTTGACCATCATTGGAAACATGATCAATGAAATGGCTATTTTCTGACCTACCACTGGTTTACATTTTGGCAAATAGATATAATTCAATACCTTTTCAAAAAGCAAATCGCTTAGTGATTGAGCAAATTCTCCATCTTCCATTAACAAAAAATGCCTCAATGCTTCAAAATGTTTCTCAACATTCAATTCCACAAAATAATAATCCACAATGGCTTTGTTAACAAGGGAAACACTAGAAAAAAGAAACAGATGATCCAAATTATAAAATGTAGAATAATTAAATTCTCTGCTCATTGTAAAAGGGAAGAAACAAATTCATGATAAGCTACCCCAAGGTAAAATGAACTGAATCATAAATCAAGCTGTGAAGTATATTAAAAATATACTTGATGCTGTATACAGAATTAATGATTACTTTGTACAAAAGAACTTACTATAGAATAGTTCAACATCCTTTGGTTGCTCTTCAAATAAGGATGCACCATGTGTATTGAAAATAAAAAATTCCCTTCAAATAAATCTGGTTTTTCACCCTAACTCTTCAATCATATTTGTATGTAATTCCTTTGGCCTGATGAAGAAAAGACTGAAGAGGAAATATACTATGACATTTATAGATCTAATACAAGTTATTATGATATATGATATTCATATGTTTCTGCAGTAATCACTAAATTGCCTATACTGGTGACTCAATAAAAGGAGGGGAGATGATAATTTGTTTGTCTTTAACAAAACAATGCGAATAGCAGAACAAAGTACTCTTACATATTGACTTAACATTTCCATTACTACTTACTGAGAAACTAAAGGGGTAGTGATTGACCGTTTCATCAGCACTGGAAGCGATAAGAGCTCACTTAGTTGTACAGCTGTTTCGTCTGTTGCCGGTTGTATTGAGGGATCCGCAGGGAAAGTGTAGGATCTGGGGATCATGTGATGTAAGAGATGGGAAACTGGAAGCTCGGCTGTATTACAGATAAAATATATTTTTAAAGGCTAAACATTATTTTAAAATATTATCAAATGGTAAAATACAATGAATCAAATAACCAATATGTAACAACCTGTAGTTTGCACTCTCCAACTACTTAGTATATAGATAACAACCATAAAGCAATGGAAGTATTTATAAAATGCTGTTCAAAAATGCCTTATATGTAGGGGAACTGCACCCATATCCCCATCCCCAGTCTTGATTATTTATTTTAAACATGTTTTTAATTGCTTATGGCTACTATTGAAATGATAATATTAATCCCCATAATTTAAACCTAAACCAGAAACAGTTTATAATGTTCCAGACAAAATTTGAGGTGGACTATGATTGGAGCATTACATGAAGCTTCCAGGGTGGATAATTAATTTCCAGGAAAATATCCAGGACAGACAACATTTCTCGTAACATTCAGCTCTGCACAACCTTAGTCACATATTAAGAGAGTTGTACATTTTTGCAGGCCCTAAAATACTTAGAGATCATGCACCAAAGTTTTATGTACTGTAGTGGCAGTACAATGAAAAAAGAATCTCTCTTTTCTTGCAGCCTTTAGAACAGTGGTTCTCAACCTGTGGGTTGGGACCCCATTTGGGGTCGAATGACCATTTCACAGGGGTCACCAAACCATGCTGTCCCCCATTTTTTTCCCTTTTCCCTAGCTGTCCTACTCCCTCTTATTGGTGGCCACACCCACTTGGGGGTCACCACAACATGGGGAACTGTATTATGAGGTCACGGCATTAGAAAGGTTGAGAATCACTGCTTTAGAATTAATTAAATTAAAAGAATTTTTAAAAGTATGTAAAAAAACTCACCCTTCCCAGTCTAAACAGATAGTGGTCACTGATGTAGAGTATCTACAGCAAACGTGACCAGCCCACGGACAGCATGCAGTCCGAATAGCTAGTAATGTAGCTTTACATAAGATTGTAAACTTTTAACATTGTGGCTTTTTTTAAGCGATGCTAGATTATATATGGCCCAAGACAAATTCACTCTTCACTCAATGCAGCTCAGGCAAGCCAAAAGATTGGACACCCATGATCTAAAGATCATAAACTCCCCACCCTTGAGCTATTGAGTTTTAAATTAGCATCAGTCAGAGTTATCTTCTTTGAAAGGCTGTATCATATCACAAGCAGTTACATTGTCTTAATGCATCTCACTTTGAGACTACTCACACATAAATTCATATTGATCCTGATATTTTTCCAGGCAATATTGATTAGATAAGGTTTGCAGGTAATCTTCTTCTTTCTTCCATACAGCAACACTGGTGCTACCTCCTTCCTGGTTTTCAGGCACAATGACCTCAGAGACAGAAGTTTGCTGAGTCACAACACTTAATGAGGTTGATTTTTCAGGTTCTTCTACCTGATGAAAAATAACTGTTGGTATTATAATGTTCCTTCAATTGTTATATTTCTGTAGTATCATTCATTTTTCTAAATTCTAAAATGTTCACATCTACATAAAAATATAGTGGAATAAAAACAGAAATTTCCCCAGTTTCCATAATGCAAAAAAGTTACTTTGTTCCCATATAAATCAACAATTACTTTCAATTAAACATATTAACATCCTCATATGGTCTTTGAATCATTCCTACAATTGCTAACCCCCTAGCTAGCTAATTGTAAAAGAAGAAAATCCAATTTTTAATGCTAAAAGAGACAGTGGAAGGTAATTAATATCCTCCTTTCTTTTCTTTCTGTTGGTCAACTGCTCCTTATGGAGACATCGGACTTTATATCTATACACTGATGCTGGCATTGCTAAGCAAAATCAGCTCAGTGAAGTAAAGCATGCCAAGCAGCAATAGCCAAAATAGCAATAATCAGAATACTAGTAGTAGTATTCTGACTCTATAATTGTTTCCTTGCTGGCTTAGCCTCGAAAGCCTTTGCCAAAGTGGTGATTGGAAAGTCAACAGTACTTTGCATTTTGAAACAGTACAAAAAGACGTATGATTCTTCTCACCAGGAAAGGCTGAAGACCTTCAATATCATCTCGGAGGACCACTACATCCCCATCTATAAAAAAATAATTATGGGGGGAGGGGAAAGAAATACATAAAATTCATATACATAAATCAGATGTCTTTTTTTGTATTCAGTTTTTATGTTTTATATCGTATTTTATATTTTAGCCGTATATAACTTCACCTCAGGATAATATATTTTTGCAGCCATATCTTTTAGTTCACTTTTAGTATAGTTCTTAATAATATTGTAATTCTGTGTTTTAATATTTTAACATTTTTTAATTGTTTTATAACTTGTAAGCCGCCCAGAGTCACCTTAAAGGAGGGATGGCCAGCATAAAAATTTAATAAATAAAATAAAAATAAATAAAATATTGTTTTTGTTGCATAAACAGCTTTTTGCTATTAGATGCCATTCATCTTCCATTTATTTTTATTTAAGGGGGACATTCTTAAGATTTGTTTAAGTATCAATACAGACCAGTTTTAATTATTTTAATGTACCTGACAAATCTATAATTTTGCTATATAACTTCCCCAAACAAGTGACCTCCTGACTGCTCCCTTACAATTACAAAAAGTGCTGGGGATTGTAGCCCAGCATATTCAAAAGCAACAAGTGGGATAAGGGGTAGTGCTTAGAAAACTCAGACTTCCACCCAGCTATTTGACTTATCTGAATTCAACAGATTTCCTTAGTAGCTATATCGTTATATATTGGTGTATGTCACTTACCCTGCTCTTCTTCCCCGAAGCTTTCTTCATGCTTTTTATCCAAGTTAGCCAACTCAAGGCCAGGTGGCGTTGCTTCTTGTTCTTCTGCTTTCTCATCAGAGAATCTCCCATTGTATAGGAATGTCTGTACTGTACAACTTGATGCAGGACCAAAACCTGCTTTAAGATGAGGTATTGGATCACTGTCAGTTGAAGGAGTCCATTCCCCCAGTTGAATACTTGACTGCGATACATGACCAAAGGCGCTCCATCGAGGCTTTGAACTCTCAGACTCAGCAACCAGCTCTCCAACTTTAAAATGTGACTCAGAGGCATGCCCGTGGACATTCCACTGAGGACGAGAAGATAGACCTTTGGAAACATTTTCCCCAGTATAGATATTGGCATCCAAAATACCCCCCTCAGTGTTCCATCGACTTCTTGTGGCTTCGACCTTTGGCACATATTCACCAATCTTTATATGAGCATCTGAAGCATGACCATGAATATTCCACCTGGGTCTCGAGAGCTCTACCTCAGAGGCATATTCTCCAACAGGAATATGAGCTATGGAAACATGCCCATGGATGTTCCAGCGAGGCCGGCGAGGCTGTTCTTCAGAAGCATATTCTCCAACCTTGATGTGTGCATCTGAGGAATGCCCATGTGGATTTGAATGTGGTTGGGAGAGTTCAATATGAGGAATGTAGCCCCCTATTTTAATACTTGCATCAGATATGTGGCCATGAATGTTCCACCGAGGTCTCCTGCTTTCAACATTGAAAACATTTTCACCAACCTGAATGTGGCTTTGTGAAACCGAAGGCCTGAGAACAGTGTTAAAATCATATTCATTATGCAGAGAAGCATGCAAGACTGTTTCTCCTTCTGTAGCCTCTTTTGGCAGAGAATTACTTTCCTTTCTTTGATCACTTAAGGAAAGATCTGAATTGATACTTTCCAAAGCTTCATCCAACAGGTTTGTCTGCTGTGTTGTTTGGAGTATTTCTTCCTGAGGTTTTGGCAAAAAATCTTCAAAATTCAGACCAAGTTCAGACATACCTTTTGAAAGAGTTGCCATCTGATCACCGGAGGCAGTTTGAGCAGCAACTTCTGCTTCTTCAGATTCAGACCAATCTGTAGGCTGCACATTTAGGGGCTGTGTTAATTCCAATGACTGATCATTTGAAATGTAATTTGTCAGTTCAGATTTTGTATCTCTCCCCATGTCCATAATCTTTTGATCGTCAGACTCTAAAGAAGTTACCTTATGTGCAAAAATTGAAAATAATTACAATGTATATGTAATTTAGTTACATAGCTGACATGTTCAATCGTTTTGTTTCAGTTTCTGAAATTACTTGTACACAATTTTATTTCTCATTTTATTTACTAGCTCATCTTATTGTCTTCATTAATTTATCAAAGGCCTCAAAAATGTTTCATTACCATGGAAATCATCTGGCTTACCACAAACCTATAAGCACTAATCAAAGGGCACATTCACCTTTAAACCAATAACCAATTGAATGGTAGGCTACACGTATAAGGAAAGTCCCAGATTCCTTACTAACCATCGCAACTTAAAACAGCAATCATGACTGCTACTTCAAATCTGAATAGAATAATCATGGCTAGAAGGAGAAAAGATCTGAAGTAAGATAATTCCCTATATTTATTTTTAAACTGCACCTAGTCATGACTGGCCGATATCAAAAAACAAAACAAAAACATGACTTTCTTGAATTCCAGGAGATGGTATAGATATACATAATATACTATTACATGCTATTACTCATTAGAGCTGGAGCAAAGGATTGAAAGGAGTATACTGCAATGTGTACCAGTGTAACAAAGTACCTCCTGAAAGCATTGTTTTCTGTACCAAACTAATCTTAACTTTTGTAGTATTGAAATGTTATCCCATTTTTACTCTTTTGAACAGGAAAAGTTACAATTGCTTTTTAATAAAATATTTTTTATAATTGTAAAGATGGCTATTTTGTTATCAAGTAACAGGTCTATGATTATAATGATAATAATGATAAAGTTGGAAGGGACCTTGGAGGTCACCTAGTCCAACCTACCGGTCAGGCAGGAAACCCTATACCATTTCAGACAAATGGCTGTACAGTTTCTTCTTTAAAACTTCCAGTGTTGGCGCATTCACCACTTCTGCAGGCAGGTTGTTCCACTGGTTAATTGTTCTAACTGTCAGGAAGTTTCTCCTTAGTTCTAGGCTGCTTTGGTTAGTTTCCACCCGTTGCTTCTTGTTCTGCCTTCAGGCGCTTTGGAAAATAGCTTGACTGCCTCTTCTTTGTGGCAGCCCCTGAGATATTGGAACACTGCTATCATGTCCCCCCTCGTCCTTCTCTTCGTTAAACTAGACATTTCCAAAATATCTCTTTTTACTAGACATTTTACTAGCTTTCAAACTCTGGCCCAGAGCCATATATGTAAGAAGTACAAACCTGAAGATTAGCCTCTCTCTCTTGCTCTATTGCCAGCATAACCTGTTGACTTTGGTGTTCTGGAATTATATTTACTTTTTTCCTGTACTTTCCACCGGGAAGTTTTTCAAGCATGTCCTAAACATAAAATAGAAATATTAATGTTTGCAATAAGTAGGATCAATGTGTTTTAAAAAAAAGAAAGAAAAAGATCAGTACCTCAATATTTTTTTGATCTTTTAACAGAAAATTGAGACGGGCTGTTTCCAGTTTATGCCTCTGAATTTTCCATAAAGCTTTTTTTTCTCTACGAGCTGCATCTTCAGACAGCTTAGTATAATAGTCAATTAACTCTTGTCTAAATGGAAAGAAAGAAAGAAAAAAAATTAACACTGGTATCTTAGATCAAAGATACTATCAAAGCATAGCAAAACTAACAAAATTGATTAATACAAATTGCATTACTTCCGAAATAAATACAGCTGAAAAGATCAAAATCAATGAGCAAGGTAGATGTTCATGGAATTCAATGTAATGAAGTTTCCTGTAATATAATTATAGTGATCAAAACTTACAATTACCAGAAAAATGTACCCTAACTATAAGCCAATTTACAAAATAAAAAACATAAATGCCATGTGTTGCTGTGTCTTCAGAAGGCACAATACTCTTTTCTACACAATCAAACGGCAAAATTAATATTCTCTATCATAGTTCTACTATAAGTAAAAATACACTTCAGTTAGGACTTTTGTGTATGCGTATGGTAAGTATATTGTGTTCTTTAATTATTTACTCTGATTAGTGGTGCATGATCCATTAGGTTGGCTGAATTCATCACAATGTTTGACAATTCAACAGACTAAAATATTGCATACCAGGACCATGCAATGCTTCAGATTTGATTTGGAAGAGGAGTCTCAAAACAGGTGGCAACAGGAATGCAGTTTCTCTCTAGCAACTCATTAAAGCATCTGCTTCTGTTTCCATTTAATGAGCTGCAGAGAGGGGCTGGGCTGCATTTGTATTTCTGCATATTTCAAATCACCTCTTTTTCTTTCTTTTTCTTACATACATGATTTAGAAATTTTTAGTATTAGCATAAACATTCTTATCAATACTAAACTAAATCTGCTCTTGATTATTGAAAAATTTGAACATGAAATACTATGATTGGCTTACCTTGCTCTTTTCTCTAAATCTTCTTCTAAAGCTTTCAGTCTCTTCTCCCTCTCTCTGAGCTCCCGAGCATAACTAAAATCATCATCAATTTCTTCCTGTTTCAGAGCACATCGACGCTACCAAAATATTAAGAAAGATTTTCAGAATAATTTTCCAAGACCTTAAACTGAGCTGTATATTTTTTCAGGCAAATTCAATATACATACATACATACACAGACACACACACAAACACATACACACACACAAACACACTTTGCTACTAGTGAAAATGTACATTTCATATGAATAAAAACATACCTCTTGATCTTTTACAAATTGTTCTTTCAACTTCTGAAATTGTTCACGTTTTTTTACATCCAGTGCCATTTTTTCTGATATCTGTTGATCTAAAAATAAAGTTAAAATGCATATTTTTATTTAAGAAAAAACACAGAAGAAACTCAACTAGAACGTAAAGACAATTATAAATTACCAGTAATGGCTTTGAGAGCTTTGCTAGCTGTTTCTCGAGCATGAACAATTAACTCCTGTTTCTCAATTTCCATGCGCAAAACCTAGGAGAAAATCCACATGATTTTCTGTAATTTCCAAATGTTATACCATAAAAGGATATACACATTAAATAAATTTTAAAAAATGAAATTCAAAATGTTATCACTCAAACAAAAATCTTGTCTAGGAATACTCCATTCTGAAATTATTCTGTTAAATATATTTACCTTTTCTTCCTTGGTGATGTTACTATAGCGAGCAATTCTTTCCATTCGACCTACGTAGACTGCACAGTCTTTCTCAATCTCTTTTAACTCATCAAGAGAGAACGTTACAGAAATCCGAGGAACAGGAATATCAGACCAGCATATGTAATGCTGCAAAAATATTAAAACCAAATTTGATTTCAAATTGTGCATCTTTTACTTTTCACTAGACACCTAAATTGTTTAAAGGCCACAATCCTATACTTTCTGAATTTAATGGGCTTTATTCCTCCTGCAACCCTAGACTTTTAGCAACAGTGCTTCTATTACAAAGGAGATAGGAGAAATAATCTAAAGTAGGCACTGTAGAAGATATTCTGATCACTTGTTATAAAAAAAAATAGTTTTTAAGGACCTGCAAATGAAATGAGCTCCAGGGTTTCATGAAAATCATGAGACATAGCAGAAAAGGAGAGAGGATAGGAAATCCCTAAAGCATGTAGAATAGAGGTCTCCAATTTTAAGACTTGTGGACTTCAACTCCAGGAATTCTGGCTGAAGAATTCTGGGAGCTGAGATCCACAAATTTTAAAATTGCCAAGTTTGGAGACCCCTGACATAGAGGATGCAACTGGACATTGTAGGAAGACAAACAGAGTAGCCACACAAGCTGGTAATTCTTTACTATAATAGCCTGAAGATCCTGAACCACCAGCAGCAAAGATAAAGGACAGGACAGAACAACTTCCAAACTTTTCAAGTCCAATGCCAATTATAATCTCTTTCTGACATACATGGGGAAAAATAATACTGCAAAAAAACAGCCAGAACCTCCACCAATGTTGAACATGACTGGTCACGCAAATAAAGGTGGGATAGATGGATGGATGGATGGATAGATAGATAGATAGATAGATAGATAGATAGATAGATAGATAGATAGATAGATAGATAGAGGGTGAATGGGAGAAATCTGGTTTCTGGGACCGTAATCTGAGTTATCTAGATGATGGATTGTTGGCACCTAACAAGGACTGGTAAAAATAAGTTTCACAAGTGTGTTCAAAAGGCTTCAAATCCTCTGCAAAGCAGAAATAAAAATGCTGAAGACCAAAGAAAGAGATTTGTTTAAGCCACTCAAAGAAAACTGAGAAACATTAGTTCATCAAGTTCATGTCCTTCAATGTTAATACTAATGTTTGGAGTATGGAAATAAACATGAGCTTGAGCTCTCAGTACAAAATATGGAAGGTACAACAGAGGCTGTGTGAAATGACTATGTCTGCAACACAGCAAGTGAATTATACTATTTATTCAAAAGGAACAGAAGCAATACAAAGCAGGGAAGAGAAGTTGTAAATATATTAAAAATATTAATCCTGCTTAGAAATCTGAATCAATAAATTGGCAGTATTGCAGAGAGAATCTACCTAAAAATAAGTGGAGAAAAAAATGAAACCAAACTGTTCTTAGAGACTACTAGAAGCAAGGAAAAGATGTGGATAGTATCTTCCAAAAGGAAGCATGTCTCTCAATAAGGGATGAAACTATATTCATGGAAGATTTATTTCAATATCTATTAGAAGACAAATTCTGCCAAGATATTCCTTCCAGAAATCCCTGATTCGTACTGCTGACATTTTTTTTTCTTGTTCAAAAGCTAAAAGAAGGTATAAGAGGATCAGCTGTCCATGACTTGATACTATTCAATACAGGAAACTTAGCTGAAGTAGTGACAGGGACATGAAAGAAAATGACCACCTAATTTTAGAATTCTTGATCTTCAGAAAAACTAAAACTGTATATATTCAAGCATGTATTGTGACTTCAAAAAACCACATTTTAATAAACTCAGAATGACTGGTAGGCTCTGATGGCAAGAGAAACTAATCAGAAAAGGCTCAGGAAGAGTAGGGTTTCCTAAAGATATTAAAAGCACAACAGCAAGCAATTCCAGTGAGGAGGAAGAGTGGACAGACAATACAAACTTTTTTTATTTAGGAAACAAAAATGAGATAAATAGGCATATGATTTGGTATTTGTGATTTTTTTTTTTTTTGAAAGAGTAGGTGCTTGTAAATTAAGTCAGCATTGTGATGGGGCTACAAAGGCAGTTTTAGATTATATCAATACAAGTTTAATTTCTAAATGAGAGTAAATTATCATTCTAGTTTATTTTGCTTTGGTCAACTGCACTTTCTGCCCTAGAGCCAGTTCTGGACACTATTTCAAGAGCGTCTGAAAACAAATTCAGAGAACAGCTACAACAGCTACCAAGATGACTAGAAAGTAAGTCCTAAGACGAGAGACTAAGGGAGCTGTGTATGTTAGTAGTGATAAAATATGAAGTGAAGGGGGCATGACTGTATTTCTCAAATACTGCAAAGAAATTTTCATAGAAAATCAGGACCTATTCTCTCATGTTTCAGAGGACAAGCCATAGAATAAAAGATTAAAATTACAAGATTCCAAATAACATGGGGGGGGGAGATACACATGAACAGAGCTGCGAGCATGTGCACTCTGCAAATGGAGTTGTTAATGCTGCGGCGAGGCTAGCATGGGCACAAGGGGGGGGGTGAGCGTGCACACATACATGTGTGCACTGGCCAGCCACTCACGCGGCCCTGAGGCCATGGCCCGGTAGTGAGCAGTAATCCATAGGCTGGGGACCTCTGTTCTAAACAAAGTAATCAATGATCTTCTAATACTTACCCTGGGACAACACAGCTTCAGTAAGTTTATGGTTTTCCCACAAATATATACATCATTAGCAATATGTTTCAAGAATACAGGAACACAATCCTCTACTTCTTTAGAAATCAAAACATATCCATTGGTCCAATAATGCTTGTCTAAGTATTAAAAAAGTACAACATATCAACATTTCTGAAATGTATCATTTTGGCACAGTTTTAAAGCAATAAAATAAAATGCAGTGAATATACAAATATTATTGATTTGTTCTTCAACTTCCTTTGAATGGCATGTGTGTTGCAAATATTTTTCACATCTGTTACACTTATTAGGTTCCCTATCTCTCTCAGTCCAACATATCTTATAGAAATAATTGTTGTTTTGGAGAAAAATGAGTAGAGAGAGCCTTATTTGTTTTGCCCTGAAGTGGGATATAAATCTAACAAATACTAGTTCAAAGAAAGCTTACCTCTAAAGCCAAGATAATCTTCATTCACCTGAATCATGAATTCACCATACACATCTCTGAATACACCACTATATACCCAGTCATGGATAAACCTAAAGCATGAAACATTAAACGTCTTTTTTAAAAAAGATATTCTAGAATGGCTGTTGTATGCAAGATTAATATATTTCATCAGATTACTAAAATGGTTCAGTTACAGTAACTGGGAAAATCTGTGTGCCTCACTTTCAGAAATGCCCCTCAAACTGATACCTAAACTGAGAACTCTTAAAAAATTCATTACATCATTTTGCCAGATCACTGTGACAATGCATGGCTCCTACCTTGTATACGGTTCACAGCTTGTTTTCAGTAGTGACAGGAGAACTGGATAATGCTCACTGCTGCAGTTATTAAGAGTCTCTTGATAGAGATATGAAAGAAGTTTAACTCCCTGAAATACACACAAGCCAGTTTATGTAAAAAGCCGTGAAACTCATAAATTTTTTACAGTTCAGACTCATTTGCCTAGCCCAGGGATAGACAACCTTGGTTCTTTTATGACTCGTGGACTTCAACTCCCAGAATTCCTGAGCCAGCCATGCTGGCTCAGGAATTCTGGGAGTTGAAGTCCACGAATCATAAAAGAACCAAGGTTGCCTATCCCTGGCCTAGCCTTATTCAAGAATTCTGTTGGATAAAGCTACTTTTGACAGCTGCTTGTTTCCTCAAGTAAGGCTGTTTTAGTAGTTACTTATTCAAGCTCTGAATAGGTGGGGAAGTACAGAATATTTTATGCTCAGTTATACTATTTCAAATACTAATGAATAAAAATACACAACTTGAATAGTACAGAAGTCACTTAGGTCAAAGCATTTAAAATGCATTGCCTCTAAGTATATTGAGACAAACTGTTTATTGCAACCAAGCCATAAATAAAAGTATACAATTTTTTGTTGTGACTTAGAAAGAGAAACAAACCCAGGTACTACTCACAGTTGGAAAGGAAGCACTGGTACCTCCGCCAACTCCCACAGCAGCCGCTCCTAAGCCACAGAGTTCAGCTAAATACCTTAAAAAAAGAAACCAGTTACACTTGCATAATCATTTGCAGAATATTAAAACTGTCCAAGGTAGTGGACAGACAAGATAAGCTTGAGATATACCCTGGTATTTGGCTCAGCAGATGATGATTGTAGCCTTGCACCCTCAATGGAGTTTTTATAGTTATTCAGGCAAAAAACTGATGAGAGATCTTACCTTCTAGAATCTAACCCAGAATTCTCAAATAGTATATGTTATGTGTAACTAAACTTTCAGGAAAAGATAACAAATATCTTTTATTATAGGTCTTTAAATCCTATTTAAATTAACATTTTAACTTAATCCATATAATTAAATATTTTAACATACCGCACATTTCAAAATATCATAATCAATAAAAACAATTCATTGCAAATTACATCTAAGTTAATTATATGCTATATTGATGTATTGTACTATTGTATAATAGTAAAATATATTTCAATTCTTTAGATAGTCCATTAATAATAGCTAGGTGTGACAGATTATCTTGCCTACCCTAGGTTTGAGCCTAAAAAGCTAAGCAGAGCCAGATTTCATTAGTTCTTGAGTGGGAGATCACAAGGAATCCTGTGGTCCTACGTTAGTCAGGGACTTTGAAAAGATATCTCAGAACAAGCCACCAGCCAATCATTTCTACTTGGTCTCATGAAAACAACATCCAGATGTCCTACCAATGTGACATGACTTTCATATATAAATTTATGTGTATTACACTGAGGCAGCAGCTTTTTTATAAAGATTTATTAGAAATGAGGGGGTAAGGTCTACATTTTTTATTCCCTAATGCTCTTCTAGCCTTAAGTATTGTAGATTCTTTCACAAAAAACATCTTCTTAGTCATAAGAAATTATATGCTTAATTCAGGAACACAGCACCACAGGTAACTCATTAAAAATTATGTCTGCTAGCTTCTATGAACAGGAGGTATAAATATTCTGTGATACAACACTGAAATAAAGTCAGGTAATTCAGCATTCAGTCAGTAGTTTATTTTAGTTACAGATCTAAAGGACTTCTTAATCTAGCTTTCTAGACTTATTTTAGCAGCTGCAATTAAATTACACTAAGTTGTTAAAAACAACCTTTCCGGCTTTACAGTTCAACCTTTCCGGCTTTACAGACTGGAGGGGATGGTTTCACGCGACTGACTGGCAAGCACACACACGCAGCTCCATTTGCATGAGCAGGCACGCGCACCCACCACTCACACAAATGCATACACATGCTTGCCTGCTGCTTGCACAAGTGGAGACGTGTGTGCACGTGTTTGCCCGCCACTTCCATGGCCCAATTCCAAATGGGCCATGGGTTGGGGACCCTTGTGTTAGAATAAAGGCAGCATCTTTCACTGCACTATCTTTGGGACACTGTTGTTAAGTGTTCAATCTTCCATTTTTGTCCTACTGCATTCATCCTACAATGTTACCTTAGCTGTCGTCCTAGTTTTCGGAAGAGAACGCTGATTGTTAGAAGTGCTAAAGTCAGGGGAGTAGACAAAACACATGCTCGGTAGTACTGTAAATATTTCCTCAGTCCACTTGTGAATGCCTAACAACAGCAAAAAGAAAAGTTTTTTAATTAAAAAATACTAAATCCAATATATCTCAATAGTGATACTAAACTGGAAAATGGAGATAGGATACATTAATCTTTTTCACACATTACAGCTACCTGGACACCAATCTTTTGAAACAAAATCATTATTCATTAGTGGCACACATGCACTGCATGAGCAAACCTATTTGTATATCATGTTAAGTTATGGCTTATTTAATCACTGTTGATAAATGACACACAATTATTGCCAATTACTATGGTACAAACCATGAGGGTTACAAATATGCTGAGTCAAAACCAAATAAGGACAGCTAATCCATCTTGGTTTAATTTATATCCCCTTACAAATATATAGTGATGGGCAATCAGAAAGATTTTTACCCAACAGTCAACAATACATTCTGTGCCAGTACACTACATATACATATTACTTTGTGGGATGTGGACAACAGTATGTTGAATTGTAAGGGAAGCTCTAGCTTTGGAGACCACTGAATGTATACAATATCATAAGCATATATGGAACGTAACTGGACTTTTGTATTCCTTGCGATATATCAACCAAAATGTGGCAAAATTGAGTGGTACTAGTCTGAGGTGACATTATAGAATTTTGGCACAAATATCAATCTGAATGTTGGTTTCTGAATAAATCAAGAACAGTTTATAATAGAAGGCATTTGTGGGAATAAATGGAATGCATAACAAATGGTACAATGCTGAGCAGAGAATAAGACAAAGATATGTGAGGCTATTTCATGTCTTTCATATAAGGAATATTTGTGTCAGTTAGATATGTTGGTCTAAGACATGAATCTGCATGTATCTTTGTATGCAGAGACAATGCTACCTTGTTAATGAGAATAATAAATAAAGGAATGAGATATTGTTGTCAGTGCCTCCTAATCAAAAAGTGCCTCAAATGTTATATCAAAGCTTGGCAAAGTCTTCTCCTAGTCAAGTACCCTGCCTGATTATCAAGCAGGAAGGTAAGAATCCAGAAAAACTCCCAAATTATCAACCTGTTTCTTCAGGAAAGTAAAAAAACCAGCTCCCAAAAAGGGTTAGTCTAGGCCTTGTCAGGTATCAGCACTATCCTCTGGGACACAGTTGCAACTTGCTTTGTCCCATCCACTGTCTTATGATCTCCAGAGACTCTAAAAAAAAATTTACATCATCTCCTACTCGGCTCAGAATGATGTAAGTGAATGTCATCAGCAAACTAATTATACTTCATCCAGAATCAACAAATGATGTGCCTCACTAGTATTGGGAGAGAAGGGAAATCATGTAGCACCCATCCTGGAGAGACAAAGAGCTTGACTGCTCAAAACTACTGACTGGAATCATCTGCTCAGAATGGAGAGGAATTACATCACAAGCGTCCAGGAGAATTTTATGATTGATGGTATCAAACACTAATGCAAAATCTAACAGGACTAAAAAGTCTGCACTACTACAATCCAAGTTCTGACACAAGTTATCTATCAGAGAGACCAACATATCTTTGGTCTCATAACCAGGTTGAATCCCAAGTAAAATGTAACGTTTAGGTTGGAACTGGTGATGCAGGAACAAGGTTCTGCTTGCTCTCAGTACCTCCTCTCTGAACATTGTGAAAAAAAGTTTTGTACCACTGGGATTTAATTGAACAGCGTAAGAGACAGAAAAGGCATTTTGTTCTTCCAAAAACAGAGGACACACCAGACTTTACCAATAGATATCAGGTAAAGACAAGGCCATAATTGCATATTCAATCAAATTAGTAATAAAAACTGCAAGTGCATTACCTGAAATACAAGCCCTTTTTTATATGACGAGTCAAGGACTGGTTGAAGAGAGAAACGGCTTAGCCGTGTGTAATAAGTTCCATATTCAGCCACTTCTGACAATAGACAGTTCATACTTTCAGGTGAAGTTCCAGATACATAAATGCCTTCTTTCACTACAAATATCTGAATTGCCTATAAAGTTGGAAAAATAATAACAGGAAATTATTGAAATGCACAGCACAGAATATATTTACTAAACAAATGCATATTCTGATAAATATTACCTCAATGCTAAATACTAATTTGACATTGTAAAAATATATAATCTTCTAAATATATTTTAAGTAATTTAAATCTGTATTTTAATTCAACAGGAAACGTTACTATCTAAGGTATTGATAATTAATCAGTAAATATATGGCAAATGCTCTTTTGCAACAACAAAAAGTTAATTTTACTGAATACACTGTTCAAGTCTTAAAGTTAAATCAAAATTATGGCCATTAATATTTGGTAATATATTTTTAATCCATTCAAAAATAAAAGATCTGGACAGTTTATGAAATTACTTGCAATAGTTTAAAAAATAGCATACTTTAAAATATTAAGTAGCAACAAATTAACTTAATGCAGGCATTTAAAATCAGCGGCAAATGTATTTTTTTCACAGTATAAGATTGGATTCTTACATGAATTCAATTAGTTTACTCAAGTGGATTTTTATAATCATGTCTTCAAGTGTATAAAAATGGAGGAACAATCCAATGCCCACTGCCATTTATGCAAACCCCTTGCTTGAGAAGAACCGTTTTCCTTCCACTATACCTCCTTACCAGCAACAATCAACATTTATTTCAGTGGGGCAAAGGACTCTATTGAATCACCTTAGAGCACGGGTGTCAAACTCGCCATGTCACATGATGTGGCGTGACGTATCGCAACTTTTTTTGCATTGCTGGAACTGAGGTGGGCACAGCCTCTGTATGATGCAACCAGCCCGTGGGCCGGCAGTTTGACACCCCTGTCTTAGAGACATTTGGGGGGGGAGGGGGAAGGACATTAGGTAATGCAAAAGAGAGCGGGGAAATAATAAAAGGTCCATTTTGTGAACCAGTCTCTCTGCTCACAATGTGGTGCTGTTCCTAAATCAATGGCATTAAACAATATCACTGACAGATTTTGCAAAATTGAGAAATGTATACTTTTCTTAGGCTAATTTGTCCAACAGAATAAAATGCAAAAATGCATATCTAAGTTTTTTTTATTAAAAATAAAATTATTATATACTGTATACAAATGTTATACCTGATTAAATGAGAAAGAAGTAGATACAACCCCAATAAGAACATTCAACACATCTTTAACAATTTCTGATTCTTTTACTAATACACGCTGTGGAAACTGAAATTTAGTACTGCTGAAAAGTTGCAGTTCTTGTTCTCGAAGTCTGCAAAATTTGTCAAAGGCTTCTCTTCCAGCTTCTGAAAGATACGGCTCTTCTTTTTTCCCAGGTGGACTGTCAGGAAAAACCACAAAAATGTGAAAACTAAAAGTCTGAATTACCTTTGAAACCGAGATTCAGTTTGCCTCAAGAAAAATATTGACGAAATCATGTATAACATATTATGATTTTTCTTTTCTGTTTGATCTTCAGTATAGCTAAGCTATGAGTCATGCAAAAGTATCCACCATGTTATAAAGAGATGTGGATTAGAAGCTGTTTTCAATTAGCTGGCATCTAAGCATTATGGCCCACAATTCCTTTTGAGTAAAGATCTTTTTATTAAATGTTATTTAATACCTGTTGCATTAAATATAGTCAAACAAAAAAAGGACAAATAAACTAATTTTAATTTATTTTGGCAAATTAGTCTTATTTTATTTGTATGTCAGTTTACCTCTGCTTTTTATATAAAATAACTTTTAAAGGATCTGGATTCAAATGTTCTGTACATTTATAAAGTTTTGGACAATTTTCTTCAGAACTGCACTAGTGTGTTAATCAAAAACTTGGTGGTTAGTTTAACAATTTTTTACATTTTTAAAGCTAGACTTTTAGAAAATGTCAGATAAGAGACACTGTATACTGAATCCTGTTACTATGCATTCCTTTTCATCAACATTATGTATCATCCAAAGGAAAGCAAATGTGCACATTGTTTATCAGTTTTCCTTTACTACTATAGCCTTCACACTATTTAATGTACAACTCCACACGTTTCCTCTCTCTTGTGCCCTACCAAAATTTACAGAGTAAGGAAACAGAACTGAACAACTTAGATATGAATGTGATATTTTGGATTCAAAGACTGCCATTCTTTGCTATTTTTCCATTCATTGCAAACAAATGGATTTTAGTTGTGTATCAGCAAAGTAATTCTGGAAATTGAATTGTAGTATGAAATCTAATGAAAAGACTTGGAGCAATGTTATATTAATCATGGCACTCTCCAGCTCAAATATAGCTCATTACAACTAACACTTTTTAAAAATATAAAGCCAAATACTTACAATCCAATTCTTTCCCAGCACCTTCGTTTACTAGGTCCATAAGTAAGTGCTGCCTCCCAGAGATCAAGATCTGGTGTTACGCTGGGTTCTGATTGAGAGTCTGGAGTGAGATTGGATGCTGATTGGAATCCTTCATCTTCAGAAGGATCAATACTTTGGGGAACCTGCAAATATAAACATACTTCATCACTGTTCCTATATTATTACAGAAGGATCAATACTTTGGGGAACCTGCAAATATAAACATACTTCATCACTGTTTCTAATTATTACTTTTAATAATTCTTCTTTAGGATTGTTCTAATAAAAGTAGAGCTTATAGCAAATTGTTTAAATTAATACTTAGACTCGATTTGTATCCAACTTTCTATAAAAATATCTCATATGAGACAATATTGCTATACTATAACATTCAAACAGGAATCAAAAACATTAATAAATAAAAGCAATAAAACATTTTAGAACCCTAAGCTGTTGTGAAATATTGGCTGATGTGTCATAAGCATATTACTGGTCAAGAAACATTTTGAAATGTTGAGACAGAGATAAGGCATACTGATCTTCTTAAGTATATTTATAGGAATTATAGTCCCATGACGGAAACATATAGCATCAGAACAGAGAGATACATGAAGGTGAAAATTTTCATTTTTGTCTTTGTTTAAGCTTCCAATGAGCTAATAATTGAGGAATTGCACAGGTAGAGTGAATGGAGATAGTAGTGCTTCTTAGCCAATATCATCTGTATTCTATGAAGGAAGTATAAATATCTATGACTTCATTAAGACAATTATTGACATAGACAAAACAAAACAATCTTATACCTTGATTGCAAGTCCAGACAGATCTGCATTGTCAGGCACTGGTGGCAAATCCAACCTGATGTCCATATCATATGTACGACTGTGAATGAGAGCACCAAAGAGCGAGACCCGAGTTTCTCTCTCATATCTGTCCCCCATTGAACAATTCTGTGAAAACAGTTCTACCATAGGAAGACCTGTACCAGGTGCTGCTTCCAGAACTTGCAAGGTCTTTTGAATTGTATCATTAAATTGAAGTTCTTCATTTGCAATAAAAGCCTGCATGTCTGCTTCAAATATGCTAACATCATAATAATCATAACCTTGATATTTAGTGTTTCTTCCTACATATTTGTTATTCACGAAATAATCCTTTTTTAGGGGTGAACAATGAGGAGGCCCAGTTCCTGCAAGCTGTACCAGAAAATCCAAAATAGAAGTAATTTCAGTAAATGGTAAGCAAGTAGACTGTTCTAATTCCTCTACAAGTTGTTCCAGCCTGTCGGCTTCTAAGCTAAGTCCAGCAACTCTCAAATTGAAAGACAGCATTAACATTTTGTTTTTCACGGGGAGTCTAGAAAAATGTGATTGAGAAACTTTGTGGGTTTCATTCAGGAAAAGATTAGCAAACAAAGTATTATATGCAATCTTTTTGAGACTTTTGCTTGAAATTTTTTTGCTGCTCTTTCCTTTGCTCAAATGGACCTTTGTTGACATAGATACTATGTGAGCCTCACACAAGTCACCAAATAGTTTTGTAATACTCTCCATGGTCTCATCAGTTATGGATATCCACAATCAACTCAGTATGAATCCAGCATTAAAAGTCAAGCAAGCATTCATTTGTGATCCTGAAAAAGTGAAAGAAAGCAAAATTATTAACATAATAATTAATGCTATCTATTGATTTTCTCTGCAATCATTATAAAATTAACAGTCAAGACTTTGGCAATGTCCTACTATTAGAAGCAAGTAGCAAAAATCTTGCATAGCAGCTCAAGTAACTATTAAGGCTATTTTAAGAACAATAATGTTTTAAATCTGTTAGTCTAATTAATACACAAATCTTTAATCAAAACTTGCTATTCTTTTTTCAGAAGACCTTAATCACATTTTTTTTGGGGGGGAGACTACTCGTGCATACCTTTGGGTCAGTTTTTCACTCCTGGTGACAGCCTGGAGTAGTCTCTGCTTATTTTAATTAGGCTATGACACTATTTTTCGTAATTTCTTTCAAGCTACCATTATTTACTTTATATTTCTTGGCAAAACATTAACTATAAAAACAATGCAAGATAAAAAGGGTTGAGTATGATACTCAAGAATCTTGTGTAAACTAAATAAATGCATAACCTCCCAAGAAAGAACAAACACACTTTATATAGGAACAACTGTCAGGCTTACAGCCAACACTACCTAGGGTAGATGGGGTGTCAACTACAGCAAAAAACTGCGATGTAGAACTCCATAACTGCGATGTAGAACCAAAATGGGAAGTACTCAACAGCCATCCAGGTTACAAATTCAATTGGAAAAGCAAAGAAATAATTGACCATGCAAACAGAAAAGTCAGAGAATTCCTGAAAGCCTGGCATGCAAACAAAGGAATGAATCATAAGGCAAAAAATGCATGACAGACATGTCTTTCTGAAGGCATGAACCAATGGCATCTATGAAAGTAGAAACCCATGGTGATAGTTGCCTGTTACATTCCATGGAAGAATCAGAGATTTGTGCAACATTATGAATAAATGCAATCTAGGAGAACTTTTTTTTTATTAAATTATAGGATTGGATGGTGGGAAAAAGACAAAGGGATATCAAAAAAGAGGTTGGCTCATTTCAGAGTCCCAAGAATGAGTGAGAAAGGTGAAATAGTTTAGATAAAGGTCTGTTTCAAATATATGGCTAAAGCACAAATCAGTTCTATCACTTGGCATTGGTATTATTCATTTAAACTTAAAGAGGTTGTATTGTATTATTATCTCCATGAGAAAAGTTGGTCACATCTGTTATGTATTTGTTTAATATATTTTTGTCACTTTTTAACTTGACCTGTTATCCCCCTTCCTTTTTTTCTATTAGTTTGTATTTTAATGCTCATTTTTGAATTTTAATAAGATTTTTTTCTAAAACTTGGCAGAGGAATAACTATAAACCTAAAATTATTATTTAATTGTTGATGAGTATGATGAAAGCTGTTAGAACAAATGGATACCAAACTGATAACAGGTTCTGAATATGAGACAGAATGGTACTTGATACTGCCAAAAATTAATCTTGGGGGGAAATGGACATGGAAGATGAAGTGAACAAAACTAGAGTGAAAATAAATCTGCAATAATAAAAAGTATTAGATGCCAGCAGAAATGTAAATTAGATGACTTGCTACAATGATGAAGTGAAAGAAACTGTGGAAAAGAAATAGAATTGTAGCAAAAAAATTGAAATACTTTGTATTAGGGTCTACACTGATCACCCCAAAGAATGTAGTCAGACAAGGAATGATAGAATAAAAGCTGCAGCTTTAATTTTTGTTGAAAAGGTGTTTTGTAAATGGATGGCACAGCCTAAATACCGAGCCTCCATCAGTATCAAGGGAATTAAAAGTAAAGATGACAAGAACATTTTTAATGAAACTATAACAGAGGGAATTATCAGGAGTATTTCAGAAATTTGCATAGGATGATACAACTAAGAATGATACTGAAACAAATGTTAAAAAAGTTAGTCTCCAAACAACGAAAAGGGAAGTTATAAATATTGTAAGAATTGTCAGAAATGGAAAGATTGTGCCTGACGTTCGGAAGAGGGAATTATTTCATTGAACTGATACAACGGCTACCACCAGGTTGTGTTTCCCTGCAGAAAAGGACCACTGAAGCGTGGCGACGGGTAGGATTCCCTAGGTAAATAGGGATGTACAGCAATGCCTCCTCTCCGCCATCGACATGCCCAATGTTGGCTGGAGATGATGGATATTATACTTCAGTATCCTAGAAACCACCAATTTGGAAAAGTCTCAAAACGCGGAGGGTGATGTGACGCCGGAGGGAAAGGAAAGTCGTCGTTGGCGGACCAGGCCCAGTTCCAGCTTCCGGGATGCGTGGTCGTCTGGGTCTCGCGCCACTTCTTGGTGGATTAACCAATTGCGCTGGCCGCCCGTGACCGAAAATTTAGGCAGGCAAGAAAGCTGGACTCCCAACTGGGCAACCGACGAGCCTGGAGAAGCCGAGTCGAGAAGGCGCCATTTCGCCTCCTCTCCCAAATGGTAATATATAAAGAAACCTCCTCCCCCTCCCCATCGCCGGTCAGGGAAGCAAGACCGCCCGCCTCCACAACGCCTAAAATTCAAAGAAACATTGACCTACCGCGAGGCATGAAGTAAAACAGCAAGATTGAGGCGGAGCTACCGCAGGAGGGAGGAGCCAGGCAGGCGCAGAATGGCAGAAGTACCATCTGGTAGTAATGGAGGCATGTGATAGGCAGATGGCTGGATCAATCATCTCACCCTGACAGCGAGGGAGTAGATCGGGCTCCGTAAAGGGCGAGGGGAGGCGGTTGATGGGCTCAGACGAGGCCCGTGGTGCTTTTTGGTTTGTATGCAAGGCGCGCACCGCAAGGAGCAACTCGCGCTGTCCTATTGGACGCTCCTCTATTTGTACAGGTAGTCCTTGACTTACGACCACAATTGAGCCCAAAATTTTTGTTGCTACATTAAACATTTGTTAAGTGAGTTTTGCCTCATTTTATAACTTTTCTTGCCACAATTGTTAAGTGAATCACTGCAGCTGTTAAGTCAGTAACAGGTTAAATGAATCCATTGACTTTGCTTGTTGGAAGGTCGCTAAAGGGGATCACTTGACCCAGGACACTGCAATGGTCATAAATGTTAGTCAATTGCCAAGTGTCTCAATTTTGATTAGGTGACCGTGCTGTAATGGTCATGTGAAAAACGGCCATAAGTTGCTTTTTCAGCCCCCTTGTAACTTTGAATGGTCACTAAATGAACTTTTGTAAGTTGAGGATTACCTGCCTAGGGACGGCTCGGATTTCTTTCCCGGTCTTGAGTTAAATGAGTTGTGTATGTTTCTGACAATACCACCCCCATCCAACAACTCCCATGGCACCTTGGCTGTAGCAATTGACATGAACATGCTCCATGAGTGGGGTGGGATGGGGAATGCAGGCAAGAGGCTTAAGATTTTCAAACTTAACTAACAAAGACAGCAGTGAAGCACCCATGGAGAAGAAACAGGGTTTGCATTCCTCAAGATGGGATCTGGATTTTTTGATATAATGATGGACGGTCCTTGCTAATAGTTAAAATGGAATTATTGGCTAGTATCTGTGGCTAACCGATCTTTCAAGTATTCGTGCAAATCTAGAACTTTCAGTTCATGTGTATCCTGGCTCAGGTTGGGATTATATGAATACAGCCTTTAGCTTAGTGCAGCATAGTAAATAATCCTGAATTAATTCAGTATAATTTCATGTACAAATCACATTCCAACTTCATTACAACCAGCTGAGGGCCCCTGAGAACCAAATCCACTTTTATTCAGTTTCCAGCACATCTATTAAATCTTTATAAAAAATTTTTTTACAAAGTTGTATGAATCCATGTACAGTAATTGCATGAACACATATGTGTAGTGTTCTTGGAAACAGTATAGAAACTTTGTCTGGGCATTTTGACTTTCCTGTCCAACCTGCAGCTTTTCCAAGCACAACCAGCACCAAAATTGTTTAATTTTCAATTCCAGACTACATCAGTCAGATGCCATGACCTGCTGAGTAATATACAAACAGATTCCCCCCACCACCATACACACAGAGAGACACATGACTTCTTGTCCAAATTACTGGTCAGTATTGAAATATTTAAAACTTCACTAACATCCCAAGAATATTAGTAGCCTTATTGATCAAACATTAAAGTTATTTCATACACCTAGAAGATAATCTCATTAGAGTTAATAATGTAATTAAACTTATTTAACATTGTGAAAATTATACATAAGAAATAGGTTTTATTCATTGTAGTTGAAAAATGGTTCAGATTCATACTTTCCAGTGGGAAGTTACTACAGAAATACAATCCCATTTGTGATCACTATAACTTTTTCCCCCTTGGAGCTACAGTGCTAAATGACTGCCCCATGTGTCTGCCCAATTAGAGCAGGACCACACAAAGCCTATATATCACAAGTTCTTTTTTTAGTACAGTTTGTAAAGGCCAACAGCTAACAAACCAAATAACAGAGTTGGAAGGGACCTTGCTCAAACAGGAGGCTCTATATTATTCCAGACAAGTGGCTGTCCAGTCTCTTCTTAAAACCCTCCAGTAATGGAGCATCCACAATTTCTGAAGGCAAGCCCTTCCACTGAAGTGTTCAATCCATTGTTTCTTACCTTGCCTTCTGGTGCTTTGGAAAATTGGTTGACCCCTTCATCTTTGTGGCAGCCCCTCAAATATTGGACTGCTATCATGTCATCATCCCTTGTCCTTCTTTTCACTAGACTAGACAAACCCAATTAGTGCAACTAATTTTCATATGTTTTAGCCTCCAGCTCCCTAATCATCTTTGTTGTTCTTTTCTGCACTCTTTCCAGAGTCTCTACATCTTTTTTATAATAGGGTGACCAAAACTGGATGCAGTACTCTAAGTATGGTCTTACTAAGGCTTTATAAAGTGATATTAATATTTCACGTGATCTTGATTCTATCTGTTAATGCAACCAAGGATTGTGTTGACTGTTGCATACTGCTGGTTCATATTTAAGGATGCCAAGATCCCTTTCATGGTTAACTGCTACTGAGCAAGGTTTTACCTAATCTGTCCCTGTACATTTGATTTTTCTTGCCTAAGGTAAAACTTTACTTTTCTCTACATTGAATTTCATTTTGTTACATAGGGCCCCGTGTTCAAATCTGTCAAGATCCATCTGAATCTTGAGCCTATCTTCTGGAGCGTTGGTTATTGCTGCCAGTTTAGTGTCATCTGCAAATTTGATGAGTTCCCTTTCTATTCATACAGTATTCATACAATATTCATACATTTATACAGTACATATATAAATATATATGTACTGTATAAAATTTTCAAAAGTCTTTACAGCAAAGCCAATAACATTTCTGAAGTTAACAGGCTGGGAGATAGTTCTCAATGTACAAATTATATAAAAATCAGTTCAGGAACATTTTGTGCCCTTTTATTCTAAAGCTTATCTTGTTCTGATCGTTTGTTTTCATGTGGGAGAAGAGATTGTTGAAATAAAGATTACTTTTCATCTTTGAAGTTCTTTGCTACACAAAATAAAAGGAAAAATAGTCAAATTTTGTAACAAAAACATGCATCTTTTTCCTTTTGAGAATCTCTAACCTCAGGTACTTCAAAGCTCTGCAGTAAGATATTTAATGAAGATTTACATTTTATTTTCATTCACTTGATTGCTTACCTGAACACTGAAGCAATTTCCATTCCTGTTGAAATTGCTCTCTTAATTCTTTTACCATTTCCATATTCTCCTTTAAATCCGGTGCAAAGGAACCAAAGTTGGTTATAAAATCACCTATCAGGATGTTGGTTATATTTTGCATTATTTTTTCTTCAGTATCCTTTAAAAAGAAAGTAAAACACTTGCATAAATGTGTACTGATTCCCCCCCCCCAAAAAAAGAAAAGAAACATAGCATTTTGTTGCTTTCAGTGTAATAGAATTTGTACTCTAAAGTATTAAAGGGCTATGTTAATACACTGGACTAAGCCGTAATACAGCTTGCTTGGTTTTGGTTTAATGAATTGTATAAGCTATGATTTGTAAACCTTGGTTTATAGCTTGATGTATTCTGCAAACACAAACAAATTAGATTCAATTAGTAAGATGCAATGAAACATACCATGCTTAGTCCAATGTGGGAACATATCCATTAAGGAATCAGTTATCTTTAATACTGTATCTTTTATACTAAATCAGGCTTTCACAACTGTGAGATGGAACTCCAAGAAGTCTCTCAGCAATTTGTAAGGTGCCTGTATTGTGCTTTTTCTAAAAGGCAACTGGAGTTTCCTAGGTTTTTTCCTTGAAAACATTTGTTTTGTCATCCAAGAAGCTTCTTCGCTTCCTCTGAAGAAGTTTCCTAGATGAGAGGCAAACTGTTTGTATGCATACATGTAATCAGTCTCAGAGCAATGAAACAGACACACTGCGAAAATCTTGCTCTCAGCTTTTTCCCCCCCTCCTTTTGTCTAGGCAAGTCCTGTCAAAATTTGCTCTGAGTTTTGTTTCTTGCTTTGCCTGTGTCAGTTTGGAGACCCAATAGAAAGTTGTTATGTTACAAAGTTTGGGAAGCCCTGGTGATAGATTAAAACTGAGTTATTAATAGGAAGCTTCATATTTCTTTCTTGCTAAACTCTAATCACAGTGAAGTCATTCATTGTATTTGGGAGGGGTGTTATTTCACATATGTTTATTTATCATTTTAGAGATTTCATGATACTGCAGAATTAAAGAACCCCTGCAATAATTGTTATGCATGTTTGGTTTGTTTGACTTATTTAGATTTTCCCAGGATCGAGGCATAGAAACATAGACAAACAGAGAAGCAAAGCAATTATTCAGGTTGAATCTCAAAAAACGTGATTTGGCACACAGACATGAAATATCTGTCTGAACTACTTTAAAGACATTTTTTTTTTTTTGAATTTTCACAATTGCCCTTCACTCCCTTTTAGAAGCGAAATTGAAATGCTACAGCGGCTTATTAGATTCCTCGTGTATTTGCTTCAGGAAAACAAGAGAATCTGAAACCATAGAAAGTTTTAGAAGGAATTAATCACACATTTCCCCTGGTTCCTTTATTCTAAAAGATAAGCTCTTTTATTGTAAAACCCACTTATGTACTCCTTACCTGGATTACAGCGAGTATCTGAGAGTTCGATAATCCTTGCAGTAAATTAATAAGCAAGGAAATTCTATTTTTGCCAAGGTTCTGGTTTGGTCCAACAATTATAATAGTTAAATTAGGCTGATAGCTGTACGCGACTGGAAGAATAAATCCAAAGGTAGCAGAGAAGAAGTTGTTTGTTTTAGGATCCTTCCAAAAATAAACAAAAAATTAAAATATTTTAGTTTTATTTAGTAACAAATGTTAGCAAATTAAAATTATCCAAAGCTAAATTTCTTAATTTCTCAATATAGAAACTGTATTTATATATTACTTGTGTAAAGGGATTAAAAAAACCGGACATATCTATAGGGCGGTGGTGGCGAACCTATGGCACGGGTGCCAGAGGCGGCTATCAGAGCCTTCTCTGTGGGCACACCCCAGTCCTAGGCCTTCAGCTGGGTTTTATAAAACCTTTTCACTTTAGGCCTCCGCTGCCATGTGTAAAAAAAAAAAAGGTTCAATCAGTCAATTTCAACTTCTCGCGGGGAAAAAAAAGATCTTGCAAAGTTGGAACTTATTGATTGAACTTTTTAGTCCCACCCAGTCTCCCATTACCACCTAGCCACACCCACATAATTGGCCACGCCCACCCAATTGGCAACACCCAGACAATGGGCCACACCCACTCGGCACTCAACGATGCATAAATGGGTTTTGGGTTGCACTTTGGGCACTCAGTCTCTAAAAGGCTTGCCATCACTGGTATAACAGTAACATGCAGTTGTTTCCAGCGCAATAATCAAGTATGTGAATGCTAGACGCTTGATGTTTACTTTCATTTACATGGAGTGAGGTAGGGGTAGGAAGCTGTTCACCTTCTGCTGACTGTGATTTCGCCAGAAGAGGTGTTTTGGATTGGGGGGGGCATATTTAGCTTCCTGCTGGAATTTAAACATTGGAGGCTTCCTACATTCAAATTATTTGCATTCATACTGTCAAAATTGCCTCAAGCACTTATAAAAAACTCAAAATTATGCTGCTGAAATTTGGCCATTTTGCTGCTGAACTTCATTACTAAAATCTTGGATGTTGGGTTGCCACCTCTGGTCTGCATGAACAAACTTTTGTTGTTCCTGGAATTCAGAGTGATCAAACAAGTAACTCTTCTCCCTTGATGATTAATATAATCAGACTTTCTTGACTCAGATGTCCATAAAAAGTCGGTGGTTGGAAAAACCCTCTTTGTATTTTACAATTGTGCTTTTCCTCAGTCCTTTTCTATTCATGCAGGGAAGACAAGGGTTAAAGATGGTGCAAAAATTTCAAAGGTTCTAAAAATGTTGTGCCAATTTCTTCCACTGTAGCAGTTCTTCAGTTTACCCCAAATATATTAATAGCAATTTTTACAAGACATTGACTGGTTTTTAAATTTATAGCCTGCCCAACTCCAGCATGACTCCAGGTAGCAAACTGTACATTTCCAGCAGGCAGAATTCTCAGTTGGATCACATTATTCAAATATTTGTATGTCATCCACACTCTAAAATCAGTGACAATTGCTGAATATATAGTTCAGTTCAAAATTTATATCCTTGCATTCTCACTAAATCATACTTGGGTGATAAAAAAGACCATAAAATACCACACCTACTTCTTTCCAGTTGAGAGAGATATTGTATTTGGTGTTAACTTGTTCAGAATGTTTAGCACAAATATTGATTAAGAAGACTTTGCTGTAAAATATTAAAGAAAATAGGTTCTATAAATATTATCTCTATAAAATAGTTGCCACCCTGGTAATAATAAAATAAAGCAAATACATGTAGTCCTCGACTTACAAAAATTCATTTAGTGACCGTTCAAAGTTACAATGGCACTGAAAAAAGTGACTTATGACCATTTTTCACACTTACGACCTGTGTAGCAGCCCCATGCTCATGTGATCAAAATTCAGATGCTTGGCAGCCGACTCATATCTATGATGGTTGCAGTCTCCAGAGACAAGCAAAATCAATGGGAAAGCCAGATTCACTTAAGAACCGTATTACTAACTTAACAACTATAGTGATTCACTTAACAACTGTGGCAAGAAAGGTCATAAAATGGGGCAAAACTCATTTAACAAATGTCTCACTTAACAACAGAAATTTTGGGCTAAATTGTGGTCATAAGTCAAGGACTACCTGTAGACATATCTGGGGGGAAAAAGCATTATATAGAAACTGTAAAGAACTGCTATAATCAAATATGTGTTTTAGATGTAAAATTATTCTGATAAAAAACCAGATTTAAAGTTTCATGTTTTTACTACGAAGCCACACTAACCTTGGCAGAATTTCATTTTCAGAATCAACTGTGCACATTTAAATCAACTGGTTGAAATACTGAGACTTACCCATTTTCCAACTCAATTTTCATGTCCATGTCACCAACAAATACACACAGGACTCTGCGAAACAAAATATTTCAGATTTACAATCTGTTATGCATACATATAATAATTTATATCCTACTTGTCAACGCTGCAAATATTGTATATTCTTGCTTTTGACAATATGCAGAATTGTCTGGTAAATATGGGGTTAATAAAGAGCAGAATTTGGGGGTAAAGCCCGGGAAAGAAAGAGGAAGAAAACATTTGACTTCACACTAATTGGATAATGTGAGATATGACGGCTAATTTAGGGAGGGAACATGCTGATAATTTAACTGCTCAGAGGAAGAGAACTTAGATCCTAGCATCCGTCCCTTGTGCCTGTGCTGACATTTTGTAACAATAAAAGACTTTTAGGAAAATAAATGCCTGGAAGTTCTTTGGAATGTTTCATTAGCCGGAACCACAACACGTGGTTCACCCCTCCTTAGGCAACCTGATGGCCCTCGGCTCCCCGGGGATCTCCATATTGATGCCGAACTTATTGATGCGGACACCTGATCGGCATAGCCCACTGCAGCCCAGAACTCCTGAGCTCAAGCGATCCGCCAGCCTCAGCTTCCGGAGTAGCTGGATTACAGGCTCGTGCCACCGCGCCCGGCTTCAAGGCACACCGCGGCAGCCCTCCTACTTGTCGCGGCCTAGCCCCTGGGGCACGCTTTGCCGGTGACAGCCGGGTATGGGCCCGACGCTCCAGCGCCATCCATTTTCAGGTCTAGTTGATTCGGCAGGTGAGTTGTAAACACTACTTTAATATTTTTATAAATAACTCAAGGTGGCAAATTTACCAAATACATCTTTTTCTTATAATAATAATCCTGTGAGGTATGTTGGGCTGAGAGAATGGCTGGCCTAAGGTGTGACTAGAACTAGCCTGGTGCCTTAATCACTAGACCAAACTTTATGATAAGTAGCTTAGTCTATATAAGATAATCTGATAATGTAATAAGTAATAAGTACATAACAAACTGGCATAGCTGACAGTCCAACAAAATTAACCACGTATGTGCAGTATAAATAACAAACCCTGAAAATTCGGTTAAGGAACTGCTAATCTAAACCTCTAAATTAAAGAGCTCTTTTATAAATCTATGTGAATAATTCTGACAATATCCTAGCTACAAAAGACAATTTAAGGATTATAGCATCTATGGCAAAAATTTCCTAATCTGTAAAATAATATTATGCATCATGAACAACGGACATACCATCTTATTTATTTCTATCAAAGTAATATATTCTGTATTCATTCAGTAACAGCAAACCTCTGCTTTTACCATATCCCATCCATCCCCTAGGTCAGTAGTGGTGAACCTATGGCACGCGTGCCAGAGGCGGCACTCAGAGCTCTCTCTGTTGGCACATGCCCCACTGCCACCAGCAGCAGTCGCCTCAGGCCACCGCTGCCGCCCAGAGCAGGAGCCCCGCCCAACACAAATGAGGTGAAGCGGCCGACTAGCAAGCTCGAGTAGAGGTGGTAGAGCAGAGGTCACCAACCATTGTTGATTGGTGGACTGGAAGAAAAGAGAGGGGGAAGCATTTTACATACATGCGTGCGTGCATGGGGCCGCGAGCACACACATGCTGCAAATGGGGTGGGGCTAGTGCCTGCGTGATACTCACTAGCCCTGCCCCGTTCTTGCATGGTGCAGTGCCGTTTTTGTGCCTTGCAGCATGGTGGCCCATTTTTGCGCCCCTGGTTTTTGCGCGCCACTCAGAGGCATTTCCCTGCCCCCCCCAATGAGGGCATCACAATGCTGATGCGGCCCTGGCACTTTGCGATAAATAAGTGGGTTTTGCGTTGTGGTTTGGGCACTCGGTCTCTAAAAGGTTCGCCATCACTGCCCTGGGTATTCCTATTTAGTCCCTTTCTACTTCCACAACTCTGTAATCTGTTCCATGTTCGTTTCATATACATTCACAGTATTCTTAAGATGGATCAGATTTTTGCAGTACAAAGTACAATTCTGTATGAGAAATAAATTCCACCTTGTTAAATGGAGTTTATTCATACAGAAATAAGTACTGCTCACTCTGCATACAGACGCATCTGTATGCAAAATAGTCCAAGTTATGATTCAAAATCTGTCAAGAATTTTCCCAGGTCCCTAAATAATAGACAATGTTAAGAAGAACTGAAAGAATTAGCCAAAAAAGGCACAATATACAGAGTTGTGCCTGCTTTGAAAAGGTGTTGATAAAAGAATAGTTGTAGCTTTGTGGGGTCCTTGGTGCTCTCTGAGTTTGGTGGTTTTTTCGCAGACTTTTCACTGCTAAACTAGTTAACATCTATTTGGTAATGAAAAGTCTTCAAGAAAACCACAAAGTTCATAGAACACCAAGGACTACATTGAAAAAATGTGCTTGGTTTGCAGAAGATGGCTAATTAAAGTTAGTATGACTCCGAAAATTTTTTTTTAGGATCATGCATATGGCTAAAAAAAATCAACTATTTTAATGAATAGTAGAGAGGTGTTGCCTTTAGTGACATTCAAAGTATCTCTTTGAATCATTTTTGAATAGTAATTTATTACATTGTCCTTTAAATACACAACTGTGCAAGAAGGTATTAGGCACAACAATCTTATACCTACTTTTGTACCTTCAGGTTTCTACAATGTGCTACCGCAATGGCAGAAGCAAGTGAAGGTGTAGATGAAACTGCAAGCCCATTGATCACCTAAATAACATGATAATAATTAAAATGTTACTATTTTATGTAATATTACTTACAGTCAAAATTATATATGTATTGCCTTATATGTATAAATTCATCATATATGAATGTCTAGATTGATATAGTTATAAGAACAAATAAAGTCTCTGCAAATACTGTAAAATTTATATCCAAACAAAATATCTGGACATTTAAAAGCATATATATTATCAAGTCTGGATACGTTCTGCCACAAAAGGAATAACTTGGCTATTATTACATTCAGTTGTAAGTAATCCAGATCAGAAAATCAGTGAAGGATTTCTATTTGAGGGGCTACCAGCAAATACCAGTGTCTGGATGACATATAATGAGCCGAGGAGGCGCAGCAGTTAGAGTGCAGTACTGCAGGCCACTTTAGCTGACTGTGTTCAGCAGGTCAGCGGTTCAAATGTCACCAGCTCAGGGTTGACTCAGCCTTCCATCCTTCCGGGGTAGGTAAAATGAGGACCCAGATTGTTGGGGGCAATGTAAATATATATATATATACATTGCTTACTGGTGTACACCGCTTAGAGAGTGCTTGCACTTAAAGTGGTATATAAGTCTCACAAATAAATAAATAAATAAATATTTCCCCTAAATTAAAGTCAGTTAAATCTTAATGATGCACCAAATAGGAATGTACAGTACATAGTCTATTTACATGATACATTTGTGTTCTGGTTTCAGTCAACCAATATTAAGAAAACATTTTGATATGGGATAAATAGAAAGAAGCTTAGGCTTCCCCAAGTATAAACCAGAAGGACTCCAATTCTAAAAAGCATGTTGCTAGCTCTCTACTATTCATTTGAGCATATTAACTGTGCAAAGAGGGAATTATTGTCATTTAATTTACAAAAGTATTAGGATTGACTTAGGTGGCTTGAAGTTGCTTTCTACTCAGTAATTTTTATCCTAGCAAAGATTATGCATGAATAAATGGTCTGCTTTGGCATGGAGAAGGACTGCATGCTATCTGGGCCTCTTCAAACTCTTACATGATTTTGTATAGGCATGTATACAAGTCATACAGCCACAGGTATATATGGAGGATGGAGACAAATAATGAAATGCATATCATGATACCACAATTTAGATATTTTATCCTGCCTTTATTGTTTTTATAAAATAACTCAAGGCAGGGAACACACTTAATACTCCTTTCACCTCCTATTTTCCAACAACAATTTTTTCCAACCTGTGAGGTGAATTGGGCTGAGAGTGACTGACCTAAAGTCACCCAGCTGGCTCTGGAACATAAGTACAAAAGCCAAGATCTTCATTGTTGTTTAGAATAAAGTAAGAGTTGGAAGGACCTTGGAGGTCTTCTAATCCAACCCCCTGCTCAACCCCGCTTCTTTGTGATTATGGTTACTTGAGGACATCTATGCACACAGTTTGGAACTTTTTCAGTTCCAGCAAAAATGTTTAACCTTTATTCATAAGATGTGATTTACTGCTTTCAGAAAAAATATTCGCATATCTGTAATCCAGGTTAGTCTTCTCTCCACGCAGTTATCAGCTTTACTGAGTTAACTGAAATGTTTTTGTTATTAGCATTAGCATTTACATTGCAGCAGGATGCCCAAGGTGGGAATATATGCAGCTTTTACCTTAGCAGTAATAGAGAAATTATGCAGCAATTAGTGTAATGGGATAATAATGCATTGTTCTAGGAGAATATAAAGAGTTAACCATCCATATAATAATTGGGTAGTTAGTTAAGCATGCAGATGGAACTTGTGATATATCTCTCTAAATAGAATGAATTTACGTCCTAACTGTTTGAAAGATGTAATGTGATATCCACTAACCTACATCTAAGATGCTATGCTATCAGGAAAATGAGCAAAAAAGAAAGGTATCAAGTGTTTTTTTTATTTTTTTAAAAAAAGGAACTGGACTGATTTTTTGAGGAAAATTTAAGACCAGCTGACTGCAAAGAAAACACAATCTTTCCATTCCCACCACCAGCATCATATTGTCAAAATCTATCATTTCTCCCTCCCCCACCATCTAATTTCAACTGTGAATAACTAATCCTTCCAACTCCTAAAGCAGGGGTGTCAAACTGCTGGCCTGCTGGCCAGACGCGTCACCAGGAAACCGTGCCCACCCCATTGCCGGCAATGGAGAAAAAGCTCCAATACGTTGCAGAGTTTGACATGTCTGTCCTAGAGCATCCAATACAAGCTGATGAAGCTTCCAGGATAGGGAGCAAAATGTCTTGTTTTTCCTCAAAAAAATCAATGCAGTTGCTTTTTTTTCAAAATAAAAAACACTTTTGATTCTATGACCTGGACCTATCCTAGGTAGCTGAGAATTTTCATAGAGAAAAAAGAAAGGGCATAGCTTCAATTTAAGCACAACTTCCTTGTAGGGATGGCTGTGAGATTTTATAGTATGTTTAGTTCTCCTCAAAACCAACTAGAAGAAAATATGTCATATCAAATAAACTCAGTTTTGCCAAATGTTTAACATTTACCTCCTTTTTAATTATTTTGTTAAGGACAGCCAGCATGTTCAAGAGTGAGCTCAAGGCCTCTTCTTTCATATTTTTCACATCAAATGGACTGTGAAATACATATATTTGAATGATGGTTATACCCCGGAACATTTGCAACAATTGTACTGCTTGAACAATATACTGAGGTTTGAATTTATGACTTCTTAGTGGATATATAAAAGTCACCCAGATTATAAATAACTGTGTATTGTACACTAAAAATGATGGCCCTATTATTCAGGAGAAATCTTCTGTTAACTGCAACATTAATTAACCCATAGCAATTCCTTCTTGCAACATATAAAGAAGGACTTTGGAATTCTGGAGTAAACAGAGTATCACTGTGAGGTTTTTTTTATATATATGGGGGATTTTTAAAGGTTATAAGACGCCCGGAAGCAGCTCTGTGTGAGTTGGGCAGCTATATAATTTTGCAAAATAAACAAATAATCACAGGCCACTTCTACTTGAACTTCTACAGGTAGTCCTCGACTTACAACCAAAATTGAGGCCAAAATGTATGTTGCTAAGTGAAACATTTATTAAGGGAGTTTTGCTTCATTTTATGATCTTTCTTGCCACAGTTGTTAAGTGAATCACTGCAGTTGTTAAGTTAATAACGTTGTTAAGTGAATCTGGCTTCCCTATTGACTTTGCTTGTCAGAAAGAGCCAAAAGCTGATCACACAACCGCTGGACACTCTGACCGTCATAAATATGAACCACTTGCAAGCATCTGAATTTTGATCACATGACCATGGGGATGCTACAAATGTCACACGTGTGAAAAATGGTCATAAGTCACTTTTTTCAGTGCCATTGTAACTTTGAATGGTAACTCAATGAACTGTTGTAAGTTGGGGACTACCTGTATTTTACACAGACACACTTCTGCTACCAATTCTTTGAACTGAAGAGGCTGGACAGTGTTTTTCATTGAAAGCTGAATACTAAATATTGGTTGTACCATGATACACATTATTTTGAGCTGGTGACCGGTATAGCTAACCTGATAGTTGCTTTGAACTCTTTCACATCCAGTCCATTTGGAATGTGAACAGTTGGTGAGAGCAGATGTGTATCACTCTCATCAATAGCTGCTGCTGTTTTAATAGGAGGTTTCAAAGACAAAATGCTTTTCATATGCATCTCCAAAAACCTATCTGTTTTGATGACTTCATTGACGTCTCCCTTTCCGACTTCTTGAGAGCTTAGGAGTTCCACATTGGTCTGTGTAAGCTCAGCTTCCTCTGCTTGACAGGACCTAGTACTGAGATCTTGCACTGGAGTTACATCTGAGAACAACAACAGAACACAGCCTGTCTCTATACTGAAGATAAATTATGCTTGTTTTCCTCAAGCCTGCAGCCTCCAGATCTCAACTCTTCAAATTACAACTCTCAAAACTCTAGCCAAGTTGTGGAAAGTTGGGGTTTGGGTATTGCCACTTTTCAAATCTCTGAACAGATTTTTGAAAAAAAAAAGCATTTAGTTCAGAAATGGTTCATTTAGTTCAAAATCTGAACATTGTTTTTAGTAGAAAACAATAAAAAAGATAGTTTTCATATTTTTGTTGCCTAGTGTATAACATTTAACATTCCTCTTATTGTTGGAGCTATGCACTATGACCTACAAGTCAGATAAATGGGTTGTGCCTACTTTAAAAATGACTTGAAAAAAATGTATCAGAGTTGAGGGAGCACAGTACTTAATTAAAGCAGCTGTGATTTTCCCAACTGCTACAAGAAGGAAAAAGATGTAGTTCCATGAATGAATCGTCTTATTAAAGCAGTGTTTCTCATCCTGTGGGTCGGGACCCCATTTGGGGTTGAATGACCATTTCACAGGGGTCGCCAAACCACACTGTCCGCCATTTTTTCCCCTTTTCCCTAGCTGTCCTACTCCCTCTTATTGATGGCCACACCCACTTGGGGGTCACCACAACATGGGGAACTGTATTATGGGGTCACAGTATTAGAAAGGTTGAGAACCACTGTATTAAAGCATCATGTCCATATTGCAACTCATTGTGCTTATGCTCCCACATCCCAAAACACTTCTTTTAGTTGATATTTTTAAGTGCACACAGTCTTAAGTTCATATTCTTTTAAATTAATTCAACTTCGGTTATTTTAACCAAGTATATTGTCGTAATTATCCATGCTAAATTTGCCATTGACATCCTTTATATCTTCACTCTTTCATTTGACAATTCAAAAAGAAGAAAAAATACTGAGGACAAGTTGTTAATTTATATCGACTAAATTAACAATTTGAGAATAAGTTAATTAAGTCAATGTAATGCCAATTTATGTGACTTTATCACCTAGTGACATTAAATCTAGCCAAAGTTTCTAACTCTGCTTCTAAAATGGCATAGGAATTTGATAACCTACTTAGGATTTGCTTTGGAATATTTAAACTTGATAAAATTTCTGTGAATTATGAAAAGGATGGGCAGTAAACTAAATCCAGAAATATTTTAATACTTTTTCCATGATCTGCAGCAGTATATCAGAAAAAAAGGTAATTTCTGCCATTACCTTCGTATGTCAAACACTTCCAATATGGCTTATGTGCAGCTCTTACATTCTGAATTGATTCCCTTGCACTGAAAAAGATCAAACGGGATATACATTCTCTTTAAAAATATTTTTTAAATATATATATATTTTTTAATACTAAGAATCTGTGAATGTGTTATATGCCACAAAAAACTTGAGGCCAGGATATCTAAAATAAACTTGTATGAAATAAAATTATTAAAGCATAATAACCTAGGTATATCAATATTCAATATCCCATCTGGCAGTATATGGAATTTTTCTACCATTCTTTGTAATTCCCATGGTTTTCTGATATATAGACATTTTTAAAAAAAGAGCTCAAATCTACCTATATTGTTGAAAAAAATCTTTGTTTTCTATTAGCATTGGGGATTCTTTTGGATGTATAGACTGACATATTTGTAGGCAATTAAGCAAACCTACAGAGGCACTTGAAGTATTGGAATAGAAGAATGGTGATTCTACACCTTTGGTTTAATTCTTGCCCCATCTCCTGCCCAACTAGCAGTTCAAAAGCATGGAAATTAAACTATCAGGTAACAGCGGAAGGTAACAGTATTCTGTGTATAGCGATGCTAGCCACATGACCATGGAAAATGTCTTTGGACAACGCTGGCTCCTTCAGCCAAGAAGCAGAGATCAGCACTGCACCCTAGAGTCAGACTCAACTAGACAGGGAAACCTTTACTTTTTATAATTACCTATAACCTCCAAATAGTGAGGTGTAATCTACTGCACAATTAAATTCCTTGTGGGTCGATGCCTCCTGCACCAGTTTCAGAGGTCTCACCAAATACTGCCTACATTTTATGCTGTTTATCAAGAGACAGAGTGAAAGTCACTAGAAGTTCCCATAATACTTGGGTTTTATATAAGCTTCTGTCTTTGTCATCCAAAGTTTAAAGCATGCTGGTTGGGGTCTTGTAGAAAACGTAAGAGACTTTTACGAATTCCAGAAGGTTTAGCAGAGAGATTTATTGCGCAAGGTTCAGAAGCAGTAACAACAAGCAATTCTGAACAAAGAGGGTGGGTTCAAACTATAGTTATATACTTTCCATTTCTCAGGAACAAAGAACCATACATAAATCTACATTGTATTTCCTTCGGTTAGTTTCTCACAGACATACAATGAGGAGAGTTTTACTTCATACGATGTTTCTAAATGTCATGAGTATTTGGTCAGTCATAGATTGCTTACACAGCTTTATTCCAGTAACTATGCAGACACATCATTTTTCTTTTAGTGATTTTTCATTATCATCATTATTATTATTCCACTTTATTCTACTTTATTCTTCATTATTCTACTTCAGGGGAATTCTGAAAATTGAAGCCTACACATCATCAAGCTGCTAAGATTAAGAAACACTGGTCTAAGGATATGGGTATCATATGAAACCTTCAAATTAAAAAGATTATAACCTCTCCATGTCATAATTGTACACCATTGTTCTCTTATAATTAGGGAGAACAGATTAAGAATTTATTTCCTCACTGAGCCATGGCTTTATGATGGAACAGTGCAACATGGTATGTAGGCCTAACACCAAAAGAACAGGTACATACCAAATGTACATCCAATCTCTCCTCTGTAAAATCTTTACAGGTTTGTCTCCTACCAGTCAGAATATATAAAACTGTTAGAAGCTGCATTTAAATACAGGGCTTGCGTAGACCAGTATAGCTGACTCAGGAATTCTGGAAATTGCAGTCCATGAGACATAAAAGAGCCGAGGTTGCCTACCCCTGACCTAGGTCAAGGGTCTTCAAACTTGGCCCTTTCATGGCTTGTGGACTTCAACTCCCAGAATTCCTCAGCCAGGCACGCTGGCTGAGGAATTCTGCAAATTGAAGTCCACAAGCTATAAAAGGGCCAAGTTGAAGATCCCTGACCTAGGTACATGTTGGTGTTTGCAGTGTTGCCTGACTCAAAAGATCTAAATAGCTGAATCCTTTGTACAGACATGCCCAAAAGGAATAAAAAAAGTTCAGATAGTGGTTTCAATTGCATGACCACCATTTTGGCTTTTTTGCTAACCCCTGAATAGAAATAATAGTGTAAGACTGTCCCACCCACAGTCTTGTTTAGAACTGGCCTTTTGTCTCTATAATGACTTGTCAATACAGGTCTATCTTTCTGGTTATTACATGGTTATTATTACACGTGGACATAGTCATACATGTACCTTAAACATGGCATCATTTCACCAGACAAAGGAGGTAAAGGATCTCCAAACAAAGCTTTTAGAGTCATGCAGACTGATTCAGAGAGTGACCTTAAGTGATATCCACCCTGAATAAAAAAACAAATGGTTGTAAAATATAAAGGAGCATATGAAATTTCAAGCAAAGATTAAGCAAACAACAACATCCAGATGTTATATTATCAGAAAATAAAACAAGTGGTATACATAAGGCACCAGCGTATGCGGGTCTCCAAGCACCTGATGCAATCACCTATTGAAAATACTGATGGTCTTCACTTAAGGACCACATGTTCAGTGATAATTCAAATTAATGATGGCACTCAACAAATGATACTTACGACCAGTGTTCAATGTTCCAGTTGTCATAGAATCTATGTAGTCACATGTCTCAATCATCGAGGTCATGGTTGTCCCAAAGGTGCTTTTTCAAGAGGCAACTGGACTTTCTTGTTTTTCTTTGAAGACTTTCGCTTCTCATCCAGGAAGCTTCTTCAGTTGACTGGATGGTGGGGAATGGAAAGATTTATAAAATATAAATACTTCCATTCCCCACCATCCAGTCAGAGCTGAAGAAGCTTCTTGGATGAGAAGCAAAACATCTTCAAAGAAAAACAAGAAAGTCCAGTTGCCTCTTGAAAAAGCACCTTTGGGACATGCAGTCACATGGTCATGATTCAGGAAATTAGGGATCAGCTTGCAATTATGATGTTACAGCATCCTGCAGTTATATGATCACAATTTGCAATCTTCACTGCTGACTTTCTACAAACAAAGTCAATGGGGAAGCTGGCAGCAGGTTGCAAATGGCAACCACATAATATTGGGCTTAAGAATGGCACAGGATTTGTTTAACAATGGCAACCAGAAGTACCATAACTGCAATTGCTAAGCAATAAAGTCATGTAACAACTTGTTTTATGATTGCCATTGCTTATCGACAGAAATTCCAGTCCAGTTAATTCCAGTCCTGTCGCTGTATTTTTTTATATGTGCCTGTTTTTAATATCACTTTTTGAAGCTTTGAAGTTTAATTGTTAACAGCCTGGCTGAATGCTGATGTGCTTTACACTTCCTTGTTGGTTTACAAATGTGAACTTTCTTCATTATACTTTGGAATTTTAAAATACTTTCTCTCTCGCTGCAAGGAAGTCAGCAGTGTGACGGTTTTCCTCTTCATAGTGAAAGTGACTTGATTTGATTTATATCAGATATTGTATTTTACCAGTTTTTTAAAAGAACATTTTATTTTTTGGATATGTCCTTGGATTTTTTAATCTTAAAAAGATGGGAACTTTCCCCCCTTTTTTCTTTTTCATTTATTCTCTGCTGTGGGAATTCTTATTTCAGCTTCTTCTATGATTATTTTGCTATGGAACATTTACTTTCTTTGTCCTGAGAAAGAAATTTTGCACCCTGCTGTAAAAGCTTGACTGTAAGAGAGATCTGGACTATATTAAAATCAAAATAACAATAAATTAAGGATTTTGAATATTACCTATTACTACATGCAACATAAGACAACTGCCAAGAGACATTGCATTCCAATTTGTTGGAAAATTTACTGAACAACAAGTGTTATTGTGGAAATATTTTCAATAAAGACCTACATGTTTGAGGAGTGAGAAGCAATTGTTTGGAAAGGTCCCATTTATAATTTTAAAGAAAAGTAAATACTAATACTAATAATAATAAAGTTGGAAGAGACCTTGGAGTCATCTAGTCCAACCCCCTGCTCAGGCAAGAAACCCTATACCATTTCAGACAAATGGCTGTCCAGTCTCTTCTTAAAGACTTCCACTGTTGGAGCATTCATAGCTTCTGGAGGCAGGTTGTTCCACTGGTTAATCGTTCTAACTGTCAGGAAATTTCTCCTTAGTTCTAGGTTGGTCCTCTCTTTAGTTAGTTTCCATCTGTTGCTTCTTGTCTTGCCTTCAGGTGCTTTGGAGAACAGCTTGACTCCCTCTTCTTTGTGGCAACCCCTGAGATATTGGAACACTGCTATCATGTCCCCCCTTGTCCTTCTCTTCATTAAACTAGACATACTCAATTCCAGCAACTGTTCCTTATATGTTTTAGCCTCCAGTCCCCTAATCATCTTTGTTGCTCTTCTCCGTACTCTTTCTAGAGTCTCAACATCTTTTCTACATCATGGTGACCAAAACTGGATGCAGTATTTGTTTGCAGTGTCCTGGGTAAATCTCATTATTTCAAAACTTCACACATTTTTATGATCTCTGGAATGGCCTGTATGGCCTGCACCCAAAGTGAGGTCACATGATGGTGGGTGGGAGGGTGGGCATTGGAACTTCAATTTCAGGTTATAAGTACCCCTCAGGTAGGTCCATTGGAACTTCGAATGGTTGCTAAGTGATATATCATAAGTCAAGGACTACCTGTATTTATAGACCAGTGAGCATCTGAGATTTGTGTCAATATGTAAATATTCATAATCCTAGAAAAATTTGAACAGTAATTACCTCAAAAAGTTGACAGCATTTATTAAACTGAAAATCAAATTTTAATAAAATCCATACCTCTAAAACTGCACACAACTTTCCTTTAGCTAAATTCATTAGAAAATGAGTAAGATGGGAAAAGCATTCTGGAGTTGCTTTCATCTGCCCCTAAAAACAAAACGAAGAGAAACAAAGATATTTTTTAAAAAAAAAATTGCCTGTTTTGATGAAAAAAGAGAAAGGAGAAACAGTATCTAGAAAAGAGCTTACCTCAGGATCGCCTATTCCAGAATCATATCCAGCAGAAACCAAAACAAGTTCTGGATCAAACTACAGTTGGAAAAAAAATCAACACAGAGTTCATATTACAGAATAATGTGTACAGTATAAAGATGCTGTGAGTTGTAGTCCATCAAGACCTGGAAGGTCATAGGTTCTTCAATTCTCCAACAAGCCTTTCAGGGCATGTCCAGCCACCTACTTTCTTAAATTAATTCAAGATTTGATCTCTGATCTACTATTCCCTTTCCAACTTTTCATAAAATCTTTGAGCAGTGTTCCTCAACCTCAAGCTATTTTAAAACTTGCAGAATTCCCAGAATTCCCCAGACAGTTGAAATACGGTGACTAAAAGCAACCCACAAGGGTTCCCTGCATTGCTTTTTTGCTAGGAAGAACTTGCATGCCGATACTTCTTCCAGTTGACCAATGTAGGATATGGAGAACTAAAATTGTCTTTCAGACCTCACATTGTCATTCTTAATTCCTTGCTCATTTGTTTGTTTCCCAGTTCAGTCCCAATCCAGTCAGTTTAAGCTGCTAGGTTTTCCATTCATTTTAAAACCATGGATCTCAAACAGACAGGGAAGAATGAAAACCAAGGGCATTCTCATTACAGGTAATCCTCGAGTTACAACCATTCATTTAGTGACTGAAGTTACAGTGAAAATTTTTCACTATAATTTATGCCCCTATGAACATTGCAGCATCCCCATGGTCATGTGATCAAAATTTGGCATGTATTTACAACAGTTGCAGTATCCTGGGGTCATGTGATCACTGTTTGCAATGCTCCCAGCCTACCACTGACAAGCGAAGTCGATGGGGAAGCAGGATTCGCTTAACAATCATGTGATTCACTTAACAGCCCTTGCAAAACAGGTCATAAATTGAGGTGTAACTCACCGAACAACCTCCTTGCTTAAAGGTTGTGGTTGTAAGTCAAGGACTATCTGTAGCATCTCTGGAGCTATTGCTTTCACACCATTACAGAGATGTCAGAGAATTGGCTCACACAATTGTACAGTAACATTCAGGAGTTGTAAGATTTGTGAAGGGGCTCATAGTCTCTCTTTTTTTAAAAAAAAAATCCAAACAACTAGCAGCTCTCATTATGCAGGGATAATTGTAGCAAAACAACAAAACCGGGGAGCTCCCAACAGAAGCAAAAAATTCAGGAGTGTGGTACAGCTGCTGTCTTGGTTTTGGATCCTTCTTCCTGCAGATAATCTTAAGCATAATTTTTTAAAAAAGAAATTGTTGCTTTTAAATAGCTGAAGATTATTTCTGATAGTACACAAAAATATTTTAATATTGTACTCTACTTTTAAATAGCATTGGCAATTAGGAGGAAAAAAAGTCCAGAATTCAAAAGTTACCTCAAAAGCTATTGGAAGCAAAACATGAAGAAATGCAGCCAAATAATCTGAATTTCCCATTCCAACCTGCAAAGCCAAGCATAATATAAAATAGCAATTATTTTAAAACAGAAAACAAACAACCCCAAACTGCCATTATATATAGGCCTATTAGGCCACAAATATCTTAATGGACATCATCTCTGGAAAGCATTGTGCTTCTCCAACAAATTCTAAACTGTATTCAGCAAGCAGTTTTCTAAATCCCCAGGAAGGAAAATTACATGGACATTTTAAAATTTGTGCTAGGTTCCAGCTGACAACATAAAGTCTGCATTTTACTTTTTTTTGCCCCAAATGCAGCCCTCATTAATATTACCAAAATGATAAAACTTTGTTATTTTTCTTAAAAGTCCTTGCTACAAATAAAACTTATATAAGCAGTAGAATAGGAAGAGTTTTTGTTAAATTACAGTATTCCATCAGAAATCATGCTTCCTTGTGCATAATTCATCTGCTGTATATGAGAACACAAATCTATTCTAATTACAAAATGAGTTCTCAGCTGACACAAATATGTACGCAAGGTGTGTGTATGGAATTAAAAACAAAACTGCATCAAATGCATGATTGCTAGAGCTTAACATCTATTTGTATTATGGTGCTATTAAACAATATTTACCTGATTCCAAGGAACATTTATGGTGAATCCTCTTCCCTTCCCCTGACCAACCGCATCATAATTAGATTCACTGAGCCAAGGCCAAAATTTCTGGTGTTCGAACCGATGCCAGGAAAAATAAAGAATACTAACAAGAACAAAGTACTATTTAATGAAGTTGCTGCTGACACCAAACAAGCAAACAAGCAGCAGTGCTTATTCCAGGAGAGAACAGCTGAATTAAGCCTGAAATCTATGAATTTTCACTATCTAGTTTTCTGTAAACTGACCTAAATATGGGGTGTTCTCAAAGAGTTTAATTTTGTATAGCTATGGTTTTAAGATGCTGCTGAACTTAAGCTTCCCGCAAAAATGTGGGTGTTGGTATGAGTGCCAACCAATTTGTAAATGTATCTGACAATGACACATATACTTTTAATCAATTGTTTTCGTCTTTATTTATCTTTGTATTAGACCTCATCTATCACTTTAGTTCAACACTGAAGGGAGTTTTACAACCATGCTATAAAAACAGACAATAAAATATAGGTTATAGCAAAATTAATACCATTTGCCTAAAAACCAAAACAACAGTACATAATTGTGTAGTGCAAGCTATCAAAATGTCTTGAGACCTGCTGTTTGCTACTGAAGTTCATTGGTAATTCATTTCTAAAATGAAATGAAAATGTTGCTGCAACATTTCCAAGAACAAGTAATTGACAAACCTTGGGTCATCATCAAATGCGTATTGAATTCCTTGTCCATGATGCACATCCCAGTCAACAATGAGGATTCTGCATGAACCAACCACAACGCTCATTAAAAGGTAAGATCTTCAAGAATTTGTGATTTTAAATAGATATACTCCACCTTTGCAGGCCGTATTTTCTTTGAGCATATTTTGCTGCAATAGCAACATTATTGAAGATACAAAATCCATTGGCTGCACTTCTTTGACTATGATGACCTGGAGGCCTGCAAAGAAGCATGATTGAGTCAACTAACCATAAACTGTACCAAAGAACATTTACCTAGAGAATATTTCAATTTGGTTACCTTACTAGAGCCAAGCCATTACGGGTCTTTCCCGACATCACAGCATCTACCAGTTGCAGTGTTGCTCCCACAGCCAATTTGGCACAACGATATGTTGTCTGAAGAACAAAACAAGTTCATGATTCAAAGACTCTACTGTATTTTCCAAGAAGAATGAATGAAGGCTGGAGAGATGGGAACAGCTTGGCACTCTACAACATTGAATTTCCCCACTCATCCAGGCATTGGGTATTAGAACTGTAATCCAAAGAAGCACTCAACAGTCACCTCCTCCCACTTTATATTCCCAGCAGTAGGAGAACTAAGAAAACAGGAATTTGGGGAGGCGGAAGGATAGGTCTGGAGGAAGCTTAGAAGCCATAAGAAAACCTCCACCTGTCAGAAGGGGATAAGTTCCAAGGAAGGTAAGAGCTGTGAGCCTGTAGAAACATTTTAAAGTTAAGGGTGGCCATTGGAAACCCATTTTAAATTATTTAACAGGGCTAAATTTGATTCCTTCTTCCAACATTAATAAAATGACTGTGGTGTTCAGCATCTTGCTCTAGTTACGTAATTTTGGGTAGAGATTTTAAGAAATAGAGAAAAAAGAAAAGCATCTGTAAATCAGGAAAGGGTTTAGTGGTGGTAGCAAAAGCAATAGATCCTTTTCAGGCCTCCACAGGGAGACTAAAAAGTCAAAACAGCTGCAACCATGTGATCCTTGCAAGATCCAGCCCCTGCAAGATGTCCATGGATCCTTTAGAAATATTCATGAGTTAAGAACAATATGCTTTAATTTTGAAGAACAGCAGCCCCACAACACTGATGGACAGCAGGATTTGGAGAAAAAGGTTTATGATTAAGGAATATTATATCTAGGAAGAATTCTTGATTATGCTCCATACTGGATGAAAGTAAACAGCATCATATTCAGCAGAGACTTTTTGGAGCGCTTCTTTTTCCATTTTCTCAGTGCTCTTCACAATTTCCACATAATCCATACTGGAAAAGAAAAAGAAAAACACAGTCACCCATAGAGACAACATAGGATGTGAGCCAGTTTCAAATGCTGCTATCTCTATTACTCTGGTAATCAGGAATCTGGTTGGAGATAAACTGACAGGACAGCTATCTATGGAAAGCCAACTGAGATTTCAGACAAGATGCTGAACCAATATGTATATAAACTGGGCTGATTATTGATTTTGCCCCTAAGCCAAAACTATATTGGGACCATTTCTCTTATCAGGAACAGGCATGTAAAATGCAAATCCATTGGGATGGATTTTTTAAAGTTTAAAACACTAAGTCTAGGAGGCATTGAACTTAGTAATCCAAAAGAACATTTCTTACTGGTGCTTCATTTCTTACTATGGCTCAGTTCAGGGCAACAATAAATCTCCCAAGATTAAGAGACAGAGAATGAATGCCAGCCTTGAACCCATCCCCCTTTCTATTCTAACAAATATTCCCTTTTTCCAATTTTTTGTGGATTAATCTGAGTATGTAATTATATTTACATCAGTGCTAATGCTAAGAAACTATGGAAAGTGGAAAATCTGGGAGCAGTTAGAGATGGGAAGATGGCCTAGTGCCATAGCTAAGGGAAACAGGAAGAGATCCTAAAAGCCAAGAAAAAACTCATTGGAAGGCTAATTTAAATATTCAGAAATCAAGATATAGCTGAAGAACATAGAATAATAGGGTTGGAAGGGACCTTGGAAGTCTTCTAGTATCTAGTTCAACCCCTTGCCCACGGCAGGAGATCCTATACTATTCTGGACAAATAGTGTCCAGTCTCTTCTTGAAAATTCCAGTGATGGAGCACCCACAACCTCCAGAGGCAAGCTGTTCCACTGATTGTTTTCACTGTCAAGGAAATTTTGTCTTAATTCTAGGTTGGATTTCTCTTTAATGAATTTACACAGGTTACTTCTTGTCCTGACCTCAGGTACTTTGGAGAATAAATTGACTCCCTCTTTGACAGCCCTTCAAGTACTGGAATACTGCTAGCATATCATTGTTAGTCCAGACATATCTAGTTCCCTCAATTGTTCATCATATGGTTTAGCCTCTAGACCTCATATCATTTTGTTGGTCTATTCTGCACTCCTTCTAGGGTCTCAGCAGAATCCACTTCTGAATGGAAGTTATCTCTTTGCAGCTTGCCCAGCAAATGACCTTTTCTAGTTATCAGGATAATGAGCTCAGTGACCCATATGATGAATTCTTAGTCTTAGTACATAAGGTCCAACTCAACACAGATGCACATGGAATACCACAGCATACTAGGGTGGATTGAAACAATGATCAGTAAAAGATAAGTTCAAATAAAAATGCTAAGATTCTAGACCAGCGGTTCTCAACCTATGGGTCGCAACCCCATTTGGGGTTGATCGACCATTTCATGGGGGTCGCCAAGCAAGGCTGTCCGCCATTTTTTTCTCCTTTTCCGGCAGGTGCCTTACCTCCCTTGGGCTGGGCCAGCTGGTGGCCCAGCCGGTGGTTGGCCTGCTCCATCTCTGTCGTTTGCCAGCTACGCCTCGGCTGGTGCAGGGGGCGGCACCACGCATGCGCGGTGCTCCCAGGCAGGGAAAGTTCTCGACTTACAACCGGTTTAGTCCTCGACTTATGACTGGTTTAGTCCTCGACTTACGACCGGTTGGGGTCGCGGCATTAAAAAGGTTGAGAACCATTGTTCTAGACATAAACTTCCATGTTGAAGAATCAGTCAACAACAAATGGGCCCCTCCTCAAATTGTCTTCTAAATTGTAATGATCCACATCAAAAATGATGAAAAACAGTCAGTCAGAATCCAACAACTCCAGGTTATAAAACAAAACATAAAGAGAATATCTTTATGCATATGCTGGGAGAGGTTTATGAAGCATATAGAAATAGAGCGTAAATGTGTAAAGGTTTTACACTGTGGAGTGTAAAAGTTTCTTTATCTATAGGTTGGTATTTTGTTTGCTGCTTTTTGCCCAATTCTTCCCCTGCAATCTAATTCATGCTGGAATTTTTTTCTGGAATTAAAATACTATTAGCTTTTGGGAAACTATCTAGTTACTAATTAGATTAGTAATTCTCTGTTTACATCAATGGGGAAGTCATGTTTTCTCTAATTAGTTGAGCTGGGATCAAAAAATGTAATTGAAAGGACAAATGTATTCAAGTTTTGATTCAATAAACAGTATTTAAACTTTGATTCAATTGTGATATTGTCACTTTCTGTAGTAATTATGCACACTGGCAATGAAGATGCTGAGAGATAAAGAAATAAGTTATTTATGTTTTCCCTCTTTCAAGGAGTTTTTTCCAATGAGAAACTAAAGCTCCGGGGGAAATACTGCAAAACTCTCTTTGCAATGTTTTTACAGGCAACATTTGAGCCAATAGCCCATTTATCATTTTATCTCTTGGCCATCCAGTGAACTGCTAAATGGTCTTCAATGGTGTGGACTGGAAAAAATTCTCCTTAGTCTTTCTTTTTTGGGTAGGGGGATAGTTTACAGATAGTTGCAGACCTATTCCTACGTGTCCTTGGGCAGGGCAACTGGTGTCATACGTGTCATGATGCCATCCACAGAAATGGTACAACTTGTACAATGACATAAGTGCAGCTAGTCACTGACTTAGACCAGTCACTTCGCAATCATTTAAAGTGATGACCAACTTGAAAAAGGAGACTTACAATCTGAATTCAAAGTTTATGTGATCGAACTTTGGGTGCCTGGCAACATGGCTGCATTTACAGTTGTTTGCAGCATCTCAAGGTCACATGAGCAATTTTTCAAGGTTTTTGCCAAAACCCAGCACTTCTGCTTTTTGGCAAAACCACTCATATAGCGAACCATTGATTTGATTAAAGACTGCAGCAAAAAGGGCTGTAAATTGGGCAGGCTCCATTATGGTAGTATCTGAAGGACTACCTGTACATACATGATGTCACGGGCACTAAAAATTGTATCATTTAACATAGGCTATTTTCTTACCAGATTTGGGGTGGGACATTTGGGGTATTTCTCAGTGCAAATGACCATTTCTTTTCTAGGGGGTTTAGGACTTAACTTGAACTTTATGAAAACAAATTATGTCTGTTAAGTGTAAAAGAAACATGGCACTGAATTTTCCCCTCATAATTTCTCCAACACTGGCTGAGGTGGAGGGATGCTGCCCTAGGAGCGTACCTGTGGATCAGCATGATTTCACTCTCAGTTCCTTCTCTGGCAGAGACAGAAATGCATCTTTCAATCAGGTGATAGTGCTGAAGGCGGCCATAGCAGGAAGAAAGCCGTTCAGGGACCTCCACATCACAGTTTGGGCTAAAATTGAGAGCAAGATTTAAGTTCCCAATGAAATCATTACAAATCTATGTTACAGCTGAGAAAGATGATTTTTTTCATTACTAGAAAGAAAAAACTGGCGAAGGAAGGAATGTGTTCTTTACTACAGTATTGATAATGAAATACCTCAGATATTAACTAAAACCCTTTTAAAGTGGGGGTTTGAATGATGCAAAAGAGCCCCCATTAAGAGTTCTACCTTGGTTGTTAAGAGCAAGGAAATTAAATCTGTCGTGATACTCCTTCCTTAGACAGGGGATTGGACTAAACCACCTCCAAGGTCCCTTCTAACTCTGATTCTATAATAACAATGGACCAGCGTTTCTCAACCCTGTCAAGTTGAAGATGTGTGGACTTCAACTCCCAGAATTCCCCAGCCATGATATCAACACATCTTAAAGCCAAGGTTAAGAAACACCGCAAGGCAAGATCAAGACCAGATTTTCTTTTTGAAGCATGCATTAGTATCCACAGCAAGGCTTTATGTATCAACATCAAAGCCCCTCTCCTTTTGCACATGCAGCAACAATGCACAAGCATACAAAATAAAGGTTTCTGATCATGATGCTCCATTGACTAATATGGGCAGTATAGAAATTGAATAAATAAAAATAAACAGCAGTATTGTTCATTAGTATATTTCATGCATGTAATAAATCTGTACATGCATCATAGCACATTAGCATCATCTAGCCAGCCTGGCTGATCTCAAAAAAAAAAAAAAAGCTAAACAGGGAACAAGGTACCAGTACTTATTTGGGTGAGCAGAAAATTCCAAGTTGTAGGGAAGACAACATCATATCGTATAAGGATCAAATGTCCTTGTAACAACAGGATATCACACTAGGTGGCAGCACCTAATTGACCTTGAAGAAAGCTAAGCAGGGTCAGATCTGGTAGGAATTAAGAATTCCTTTGTTAATGTTGAGAAGCAAAAACCAGCATAAAATGAACAGGCTTATTTAGTAGGAGTGTGTACATCAACGACATGCATCATAAACAGAGTACAAGAAAACCTTATCAATAGTTACTGAACAAATACAATTTTATGATGGTGCAATAAAACATAAATCATGAAACTACACCAATCAGCAATAAAACAAAAGAACAGATTATAATCAATTAATAATGTTCCCATATTGCCCTTTGATCTAATCTTAAAGGCTGCAGCATAGAATCTTTATTAGCTAACAGAAGAATCGAGGAAGAGAGATCTGATTCACCGAGTCTTTTTATAAAAAGAATTTCAGTCTTTAGATCCTGGCATAAATAAAAAAATGTAAGAAAGCAGTGGTGGGATTCAGCCAATTTGTACCACTTTGGCAGAACTGGTAGCTAATTTTTTGTTGCCCAGGCCCATAATGGACTTCTGGAAGCAGCATCCACACAGAGAACTGGTTGTTCACATATTTGAATCCCACCACTGGTGAGAAAGTCTCCATTTCCTCAGAACCACAGGTATATTATTAAATCTTTCCTGGAACACAGCTGTGGGGAACACAGTGAAATGCACTAATAATCTGGAACTCTGGAATTGATAGCTAATTGATCAATGTGCCTAAAAAGTATTACTGGAGAAAAAAATCTCGGAATTGTCTAAGTTCTGTCCGACAGAATCAACCATTGTTCTTTGTCTAACAGCAGAAAAGGCATCATTGTGTCCCTTGCCCAGAAGAAACCTGAGTGGCAGGACCTCAGCTTAGGTAGTCTTCAACTTCCCCTAACCATGTTACTTCAGAAAGTGATATTTACAAGGCTAAGGAAAGAAATATGATCTAGTTTGTATTTAGACATCCACCAGGAAATCGTAAGCTAGACTGAGATGTCAAAAAAAGAACTCAGGAGAAGGCAGTGACAAGTTACTTCTGTATTCCTGCCAAGTAAAACCATGACTGGGTCCTTGTAGCCCAGTGTTTCTCAACCTTGACAATTTTAAGGCATGTGGACTTCAACTCCCAGAATTCCACAGCCAGCAATGCTGGCTGTGGAATTCTGGGAGTTGAAGTCCACATGCCTTAAAATTGTCAAGGTTGAGAAACACTGTAACGTAGCCCAAGTTAAGGAATTTTTTTTGTCAAGGACAGGCAGTCAATGCTTCTCAGGGCATCTTATTTAAATGCAGATGAAATAGGCTGAGTTCAAATCACCACAAAACTGGCATAAATTCTACTTGCTCCAATTATTTTGTCTCAAATGCTTTAAAAGAATGCGAAAGGTTCCATTCTTTTCTCTATGTTTATATAACTGCAGCAAATACATGAACGTTGGGAAAGTAGAAAGTCTGAGAAAAAAACAAAACAATTTCATATTAATTGGGTTAGGTATAAATTGAAGTACAGGGGGTCTCTGACAGGTTTTCAAGATTGTGTTAGTCTGTCAAAATCAGGAACCAGAAATTGCTAGGAATCTTGGAATGTATCTTAATGTGGTTAGAATATTATAACAGAATCTCCAATGTTTGCCAAAACTTTTTCAATTTATATATAACAGTATAAAGTTGGAATCCCCCTCCCCCCACTTCTTCTTGCACAGCGTGCTATGCCTTCCTTCCCTGGGCCTTGCTGCATTCACACACACACCTGCATCCGCTGCACCCTCTTCCCTCAACTCCTGCAACTCCAAGCCTTCCCCCACCCAGGCATTCCTGGTCTAAATTACAGTTGTAACTCAAGGACAACCTGTATCTGTAATTCCCTTTTATTGCAAAGTAGAGGTTTCTTAAATGAAACAACCCAAAAAAAAAAAGCTGTACTTACTCTTCCCATAGTAGCTTATGATTGATCATTTCATCATCATAAATCAAGGCTGTTCCAGCTGCCATCACTTTGTTTGAAAACACAATGCAAATGTATGTGGTTTATTAAAGAAACAAAACATGAATCAGGAAGGGAACCAGCAGAATCAAGACATCAATTGTTATTTTGCTTAGAACAGTCTGAAGTGATGCTACAGCTCACAAATTTAATAGAACAATCATCCTTCTGGTTTAGTTTAACATTAAACTTCAGCTTAGCACAATGTGAACAAGCCTGTTCAAGCTTCAGACATAGCACAACTTCTTCCAGTCTTCAAGACCATTCCAGAGGAGGAAACTAAAAGCATCTTCTTTCAAATCCAAACTACTCATAATTCTTAGTTTGACAAGGATAAACTGTTTCAACTATAGTTTACCAAAGTAAGACAAAATCAAACCACTGTTTCCAGCTCTCGTTTGTTTCGCTATAGTTCATTGGTTAAAACAACCATATTTCCCTATAACTGCATAAGTTTCTGAACTGGAACTAACTAAATAAAGTTGCTGAGTGCTAACTTCAGGATGTGTGAACTTCAACTCTCAGAATTCCTCAGCCAGCATGACCATCTTGAAACTGCCAAGCTGGAAAAACACTGAATTTGAGCATGTTCCTATCCAGCTGGAAGACATTTAGAAGTTATTCTCAAACTGGCTGGGGAATTCTGAGAGTTGAAGTCCACACATCTTAAAGTTGCTGAACCTGAGAAACACTGAGCTAAGAGAGAAAGGTTGGCCCAAAATGCAATCACCAAATGACTTCAGGGATCAGAGTCCAGAAACTGGGTCTAAACAATTAGAATTAACTACCTCTCTACATATTGACTGTCATATGGCAAAAAATAGGCAGAACTCATCCATGGACACCTGAAGCTACAGCAATCTGTGAGCATACTTTAATAAAGGAAGATCTTAATTTCAGATTCATTCATTTTCAAATTCTTTAGATTTGAATGAGCACAGAAGAACAATTTTCTCAGTCTCTTGAAATACCACCCAATGCTGCTCTTAACATCACTCTTAATCACACTCAGGACTCTCTTACCTAGGTGCAATCCAGAAGATCCTGCTGCAGAAAATAATTTCAGGATCAAAGCCCAGTGTTGAAGGATCTAGCAAGAGTAAGATAAAACTCTGAGCATGCTGTGGACTTCAACTCCCAGAATCCCCCCAGGCAGCATGACCATCTTCTTGAAGCTGCCAAATTTGAAAAAAAAAACACTGAATTTGAGAATGTTCCTATCCAGCTGTAAGACATTTAAATGCCATTCTCTAGCTCAGAGGTGGCGAACCTATGGCATGCGTGCCAGAGGCGGCACTCAGAGCCCTCTCTGTTGGCACGCGCACCACCGCCGCCAGTAGCAAGTCTATCAGGCTGCCGCCGCCGCCTGGAGCAGGAGCCCCGCCCAGCATAAAGGAGGCAAAGCGGCTGACTAGCAAGCTTGAATAGAGGTGGTAGAGCAAAAGTCACCAACCATTGTTGATTGGTGGACTGGAAGAAAAGGGAGGGGGAAGCATTTTACATGCATGCATGTACACGGGGGCCGCGAGCATACACGCACTGCAAATGGGGCAGAGTTAGTGCCTGCATGATACTCACAAGCCCTGCTCTGTTCTTGCATGGTGCAACACCCCGTGGCACAGCGGCAGCCATTTTTGCACCTTGCAGCACAATGGCCCAGTTTTGCACCCCCCCCCCATTTATGTGTGCCAGAGGTGGCACTCAGACATACCTCCTGCACCCCCACCTCTGAGGGCACCACAATGCTGATGTGGCCCTGGCACTTTGTGATAAATAAGTGGGTTTTGGGTTGCGGTTTGGGCACTTGGTCTCTAAAGGTTCGCCATCACTGGTCTAGCTGGCTGGGGAATTCTTTTAAGAGTTGTCAAAGAGTTGAAAAATACTGGCCTAAATAACACTAAAATGAAAAATGTTGCAAATTTTGTGTACTATCCTCAAAAAAAGTGTAAAATGTAACATTAAAGGGGGGGGGAGACCTATGTCTCCAATAAGATTAAGCAAAGAATGTGCAAAAGCAATTTTTTAAAAAATCTATTCCTCTGACCCTGTGCAAAAAGCAATTTCTCTCAATTCCCCAAGAAAGCAGAATCAGTCACTATACAAAACATCTGAAATTAGGCGATCGGAGTCAGCAAGTAAGATCTCAAAAGAATCTCTTCTTTGCAATAATATTATTCCAAATTTAATTTTAACCTACTAGAAGCCTCACTTCTATAGCAGCCAACCAGCCACATATTACAGGGAAAATGTCAAACGGTATTTAGATAAAAACTTTCCTACCCGAAATACAGCCTCTGCTAAACTCTACCATTCGGGGCAGGGAGGGGAAAATCAAAGTGCTTGGAGGAAGGAGAGGACAATCTGCAATGTCTTATTGGCTTGAATGTGTACACAAACTGCTTAGTCGGACCAATCGGGAAAAAAGCAGTGCAAAGAAGGCGGGGAATATCAACTTACAAACACAAATTCCCGCCCTTTTCTAAGCGTTTCCATCCCTGATTGGACCCCCCCGACTACTCTTTTGCCAATAGCAGTACATAGAAGAGATTGGGAAAAGGATGGGAAATACGTGGTGCACTTTAACTCTAATCGAAATAAGGTTTGGGCTGCTTCGTGTACCGAATCTAGAAACAAGCGCTTGCTGCAACATAATATTCTTTATTATACTAGCTCCATGGGCGGAAGTGGCTCAAGATTAATGTTGCATTGCATATGATTCATTATTAAATAACATTTATGTGTAGAAGACATTACGAATAATACAAAAGAAAAAAAATGCTTAAGCCATTTTCTTTTCTTTGCTTAGGCGCACTCCAATTTCCCGTAGAATCCATTCCGGGTTTTCTATATAGCCCATTCTTCGCTGACTTTGTTTTCAATTAAGCCTAGCGGCGGCTATATTCCTTCGCAGCTCCTGTCATCTTCTACTGCGTTTCAAAAATCAACCTTTGTTTCCTTCGGACGTTGCTGTTTATTTCAAAACATCATCTAAAATATGTGCCTATTCTCAGTTAATCACCTCAATAATTAAGCATCATTTAAGCATGTTCTCAGAACGCTGCTTTCAAGAGACTGATAGTTTTCCAGCTATATAATGTCTGGTATGATTACTGTCATCCTGAGCGTCCTTATGCAGATCAACATGTGTAAGGACAAAAAGCCACATGGATGCCCTAGACCAGTGGTTCTCAACCTGTGGGTCAGGACCCCATTTGGGGTCGAACAACCATTTCACGGGGGTCGCCAAACAAGGCTGTCCGCCATTTTTCCCCCTTTTGTTTGGCCATGCCCCTGGCACCCGGTGATGTATAAGTGGTTGGGGGTCACCACAACATGGGGAACTGTATTATGGGGTCGCGGCATTAGAAAGGTTGAGAACCACTGCCCTAGACCAAGGGTCTGCAACCTTGACAACTTTAAGACTTGTGTACTTCAGCTAGCTGAGGAATTCTGGAAGCTGAAGTCCACAAGTCTTAAAGTTGTCAAGGTTGCAGACCCCTGGCAACCTTGGCTCTTTTATAACTTCAGCTTCCAGAATTCCTGAGCTAGCATGGCTCAGCATGGAAACCTCTCCATTTCTCCGCAGCATGGCTGGCTCAGGAATTCTGGGAGTTGAAGTCCACGAGTCATAAAAGAGCCAAGGTTGCCTACCCCTGGTCTAGACCAGGGGTAGGCAACCTTGGCTCTTTTATGACATGTGGACTTCAACTCCCAGAATTCCTAAGCCAGCATGGCTCAGCTCTCCCTTTCCCCTCAGCATGGCTGGCTGAGGAATTCTGGGAATTGAAGTCCACGAGTTATAAAAGAGCCAAGGTTGCCTATTCCTGGTCTAGACCAAGGGATAAAAACCTCTGGCTCCATTTTAACTATGCAACAATTCTACAAGAAAGGTTAGCTTTATGGCCAAAAGTCATAATCAGCCCGAGTCACTTAACTGCCTTACTTAACAATGGAAATTCTGGTCCCAATTGTGCTTGTAGTGCTTGTAAGTCAAGGATTACCAGTATGTAAACTTACGTCTTGATGGTCCTAATATGATGCTCAAATTGTATTTACATTTAATATTTGCTTGGAAATCTAAATAAATATGTGGTATTTGATAAAGATGGCATAAGCTCTGGTTTATAACATTATAAACATTTATTACAAAAATATATAAAAATGGAACCAGCATTTTGTTATACTCATGCAGTTGCAACAATGATCATTTGTCCAACAATTGCCGACTATAGTATGCACAGATATTTTATTTCGCTGTTTTAGAGTCACTTTCCTCTCCCAGTTTTATATAAATTTGCTACTGATTATGGGCATCTCCTTTAAGATACTTGCTTCTTGTGAAGGGTGGTTCAGAGATAACTGATGTTCCAAGGCTTAAATGTTGAAGCAAGAACAATGAATTGCAATGGTGTATCTTACCTCCAAAGGAGGGTGGAATGTTGGTGCATCTATTTTTACTGCAAAGGAACTTACTTTAAATGGAGCTCACATCCCGGTGACTATTTGGACATGTCCATGTAGGTTTCTTGGCTACAATTCCCCAGTGCTTTGTGAGCAGCTTCTAGCATATGGTTTTGGTATCCCAGATTAGCTTTCAGTTCTAGAATTTCTTGGTTACTCACCCTAGACTTGACAACACTACGCTTTTTTTTCTGAGAAAAATGTTGGATAAGTGCTATGCATGTGTAAAGAACAAGAAACATCTAAGTTGGAAATGTTTTTAAAGAATGAAAATATAAGTAAAATTCATATATTAGAAAGACTTCAGAAAAGGATCTCTACAAGAATGCCATTATTCACTAAAAGCTTATGTACTATCGTGACTAACAAAATAAAAATATAGACTTCGAAATTAAAATAGTCATATGGGTTTCTGTCTCTGTCTCCCTAGCTCAGAGGTCTTCAAACCTGGCCCTTTTATGACTTGTGGACTTCAAATCCCAGAATTCCTTAGCCAGCATGCCTGGCTGAGGAATTCTGGGAACTGAAGTCCACAAGTCATAAAAGGCCAAGTTTGAAGACCCCTGCTCTAGTTGATTGGCAGCTGGTTGGCTGTCATGCAAAACAGAGTTTGATGGTGTTTTTCACATGTATCTGACACATTGATGGAATATGTATATCCAATAGAACCCATATCATATTCCCAGGCTTTGTATATGCACAAATAAAGCCTGTTTCATAAGTTTTAGTGACTTACTTCTATGGAAACCAACATTAATTAAATATTGGTCACTCACAAAATTCTCACTGTTGAGAAGTGGGGTACACTCAAGGTGTATGGTAAAAAACATCAAGATGATAGCCACAATAGTGTGCTTGAAACTCCAGCCATTTTTTTTAGATCACAGAGTTTTGATTGCACCATCATGATTCTAGATGCACCCATGATTCCAATGCTAAAATGAATGAAACTATAGTAATCCCTAATTGATAATTGACAATTGGATAATTGAATTAGCTGGATCCGGAAAATAGTTCCAGATCTTTATTGCAGGAATACTGCCCTTGTCCTGACAGACGTTTTTCAATGTGGAATTAAATCAGCCCTGGAGTTCATTTTATCTTCATTTCAAGTAAAAGCATGAATTCTGATGATTCTATTGAAAACAGTCACACATTTTACATCAAGATCCATCAAGACTTTGGGATCAGATCCCTTGTGTTTGTTTCCTAAATGCCAATTATAGCTATTCTGTATCTAAAGCCCATGACATTCAGGTTAAAGCTTTTGCCTGAATGTTATCAAAAAAGAGGTAATATATGTGAAACAGAACTGAAAATCATTAATATTCCCATCTTTCAAGCTAAGCATTGATCAAAGGTTTAAAAAAAGATGGTAAAGTACATGCAGAATAAATAAAATCTTCCTCTAAGCTTAAGAAACAAATAAATCAATATCTTGTATTTTGTTTCTTTCATTGATTTTATTCTTTAATGAATAAAAAAACTGATTAGAAGCCAAATTCAATCAAACATTTAATCAAATGGTTGTCCTAGTTTAATGACAATTACTATATATATTCATTTATTACAATAAGTAGGGGAACATAGAGGAGAGGCGGGTTTGTGACTTAGTATCAATAGCCATAAAACCACCTCAGCATCTAGCAACTCAAATTTCTCCAAAATTCACATTTGCTGCAGAAAAGATTCTAACATTGGTCTGAAAGAGGAAAACTTTATACTAATTCTGAACTGAAATCTGTTCTTCCGTCGAAAAAAGGCATCTGTTTTTCTACAACATTCTCAGCTTTTTTTTTCAGTTCCTTCCACATGTGGGCCACCATTGACTTCAGATCAGTTGCCCCACTCATTCTTATCACATCAAAAGCTTTGGAAAGCTTAACTTTCAGCTCCGCTCCTGATCCAGTCAAAATACTTCAAAAGGATAGTAGCAAAGAAGAGAACTTCTCTTTGAAGGTCCTCTGCTTCACCTCATCTCACTTTTCTTGAATTGTTCCACTGCTACCTGAAGTCAAAGTCCTCAGGTTCCTTGGTTTATATTCCTCCTGCCCTGAGTACTTCAGGAGCACCCAGAAGGTTAGTATCTCCACCCCCCCCCCCCCATATTGTGGAAGGATCAAAAAGGGTGGGAGGGAAGTGACAATTGTCTTGCATTGGTCAGACAGTCCTTTCACATGTCTCTCCCTTCATCCATTACAACTCTAGGGTGCAGCCATGAGGATATTTATGAAATATCATGAAGGTACAGCAGCAGTAAAATAACATGGGGTCAGTGTCAGAGGGGAAAGGGCCTTACAGTAGAAGAATCTTCAAGCATTTCATCACAGCATTCCTTTAAGTGGTCCGTGCTTTCTCCAGAGCTGAGAAAGGCTTTGCAGACTTCACTCATTATATTACATTTTCTCTTGGGATTTTACTGAGAGCTAGGAAACTCCATACTGCCTGGGAGATCATTGAATAGTACAGAATGGGGCTCTCTCAACTGCTTGGGAATTAAGATCAAGGATTCCAATTTTTCAACCTTGCTTGAAAAAAATAGGCAATCATTTTTTAACATGCCCTTTCCATTCCCATCAAATTGAATGAGAAGGCTAAAAATGCTATATCAAATATGACCCTAACAGATGAGTTCAGTCTTTAACCAACACATCAATGCGTCAGTATTATATCAACTGCTATGACTATGATAACAGTTCAAATCAGAACTGGTGGTTAAATAACCGCTTTCCATAATAAATGCTGTAAGCTGTAAACAACCGGCATGATGATGGATTAGGCCTTAAGGCATCAAATGGCTAATGCTCAGCTCACCAAGAAATTTTCCATCAGTGATACCAGAGACCCAAAGATTAACATCTTTGGTTTAGCATCTGCATCATTTGCTCATAAACACAGTTGGCCCTGTTAGGATCAGAGCTGCAGCCTCAGGAAGCTCGACATGACTAAAAAGAAGAGTCTCACTGGTCCAGGAAAGCTGCTGGCTGTGCTAACGGCTGGTGTGCATTCAAGGTTGGTAATTGTTGAACTGGCCTGGCTAAATGTTGCCGCACCTCCAATGGTAGCATCACAGACAGCATGGGTAGTGCAGCCCTTCATGGCAACTTTTGTAGATGTTTCTTCTGGTGTTTAGAAAGACAGAAAATTATAAATTGCATGTTAACCACAAGGGGGCAACAGATACACATCAATCCATTTCTTCAAGGCCAAAAAAATACAGTAGTCTACACCCACTTCTCTTAAGGTAGATGGCCTTCCTTCTCAGAAAGAACCAATTTGCTGCATTTGTAATTTGCATTTTGATAGAATGATTCATATCCTTTCTTTTAAATTAAAGATAGTCAACAGTCAAATCCTGTGCAACCTAATAAACAGAAAGCAGTGTAATAAAGAAGGACAATACCACAAAACTTTTTACAGACAACAGAATCAGCACCCAGTATCAACCATATTACCTCAGCTATTCATTTTGCTTCTGTAAACTCATAACATTTCCCATAAATTAGCTGAATGACGCAGTGGGCCTAAAATATATTTGTAAATTTGCCAGCCATTTGCCTATAGAGTAAAAAAAAATGTTGGAACTCTTTTGCTCCCATAGACTTTGGACCTCTTATGATCGGCACTGACATATTTTAGAGTAAATAGCAAGGCTGTTCAGAATAGTTGCAGAAAAATGGGTTTTTCTTCCACATCTAATATTGATCTGAAGTGCTATGAGAAATGGAAAGGATGATCAGAAGGATATTTAACAAAATAACAGATTTGGAAGGGACTTTGGAGGTCTTCTAGTTCAACCCCCTGCTCAAGCAGGAAACCCTATACCATTTTAGACTAATTGTCCAATCTCTTCTTTAAAAACTCTAGTGTTGGAGCACCCACAATTTCTGAAGGCAAGCTGTTCCACTGATGGTTCTAACTGCCAGGAAATTTCTCCTTAATTCTAAGTTGGCTCTCTCCTTGATTAGTTTCCATCCATTGCTTCTTCTTCTGCCTTCAGGTGCTTTGAAGAACTGGTTGACCCACTTTTCCTTGTGGTAGATATTGGAACACTGCTATCATATCACCCCTAGTCCTTCTTTTCATTAAACTAGACATACCCAATTCCAGCAACCGTTCTTTATATGTTTTAGCCTCCAGTCCTCTAATTATCTTTGTTGCTCTTCTCTGCACTCTGTCTAGAGTCTCGACATCTTTTTTACATCATGGTGACTAAAGCTGGCCTTACCAAGGCATTATAAAGTGGTATTAACATTACATGTAATCTTGATCCTATCTCTCTGTTAATGCAGCCTAGGACTGTGATTGCTTTTTTAACAGTTGCAACACTCTGCTGGCTCATATTTAAGTGATTGTCCACTAGGACTCCAAGATCCCTCTCATAATTACTATTTTGAGCCAAGTATCACCTATTCTATACCTGTGCTTTCAGTTTTTCTTGCCTAAATGTAAAAGCTTACATTTCCCACCATTCAATTTCATTTTGTTAGATAGGACTCCCTATTCAAGTCGGTCAAGGTCCTTTTGTATCTTGAGTTTATCTTCTGGCTATCCCTGCCAATTTAATATCATCTGCAATTTGACGAATTTGACTTCTAATCTCCTTGTTTAAATTGTTGATGAAAATATTGAAGAGTACTGGGCCTAAGACAGAGCCTTGTATACCCCACTGCATACTTCCCTCCATATAGATACATTTCCATGAAGGAGTAGACATTACATGTGGTTGGTCAGCCAGTTATGAATCCATCTGATGGTGATGTATCTAACTCACATTTTTCTATCTTATCAAGTAGTAGGTTGTGGTCTACTTTATCAAACTTACTGAAGTCCAAGTAAATTATATTCACAGCATTTCATTACTCCACTAATTTTGTCACATTGTCAAAGAATGCGATAAGATTTGTCTGGCTGTTTTTGACAAACCCATGTTAGTTTCTGGTTACGACTTTGTTTGCCTCTAGGGGTTTGCAGATTTGTTGCTTGATTATCTTTTCCAGAATCTTCCCAGGTGTTGATGTCAGGCTGATAGGTCTATAGTTTTCTGGATTCATTTTTTCCCCTTTTTTAAAGATAGGAATTACATCAGCTTCTTTCCAGACCTCTAGTAGTTCCCCAATGCTTCAGGATCTTTGAAAAATATGGTTTAAAGATTCTGAGATCAGGCTTGCCAGCTCCTTCGGAATTGGCATTGCTTAGTCTTGACATTGTTTAGAGTGTCTTGGTATTGCAGAGTGCCAGGTCAGGAGAGCTCAAAACAGGCCGGGCAATTCATCTAACACAGTTTATCTTGCCTTTTTCCCAGAGTCTTAAGGTAGAATCAATATTTTTCCCTTTCCCATCTTATTTTCCCAGATAAGTTAGGCTGAGACATGGTCTTTGGTTAAAATAAACAAGTGAACTTTAAGACTGAGTAAAAATATGAATTAAGGTCTCTACCATTCTAATCCATCATGCCAATGTCTACACTTAGCTACTCTAAAAAACTGACTCCTTGCCCTACATTTGAAATGCAGCCCTGGCATGTTAAATGGAAGTTCCATCTACTGCAACAAGTCCAAATCAAAGTTTCTTTCAAGTTTGACTTCAGGGGAATGTCTTATGTTATTTTCCTGGCAACATCATAGAAATAGCTTTCTGAGATTGTTTGATCCTTCTCCCATATATTTTATAACCCTGGGATATTCTGAAGATGTCTAATCTAGGTACTATCCACGTGTGATCCTGCTCAGCTTGTCAAGACAAGCCAAAGTTAGCTAAGTACTGCCAAGTTTCTATCTGAAAAAACTGAGAAATTGAGAAGACAGAGCTCAAAGATATAAAATACTTAAAAAAAGAAAGAAAGAAAGAAAGAAATGCCCCAATTGTTTAAAAACCTAAGACCTCTTCTTTATAAATGTACATTCCATACCTGCTGAAAGCTTTCTCATCTATTTTACTCATGAATTTGACTGGCAGCAGCATTCCTTTGCTCATGTTATTGGATCTTAATGCAAGAAAAAGCCATGTGCCCCTCCCCCACAACACACATAATGCACAAGTTCTCAATGCATCTGTATCTCTGATGAGCACAACATTCATTTCTGCTTGCTGTGTTCCTATGAGTATCTTGCATAGTTCATAGTTCAGATTCCAAACACCAGGTAAACAGCTTAAAGCATACTAACCAGGGACTTTTGGGAGCTGAAGTCCATATATCTTCAAATGCCAGGGTTGAGAAACACTGGCTTAAAGACTGCAATCCAATTTAAGATTGCAGATGCCTGCACAATGTTATGAGCTACTGATGTGGTTCTTCACTTCTAACTTTCCTAGATTCATGTTGGACTTCATGCCCCTTTTGGCAATATACTTAAAAAACTTCCAAGTTGTTTCATGCATCTTCTAATGATATGTTTCCAAACAAGTTTTACTGCTAATCTTTCAAGGAAATTGACAATGCCTGAATCAGTCCATGCCATTACTGGCTTGTTGGACCTGTCCTTGGCTTGGCATATAAGGACCTTCAATGATTATGTCCTGCCAAGTGATTCCTGAGATTAACACTGTGACAATCAGAGTTTCCAGTTTCACAACATCCCTCTGCATCTGATGAGTTTGATAAAGATTGATTAATATTTATTATCACATGAATAGGCAAACTGACTATTGCTGCTGCAACCTTAAGAATTCTTATTGGGATTTTTTTTCTAGATAATTACTAATCTGGGTTCAGACATGGATTTTGCTCAGAGACAGCATTGTTGTCCTGATAGATACTCTGTTAAGAGAGAAACAAAGGGACTATAACAAAATCTCTTGGTGAATTTTAATACTGTTAACCATAGTGGCTAACTGACATAGCAAAGATAGCTGGAGGAAAGTTAGTAAAATTCAATAAACTCTTTAATTAATTGAAAACTTTCTGCATAAAATTGCCATATGATAAATATTTGGACAAGTTTCATTAGACACAACAATTATTATTTTCTTATCTTCCATGCCTGATATAAGGTTCTCCATGTTGTATACATTTTATTTAAATGGTTGTTTTCTAAGATGCAGCCTAATATCAAACCCCAGAAGAACCCATATAAAATGCTGAATGAATTACCAAAATGTATGTATCCAGCCAAATCAATGCACTGAGACTCGGATCCAACACAATCAACAGTGTCATCCTTACAAGAATCAGGAAATGAAGCATAGCAGGCAGGGCACTGAAGACCATTGACCTTGGTATCTAATTCTGGCACTGAATAAATAGAAAAATTGTGGAAACTATATCAAACAGCATAATTAAATAAGACAATGACATCTCTATGGGTTACATATTTTGTGGGGGGATTCCTTGTTTTGAGCATGTTTCTATTAGTCAGTTGATGGGATATTACAGAAGATTAAACAATTTTGTACCTTGTTCTACCTTTTCAAGATCTCTTTTCCCCCCACTCACAGTAGCAGTAAACATAAACTATGCATTTTAAGATTCATGTTCCTCATCAATCATAATTCTTATGTTTATTATGGCAATTTTCTTGTCCCTAAGAACTGAGCTCAGTGAATGAAAGAATGCTTCTTATAAAGGATTTGTTTGACTGCTTATATTGATAACTTTAGGCTATTTCATTTTAGACTGTTCACTGAATTGTTATAAATGTGCACAAGGCAAATTACCCATTTATATATTGTTATATATATCTTGTGTGTCATTTTTAATGTCCTTGTTATGCTGTCTCTGCTTTCAGTATGTTCTTGAAAAAGAAATGCATTTTCAGAGACTTTTTAATGGCCTTGGAATTCTTCCCTCTTTTGTTTACTTCATTTTTGATATTCCTCTTCCCTTGTTCCAACCTTGCTAGGAAGCCAGGAGCCCTGAAGAGGGGTTTCCAACTCAGAACAATGTTGTCAGAACTCTTCCAAAGAGGTTGGAATAGCCATTTCCAGATTAAAACATTTTACATCTCATTTCTCTGCTCCATCTGCTAATATGGAAATGGAAAGACATGGTACCTTGAGAGCAAAAGGTTCACTTTTTAGATTAAGTACAGATTTAAGATTGTGCAATGATCCTTCCAAAAGTGTACAATGAAATTTAAGTTTATAAGTATAAGCCAACAACATGTGTCTGGCTCTGCTGATCACTTGGGCTTAAAATGAGTATGGAAATGATATATTTCCCCAATTTCTTTTTAGAATTTATGTAATCAAATTTGAATCAGGACCATTCTTTCTAGAGTGTGGGAGGTTAAATCTTCACTGCTGACTTCTTAGCAGGCTATCTGGTTATATTTAATTTTTTTTTTTTATCCTGGCCTTAGCTTGCTCACTCTGCTTTTATTAAATGCTCCTTGTGTGAAACCATTTGTACAAAAGCACAAGGGAGTAAAGCTCAGAATAGATACCTACATTTGACTGGAAAATCTGTATTGCAGGCATTGTGCTTACAGCAAAAAACACTGGTCCTTGATCTTCCTTTTTTACCCAGATTAATGTGAGCAGAACCACCTTCGCAGACACTTGATGGAACACAGCTTTTAATAATCCCTTGAGCCTGAAGTTTTTCTGCAGGGAGAAAAATAAATAGACATTTCTAACAGATAATGAGAATGTGCTGACACTAAAAGTGGCAAAACCTATTTAAAATTACAGTAAATACAAAGAGTAGTACCCTGTTCAGATAACATATTTGACCCTGAAAATCACTAACCAGGGAAGAAATCTTTACTGGTGACTGGTGCATCACACAACCATTAACTAGTTCAGTAGTCATAATTTGGAGATAGAATCTCCACCACCCATGAATCATTACATCAAGAGTGACACAGTTTCATAATATCTGTAGCCTGTTTGCCATTGGCCATGCAAGCAGAGATGCAGCAGTGGGCAAAGCCTGGTCACTGCAGCCATCCCAGGTTTGGAATGTGTGTTTTATAAGCAGCCCCAGTGCTTTTTTTCTATATATGAAAAAAAAGTGTCAGAACTCACACATGACATACAACCTGCCTTGCCTACCCTACAAGGTTCCATCCAAAAAAGGTGCTGGAACTCCATTCTGGGCGTTCTATGACAAAAAAAGCCCTGAGGAGCCCCTTATATTTTTAGTCATTCTTTCTCCTCAGGATTTTTTCTTGGAGAACTAAAGGCATGAGCATCCTCAGAAACCTGCTACTTTCATTAAAAGCAGTGCTTTTTTTGTCACAGAACGCACGGAATGGCATTTTGGCACCTTTTTTGGAAGGGAAGAACCGGCTCCTTCTAAGCTGCCAGTGCAAGTAAAGCTCTGGCTCGGTGAAAGGAAGCTGCCCAGAGAAATCGGGGGCATTGAAGGTCGACCCCGAAACACTTCCACGGCCCTGAAAGCAGAACTTCTTCTCTGCCTTGACTCATGGGGCTCCCCCCACCTCCGCCACCTGTCCTCCCCCCTGTGTTGGCCACCAGGGACAGGACTGACTCCTGGAGTGAATCTTTTTGAGGGACCAGGCGCGCTCCCAAAGCAGCAGCGCCACCACTGCCTTGGTCACTCTGGCTCTGGAGGAAGCCTCTGTGTCATCAGAGGTGGAGGAAGACGAGGTGGCAGAAGACATGCTGGCTCCGAACAAGCATCCTCTCAAAAGCCGCAGCAATGGCATCCATCAGCTGATGCTGCTCACGTGATCTGCACCTCGGAAGCTCCCTAAAGCGGTTCCCCCCCCCACTCCGTAAAGGGTTTTCGATTGGAGCCGGAGCTGTGCATGAGTTCCGGCACCTTTTTTTTTTAAAAAAGCACTGATTAAAAGCAATATTTTGGCATTGTTGCCACAAGCTTACCCCTTTTGTAAATGCTTGTGACTACCCCATAATGCACATATAAAAGGGGATTCAATTAGTCTAATCCGATTTATGAGTGGGATCTGTTGAAAGCTACATCTAGTCTCCTAATGTTAGTTAGCTAGATTAAAAGGCCTCCATTTGAGTTCCCACAACACATTACTCCCCTCCTGTAGGATTTCTCACTGCTGGACTGTATCAACAATTTAAACTTTAGGTCAGGTAATTTGATGGATTACTTCTTCCCAACTACATTTACCTGGCCCATCAGAGCAGGAAGGCAGGATACGTTGTGGATCCCAACTATTAATAAAGTACACCTAGTGGGACCCAGGATAAGGGCCTCTTCTGTGGGGGGTCTCCATTTTGGAATATCATTTCCCCAGAGATAAGATTGGCCCCACCCTGCTTTTCTGAAAGGCCTGAAGACATGGTTTTGTCAGGAGGCTTGGGAATCCCATTTGGAGCCAATCAAGTGGTTGTGGGGTAAAGGTTTAAATTGTGAATTTTAAACTGTGGATTTTTAATATTGTTTTCTGCCCAGAGTCAATGTGTATGTGAGCTGGGCGGTTATATAAATTTGTTTAATAAATAAACAAATGTTAAAACACTATTATAAATTATTTCTATTGCTATTCTTCACCTTCCAGCTAAGTTTACTCATAAAGCAAATTTCAGAATAACTCAAGCATGCAAAATTGTCCAGAGTCATTTGGCATATAAATGTAATAATTATTAAAACAAGTGAAATGAGAGGACAAATAAAGTACTATAAACCTTTACAAGGGAACCTTTACCCTCCTGGATACCCAACTCTCCCCAGGCAAAATGCATAATAGAAAATAGGTCTCTACCAACAAGTTGCTTTGTAGTTTCATAGTATCAGAGTGGTGTGGGAAGTCAGCCCCTCAGAGAAGGAAATATTAAAAGGGCAGGAAAATATATTTTCTTAAAGGATCTTAAAAAACGCAGGAAAGCATGCCCAGTTTTCTTAATAGCCCCAGGTCTTCCTTCCCCAAGCAGAAACCAGCTCTATAGAGATGCAGATGTAAATCCAGGGAGCTAGGAAATTAAGAAGACAAAGACCTAAAATCTACATACCCCACCCAAACTCTAAGAGTTATCAGCCCCAGGGAAGCAGTATATGAGCTTTGGACATAATAAGATTGACCCATCACCATCAGAATGCCAGAAAGGCACACTCAGACTCAGGTCAAAGTTCATGCCATAGGAACAACTCCAAACAAAAGGCTCAAGAGGGTATAAAAACTTACTCCCTACATGGGTTCAGCCCCTTTTTTCACTTCTCTTGCTGCCAGAACCATCTTCCTGTCTGGCTCTCCTCTCCAATAAACTACAACCTTCTTCCCAAAGCAGTTGCCATTTTTATTCCCAGCTTGGATGAACCATGATGAAGACTTTTCTTTCAACAGTGGAAAGGGCTGCTGTCTCCAGAGGGCAAAAAAATGGCTAAAGTTTTATTGCCTGCTGGCCAGCTGAACTTTTGCTGTTTGATTCTGGTCCATCACTGAGTCCAACCCCCTTCTCCATACAGGAATGTATCCCCTGGCAAGTGGGGTGCGGCTTCTGTTTGAAGGGACACCCACAACTTCTCTGTTTTTTCATTTTCAAGATGGTTCCATTTTCAAACAACTTCTATTGTTCATAGGATTTATTTTTTTAACGTGCAATGGGTATTTGTTGTGCCAAATTAGGCAGCCACACGCAATTCTTCATGGAAGTTCTCTTTTTAAGTTTATTTATCAATTTTCAAGAACACAAAAGATATGAATATTCTGAAATCAACATATAATTCCTACTTTCCAATGTTACTTACCCAATACACTTTCAAATGCAATAATACCACAAGAGTCATGTTCTGAAGGACATACTTCTATTTTACCGGAACAGTTGTAACCTTGACCAGTGCAAACTTCACATTCCAGAGTAAAACCTGGAGAACAGAGATGGAAAAAATGGTTTTATATATATATATATATATATATATATATATATATATATATATATATATATGTGTGTGTGTGTGTGTGTAGGTCTTTGGTTGTTCGGGTTTTCTCCCACGTAAAATTGGAAGTGTCTTGGCGACGTTTCGACGAAGTCCCATTCGTCATCTTCAGGCTGGTGCTTTCAGCTTCGTGCCTCGAGCAGCAGTGTTAATATCTCTTCCCAATTGTATATCTCTCTCCTCCTTTGTCGTGTCCGCAGCTCTTATCTGAGTATGAGATAAGAAATAAGTATGAGAGCTGCGGACACGACAAAGGAGGAGAGAGATATACAATTGGGAAGAGATATTAACCCACAGTTAGTGGAACCCTATCCCCATCATAAGACACAAGAAAACATCAGATCGAATCCTCCCCTCAACACGGCAGGCAATGATATTATCGGAAGAGGAGGAGATGCAAGGTCACTAACGCCTCCAAAGACCACTAGTGGAGGGATAGGGAAGGGCATCCGAAGAAAAGAACATAACGTTATAGACACATCTTGGCTATCAGCTGGCCAATCAGGGCCAGTAACACGGTCTAGGAGCCGTGCGCAAACGTTACTTGAACCTACTTAAACCACCTTTATTGCAATGGCCTTTTAGCCCTGACGATGCTGGGGAGTTCCCCCAGCGAAAGCTTGACAACTTTTTAGTATAAGTATATTTTTAGTAAAGTATTCTTACTTCAACCCTCCTGGTGATCATGCTTTATTCTTTTATTCATAATTATGCCCGGGAGTCGCATTTTTACCAATATTCTTGAAAATATATATATATAATTTTTGGGAGAGAAATTATTAAATTTACTTAGTTCTGAAGTCTGAAATGTTCCCTTAGGGTTCTAACCAATAATACTATTTGCAATTCCCATTGCTAACTAAAACAAGCTATGGATGTATATATAGATAACCATTTGTTTATATGACGTGTGAAAAAAAAAGGATGCGTAAATTTGTATTTGGGGCAATATTAAATGAGCCCACATACTTCATACAGATGAACTAATTATTCTGCAATGCTATTCTGGATTTTTGCCAGAAATCAGGGATAAATGGAAGCACATGACTGCCAGGATGCATAACCTGTTCATAAACCTGTTCATAAACCAGCTTGGCCTCATTAGTAAAACATTTACAGTATCTGGTTTATATAAAAGAATTATCTGTATGCTTATGTCATTTCACAAACCTGTTGTATTATACATACTCTTTCCTAAAAATAATACAAACAAATTTGAAAGTGAAATTCCCCAGAACCTTATATAGATCAGACAAATTTGCATAAATAAATCCGTCATTCAGAAGGAGATTTCAGAAAATGAAAAACATACGATTATTTGTTAATGATGAAGCTACAGAAATGCCTATCTGAGTTTTTTAATATTAGTGTACTCCTTGAAGGCAGCTTGATGATTGAAAACAAGTATGAATTACAAACAGTAAGAAATCATATTTGAAATAATAAAATCTGAAAAGGGTACAGCAGATAAAACAAGGCATTAGGTCAAAACCTAGCCATTCAATAAAAAGAATGCCTGACCAAATAGGAAGATTTTTGAGAGCCAGCAAACACCGTAACAGCAGAATTCTACACTTACATGTCATGTTATTTTTTTTTTTCTGTTCAATCTTGTTTGATTCTCGAAGAGTGTCTGGACAAGTCCCTGCATTTTCTTAGTAAGGTTTTCAGAAATGGTTTGCCATTGTGAAAAACTGATTAATTGGATCTTGACCAGAACTTCTGTTCATTTGCACAATAAAATCCTTATATAAGTGGCCCAAATAATGTGATTTAAGTTTATTTACATTATCTATGTAATGTTGACATTTCCCAGATTGTTTAAATTACTTCAGTTGCATCATTTGTACTGTTACAACGATGCACCTTTCAGTTTACTAGGTTTTAAGGAATAAGGAACATTCCCCTCACCCAATTAATTCATTAACATGAGGTTTCACTGTATTCTAAACCAAGGAACACAAAACCTGTTGGGTATTCTCTTGTCCAATCCAAACAGTCAGATCTCCATAGAAAAAGAAATAAATAACTTGTATTGTGTCAATCTTTTCAAGCATCTGTGCTGTGTACTCATAAAAGGGACAATAGAAAGGCACCACATCTGTTCTTCCCACACCATTTTATACCACCATCACCAAAGAAGGAGCTACTCACCACTGGCTATCAGTGCTGAGAGGAGACCAAAGCTGAGGAAAGCCTGCATTGTTGCTAGGTTAGAACTGGGCTAAACCTCTCATGTGGCCAGCTTTTTAGCTAGGAAGGATACCTTCAATTACTACAAATGAAGGAGTGTCCCAAAGCATCCTTTCTCCTCAAGGTACAATGGAGAGGAAGTTACACAATAATGACATACCTCTTGACCAATGCAATGCTGCTTTGGCTTTTGATAGGTTTAAAGTGCTGGTTTTAACTGAAGTCCAAGAGGGGAAGGACTCAGAAATATGGGGATAGCTTTTTCCTGTCCTCAATTCTTCTTTGAACTGTGAATTCTACTCAAAAGAAGATACTCCAGGTACAAAGAAGGCAAAAAAGACAATTTGATAGCCACAATTGCATTGTTGCACCCACCATCCTGACTTTTTTCAACCTATCATTTGTAACATCCTGCTGAGTACTTTCAATTTAGGAGCTGGGATCCTGGAAGCAGGTCTTCTCCTCCACCACTGCATCTCTAGAGTAACACCCTCCCCCAAAATCCATTTGGCCTCTTTTATACAGCAATCATCTTCCAGAAAGCTGCTCCAACATGCCTGTTAATATCTCTGCTTTGCCTGCCATCTGTTTGGCAGGATGCTGTTTAAATCCTATTATGTTCTTAATTAGAGTTAGGATGTGTCTTTATGATTTTACTGTTTTAAGATGTGTGCTTGCAGCCATAGAAAAGTAATGAAAAATAAGAGAGAGGAAGGAAAGATGAATTAGTCACATTTTAACCTGTGCAAAGGGGTGCCCTTCCTGCAGATCCACCTAAGAAGCCTTCCAAGGTAGCCAGACATCACATAACATGACTTAACAGGGGCACTTAGAGCTTGTTCTCACGTAACTCCATGCCTTGAATATATAGTTCCAGATTCCCAAGTCTTTCTTCAGAGGAAGCCTATAGTGTTTCATAAAATAAACTGCAAGGACACCAAGATCTAGTTTTCATACTGTACTGATCCATGGTTTGTACGATAAATTACATTGGGCTGTGATTGCACAGCACACTAAGCTATGTATCATTGTTTAGAAAACCACACTGCAGGATTCAAAAGCAGTTTAAAATACTATTTGGATTGGTTTAGTACATTGCCTTGATGTATCCTTTTGTCTTAGCATAATGCTAGCAAAATTTTGTAGTACCAGCAATAATTAAAGCAATGTTTGGATTTAGCATAACAAGCAATGATAAATTATTATTTTTTTATTGAAAAGTTTTATACAAGTACATTATTACAATACGATAACCCTCCCTCTCACCCCCACCCCATCCCAACCCTCCCCCCTCACTTCCCAGAGCTGATTAAAGGGTTAAAAAAAGATAAAAAATAAACAAACAAATTCTAAATAAATTTATCCACCTATACCAATAACCAAATCCCTAAAATACTTTAACTCAAATACAAACAACTCCCAATTTAAACTATAAGTTAATCAAAAACTAAATAATACTTACTAATCCCATATTTATTCTGTACAAAATTTATCCATCTTCTCCACACCGAGATGTATCTTTCTTGTGAATGATCTTTCAAGTAAGCAGAAATTTTGGCCATTTCTGCTAAATTAGAAACTTTAAACGACCATTCTTCTATAGCAGGCAAAGAATCTTTCTTCTAATATTGCCCAACCAATAGCCTTGCCGCTGTAATAAGATTCAACATTAAAATAGTTTCTTTAACATCACAGCCTTCAATGATACCTAACAAAAACAATTGTGGTGTAAACTTTATCTTCCTATTAAAAATCTTTTGAATGTTCCACCAAATCTTAATCCAAAAAGCTTTTATATTTGTACAGGTCCACCAAATATTATAATAGGTTGCATCTAAGCAACCACATCTCCAACACTTAGGCTGTAAATTAGGATACATGCGAGACAATTTTTGTGGATCCAAATGCCACCTATAAAACATCGTAAATTTTGAGCCTGAGTAAACTTCACATTCCCTACCCAAATTGCCTCCCATGTATCTAATAATATCGGCTCTTGAAAATTTGGGCCCATTGTATCATACAATCTTTAATTAATTCCATCTCTGAATCCAATTCCACTAATACATTATAAATTCTCTTAAATGAGTTCGACTTTAATCTCTAATTTGTTTTATCAAATTCACATCTTCTAAAGTGATACCAACTTTTTGATCTAAACTCCATCTATCTAACAATTGTCTATACTGAAACCAAGAGTAAACAATATTAAAGCAATGATAAATTATTGATACTGTAATGGTCCTAACTGAGTTTCAAAAAAATAAAAGACCTACAAATTTCTTATTGTTTTATTAATTGCAGTGTGGTGTCACATTTGAATCCTACCATTATAGCTGTTATTTACTGCCTTTTATTGAAACAAATCAGATTCATAAACCCTAGCTTAAATTAAAGGTAACCATAGTAAGGCCATAGTCAGTTTGTTTGGATTTAGACATAAAGCTAAACCACAATTAGCCTGAAGTAGAAGTAAAAAAAACCATGTTTCTTAACATAAAACTCATTCCAGTTTTGTTTTCCAATAGCCAAATATCAAGTGCAATTGTCTGCAAAAGAAATACCTAAATATGAACAGCTGCTGCAAGGATTTCCATTGGGGAGTAACATAAAATAAAGTAAAAATGTTGATTATATGGTCAAAACATCACTCCTTTTTTACTTATGTATGAGTACAGGCAGTCCTTGCCAATTGGGACCAGCAATTCTGTTGCTAAGTGATAGTCATTAAGCAAGACACATGAACATGACAGACTTACCTCACTTCCACTAGTCATTAAGTGAATCATCTGTCTTTGTTAAGCAAGGCATCACATGACCAAACTTGCAATTTGCTAGCTTTCCCCTTCATATGTGGGTGTCAAACTTGATCGCGTCATGTGACGTATCGCAACATTTTTTGCCTTTGTGGAGCTGGGGTGGGCATGGCCTGTGTGTGACACATCTGGCCCACGGGCCGCAAGTTTGACACCCCTGCCCTTCACTTTGCTTGTTGGAAGTCAGTTGTGAAGCATGCAAATGGTGATCCCAAGATGCTGTGATGGTGGTAAATTCCTACTGGTTGCAAAGTGCCTGAATCTCAATCTCATAACCATGAGGACACTGCAATGGTCATAAATGTGAGGATTGGTTGTAAAGTTATTTCTGAGCACCACTATAACTTGTAATGATTGCTAAACAGAGCAGTCATAAAGTGAGGACTATTTGTATAAGGACTCTATTCTTTAATATTGTTATTGTGGCCATCTTGCCATAAGCATTTCAGTGCAAATGTGAAAATTTGGGTGTAAAGAACAATGAGTCACTCTGACTTCCTTTCAAACTGACAAGCCCATGAAAACAATTTTTCCAAGTGTACGTCATCACTGCCACCCACATATCGCCTCTTTCCCTCAATAGGAAATCTTGTCATCACCCAACATTCCAGCTGGGCCTTTGCTCTCAAACCATAACTTGTCTTTCCTCCAGTGATGGCATTTTCTTCACTTCCTTCACCCGTGGTCAAGAATTCAGGCCTTTTAGGCAAGTGAGTCTCTCAGTTAAACACTATCCATGATCTTTCATCAGGGTAGGACCACACCTTTTTCATGTTACTGTGTTTGGCTGCCTGTCTGGAACTTTCAAAATGAAGGTTTTGTTTACTTATTTTAATATATTTCTCAAAACCAATGGCCAGGGCCAGATTGAGCAATGTTATAGTACTGCTTGATGTGATGCACCAAAAGCCATCTAAATTATTCTGGCTTTGGAAGTAAAAAAAAAAAAAAATCTCACAAGCAAAATCTCCTGCAATCTGGCAGTAAATATCCAACAAGAATATGAGAATTAGTAATAACATTAGTTATTAATGAACACTGCTCCACAGATAGCTATCTCTGTGATTTTTCCAGCTGTGAAGCATAGCTGGCTCAACTTTACTATTATAACACTTGGTTGGGTTTTCTTTCTTCTCTCTAGAGCATGGGTGTCAAACATATGACGTCATATCACGTGTTGCAATGTATCACGACTTTTTTCCCATTGCCAGCAATGGGGTGGGATGCGGTTTTGGTGTGATGCATCCGGCCCATGGGCCGGCAGTTTGACACCCCTGCTCTAGAATTTAGTTTTTAAAATTGGATGCATTTGAGAATGCATTGCATGCCCATCTAAACCTAGTACTTGGGCAATCAGTTTCAAAGCAAATGTGGAGACACAAATTGCTTGAACAGAATTACACAGAGATATTCGGTAATTTGCTTGCCTGGCATGTAATGTTTCCTGTTTGCAAGCAGTATTAAAGCAATATTTTTATTGATCAGAAAAATCTGTCGTCTTTTTTAAAGTATTTTTTCCCTTTCCCTTTTTCATCTGTAAGAAACCGTAAGCCAATTCCAGTATGCATCCAACTAAATAAAAATGAAAAACTTTCCCATTCGTTGCAGACTTGCCTAAACCTCAGGGTGGCAGCATCTCTTTGTAGCATTTGTTTATTGTTTATACATTAATTTGTGTTTTATTTTTTTCTATACCAGACTCAAGGGGTCTTAGACTAATAACAAAACATGTAAAATATAATAAAAATACAATTAAATGAAAAACACTATTATTTATTTATTTGTTCAATTTCTCTATGGCTGCCCATTTCAGTCAATGACTCTGGACAGCTTACAATTCAGAAAATATTACAAAATTTAGAAAAACATTTTAAAACAATAAAAACAGTAAAAAAAATTAAAACATCCAATTCAAAATACACAAAAGCAAGATATTTGGCCCATTAGCAAAATAGCCCAGAAACGGGGCCTTTGGCACATTCAGCAACCCAGGCCCAGGAACATAGCCAGATTTTTAAGGCCTTACGAAAAGTTAACAGGGTTGGGGCCATTTTGATCTTCGAAGAGAGGATGTTCCATAGAGCAGGGGCCACTGCAGAAGTAGTTCACCTTTTGCTCCCCACCAGCCAACATTCTTTGGCTGACAGGATCTGCAGCATGCCCATTCTACTTGACATAATTGGACAGGTAGAGA